TGTGCGGGCCGCGGCGCTCAGCGGGACGACGCCGTGACGACGCCGTGACGACCCGACACGCGTGACAAGACGCACGGCAAAGTTTGCAGCCGCGACACGGGAACAGACTTTGAGGCGGCGGCGGCGGTGGCGGCGGCGCGAGGCGAGCAGTTCGCCGTCCCTCCGCCGCCCCCGCGCGCCGCCCCCGACCGCCAAGGCCTTTGCCTGTTTTCTTTTAATTTCCATTCGGGGGGCGTCCGGCAATCACGTGAGCTCGGCGCGACCGAGGGCGCAACCCCGTTGGGCTAGGAAAGGTTAGGAATCGAATGTTGCGGTTGTCGGACCTGTTTCAGGAAAGAGGAGAGGGAGATGGAGAAGAAGGGAGGGAAGGGAGAGTCCATCACGCCAGGCAGGTAAGCTAAGAACAACTTAACCAACAATGAACCTAAGAGTACCCACCCGTTGAGGGAGAATGATTAGCCGCCTTAGATTAGATGCAGTGGCTGCTTAAAATCAGCCCAAACCATGATTTCTACAGATTTGTTACCGTTTCGACAAACTTTGCTGCAATACCGCTCCCAAACCAGGACGCCTTTTTATTGGTATTTCATAACTTACTTTTAAACCAGTTATGAAAATGGGAACACCTTGCAATGCGATTAGCATTGGAATTTTTTTTACTCGACGCAACTGCTGCCGCCATATCACCATGCCCCGCCCACACTCGCCCCGCCCCGCCATTGCTCCAGGGCCTTCCGGTGTGGTCCGTGAGCCCTGCGCCCCAATGGGGCCCCAATGGCGCCCCGATGGGGCAAGGGGCCTTACCCCCCACCGGGGGCCTGATGAACAACAGCCTAAAGGGGAGTGCTTAGAGGGAGAGTCCTCGGCAAGCTCTCCAGAGATAACTCGAGCAAGAGGAACGCCGACCACACTGTCGGGGATCTCGGCGTGCTGGGCCTCGGCGTCGACGCCCTGGGGGATGTACGCCTCCGCCCTGACTGGCGGCCAATGGAGGTTCTTCTCCGCCGGTATAACGTGTCACCCTAGTAAGGACGGCCATGTCTCGTTTAGGAGTGTCGGGCCCGAAACGGCATACGATCATGTGTGGTCTAGCCCGCAATGGTAATGGTAATGCCGGGTAGGCCCCCGGGGCGGCGGCAAGACGCGGGTGTCGTCGTGTTGCCTACCCGTTCCTTCGCAGGCGCTTGCCCCGCCGCCGCCAAGCCGCGCACACCACTGCCGACGCACTGTCTCTCTCGCACTCACGGGGCGTCCCGTAGCGATGCGACGGAGACAGAGCGGCGCGACGATGTCGAAGACCCTGTCGGTCTCCACATGCGATGCGCCGTGCTGCGCTTGCCAGCCGCGCCCCTGCGCCCTGCCCTGCCCGGGCCGCAGTTTCTCATGCGCCGCAGACACTTCTCCATTCATTCTGCCGGCGGGGCGGGGCGGGGCGGGGCGGGGCGGGGCGGGGCGCTGCCCGGGCCAAATCAGTGCTCGGCTTGTTTACGGCCCCGCGGCTCGGCTCCAGACTCCGGGCCGCTGGAGCCTAGCGCTGGAGCCTAGCCCTGGAGCCCCGGGCTAATGAATGGCCAAGTGTTCCGGACGGACGGCAAGGCGGCAGGGCGGCAGGGCGGCAGCAAGGACCTGAGCCCACTCGGGGTCGTGCCGGTGCCTCGCTCTGCCTCGCGCCGCAAAGCCCCGGGCCTCGGGGAGAAATATAGTGGGGACCCAGGTGTGTGTCTATCTATCTACCCATCTATCCATCTGGCGGGCATAAATATTTGCAAATTAAAGTGCGGCGCCGCGGCGGCTTCCTCTCCGCCAGCCGATAGAGCGGTGGCAGGTGAGCAGGATGGATTGGCCGGCTACAGATGTGATGACTTTTCGTTGTTGTTGTTGTTTTTGTTTTCTTCTTCTTCTTACGGTGATGCAGCACGTCAAGTTGGCAGCGCGGCAGCGCGGCAGCGCGGCAGCGAGTGACGACATAGGCGATCGTGGTCCTTGGCGGCCCCGACGGCCCCGACACACACCTGCTGCCTGGATCGGCCTGGATCGTGTTCGGCGCAAAGTTTTGCAACGGCTTATTCCCGCCGAGTCACAAAAACGGATATGCACTCGGCCCGAGGGGGAGAAAAAAAAAAGAGAAAGAACAACAAAGTTGGAAAAGGACGCGGCGACGCCGCCGGTGCGGGCTCGGATGTTGAGCGATGTGGCTTCGACACCCGTACGCCGCGGCGCCGTCGCGCGAGAGTGTATCGTCACCACCTCTCCCATTTCCCAATTCTGAAAAACAAAAGATGAAAAGGAAAAAGTTTTAAAAGAGCTGGGACCGAGGACCGAGGAACCCTTAACGTTGCAATCCCCGGCGGGAACCACGGCGCAATTTCAAAAAACCAGTAGCCTTTTCTTTTTGGAGGGCCCCACATATTACAGTCGGCGTGTGGCCCTTCAGGACTGCGCAATTTCGTCGTCAGCCAGTCAGTCAGCAGAACACCGCGAACCGAACCGACCCGATCCGCGACCCCGAGTGTTGACGCCACTCCAGGCCGCGCAGCCGCAGTTCCAGATTCGATTTTACATCCTGTCGAACACGACGCTCGGCGCCCTGGAGTCGAAGCGAGCTGGAGCGCTCTGCGGCGGGTTCTCCATGGAGTGGCTGGCTGCCGGCTGGCTGCCGGTCGGGCCGCCTCAGTCGGATCCTGGTCGACAAGTGGCTCATCACCAGCCCCGCAATCTAATCAACCTCTCCTCGATATGCATGTATCCACGCGCGCGCGTCACGTTTGTGTCACGTTCGTGTCACGTTCGTGTCACGGCCGTGTCAGCCCGGCGCCGCGATCCGTGTCACACGCCACTCCGCGCCTCGCCGCCGCCTCGATGGCGCCTCGCCTCGCCGCCGCGCCCCTTGTCCTGGTCGGATTGGATTTTCGGCGTCTCGGATAGGAAACTACATTACGGAGCAGTCTGCCGGCGTGATTTAACCGCGACTCGTCCTCCGTCCGTCCGCCCGCTAGCCTGTCTGTCTGCCCGCTCGTCTGTCTGTCAGCCCGCCTGTTCGTCCGCCCTAATTCTAACAAATCCCCTCATTTCACATGTGCCTCTGCGACGGGCGGACGGGTGGGCGGACGGGTGGGCGGACGGCGGGCGGAGACAGCTAACAGCGCCTTGTGATGTGGCCGTCAGGGATTCCTCGCCTCCCCGTGCGCGTCTGCGCGTCGCGTCCCGTCGCGAAGGAAGCCGTCTCGTCTCGTCTCCCCTTTCGGGAGGCAGCGGCCCTTCAAGCTTCAGGCCCTTCAGGCGGTCCAACACAAAGACGGCCATCTTGGCTTTCTCTTCTCCCTTGTCGTGGTCTCGCAGCGTAGCGGCGTGGCGGCCCGGCGTAGCGCGTAGCCAAACCCAGCCAAGCCTTCACCGCCCCCAACATGTCGGAGGTGCGGTCTGACGCGGGGCGGGCCGGGCCGGGCCGGGGTGGAAGCAAGTTGAGGAATGCGGCCCGCGGCATGTGGTCCCGCGCGTTCTTACCCTGTCGCTCGTATGCGTGCTCCTGGCCCGAAAGACCCCCATGTTGTTTCGTGAATGCAGTGGCAGCTTTTTAATTTTTCAAGTAAATCCTTTGAGGCGAGCCTGCGCTCCGCGCCGCCGCCTTCCGCCGTGCGGCGTGGCCCGGCACGGCCCGGCACGGTCGCTGCGATTGCCTCTCGGCCCGACTCAGCCAGCCCCCGCCAACCCCCCGCCAACCCCCCGCCGACCCTCGTCAAATATTTTTACACCAAGAAATTTTCTCCCCGCGCCAAACGCCAAGCGCCGCAACTTCTCTCTCCACTTTTTTCCCCGCCTCTCCTCCTCCTTCTCGGTTCCGCCGAGCCAAGATGGCCCCACATTTTGCGGCGACACGTGACTTATCAGTGATCGGGGTGTTCCAGAAAAAGAGTCACCCGGCCGGCGCTCACCAACCGCGGCCCCGGCCGATCTATCTCCAGGCCGCCCCGCCCCGCCCCGCCCCGGGCTTCTCGCTGACAATCTGGCCTTTTTAGCCGATTTTTCTCCCCGGGGCGCGGCGCGGCGCAGTCAACTTTACCCGCGCGATGAGGAGTGGGTCGGGAAGAGGGCGAGGTGCGCTCTGTCAACAGCTGCGGCTCCCTTTCCGATACCCCGCCCCCCTTCCTCCCCGATGCACGCCTGCACTGCAAGCGCCGCGGGTCATTCCCCGAATCCGGGCCGCCCTGCCTCGCCTTGGCGCTTCTCGCCGCCGTTTTCGCTGCCAGTGAATGCGCGCGTGAAACGAGCACGAGGAGGTCCTTCTTCGCTTTCTTTTCTTTCCTCTCTCTCTTTGCCGCCGCCGCGGTCTCCTCAGTGTGTTAGCGCGCCAGATCGCGATAAGCACGAGACATCGCCCCGCCCCGCCCCGCCTTGCCCCGCCCCGCCACGGCCCCGCCGTGCCAACAAGATAAACTCACCGCTTAATGTCATTAAGCTTAAGCGCGGGCCCTAAATGATGTTTACACTCGGGGTTCTAAACTATTCATTCGCGCGCTCCTCTTTCCTCTGGCGCACATTTTTCCCCCGTTTTATTGTGGCCCCTTTTCGGCCGGACTTATCTCCGCCTCCAGGCCGCGGGGCTGCCGGGCCGCCGGGCCGCCAGGTGCGCGCAGACGGGGCGGCGAGCCGGGCGAACGCCCCCCAGCAGACTCATTCATTCCGAGAGTCGTTTTCGTCGCTGTGCCTCACTCACACTCATAGGGCGTCGCGTGTAGGTGCGAGAGAGACAGAGCGACGTAAACGACTCTCAGAATCAGTCTGGAGTGCCAGAGCAGGCGCAGCCGCCCGGCGCGTAGGCAACCCTTCCAGCGCCCAGCGGGTGACCAGCGCGCTGCGCGAAGGGATGCCTGCCTTCCGGGCGCTCACCAGTGGCGTAGCAGCGCCGCGACCACCACGCCGGCACGGACTTGGCGACACCTAGTAGTCTTCCTGCACTGGAATCCGAACGGACAACTCCCACTCGCCCTTAATTTCGCTACTATTTCTTCCTAAAACTATCTCTGGTTGTGCGGTCCTTGACGAACTCTCGAAATGACGAAAAAGCCACTTTGCGTCCAACAAATGCGAAATGTGTGAAGGATAGAACGGAACGTACTGTTCCAGTCGTTCTCCCAGTGCAGCGACCGGCGGACCGTGGTGTTTGAAACTCTGCGCGGGAAAATCCGCTCGCCAGATGTGGCGCCATCTAGCGGCAAAGCGCCGAACTGCCGCCGCCGGCTAGAGTCTGTGAGAGCGCGGAGTAGCGACAGCGACAGTTAGTTGAGTTGGAAACTAACCTCGCGTTCATGCATGTTATTGTTTGCGTTCCTATTGTGATTTGAACAATATGGGGCGGAAGATTCCCGTCAGGAAGCACTTGGGTGTGAAGGACCCGCTGCAGCAGAAGAAGCAAAGAGAACAGAAGTAAGTATGCGAGTCATTTAACAGATCAAGATTCTTCCATCGTCTGCCTACGGAAACCTAACCTGACAAAACACATTGTGTCGCAAATATTTTTTTTTTTCTTTTGCTTGCCTCTATGTTATTTAATTCGCTCCGCTCTTTTAATTTTACATTTTCACAGACTCAGCAAGGTCCGAGACGCTCCACCGCCCAAAAATGATCAGGACGACCCATTGCCTAGACGTCTGCAGGAAATAAACAAACTTCGTCAGATGGTTAAAGATGGTAAATTTGATAAGCCCAAAGTAAAGAAAAAGAAACAGAAGAAGGAACTTCCACCTGGTTTTTTGAAGGCTCCTTTGAGTACTGAAGCGTTTCTTGGACCAACACCAAAGTTGCTCCGAGGTATGAAGCGACCTGAGAAGCAGATCCCTACGATTCAGCAGCGGCCTGGAGAATCTGATAAGGCTTTCTTTCATCGGTGTAATGTGCTCTGTGATGTAAGTACTTCCCAGCTTATCATTCTTGTATTGATTGAAGTTACTGTTTTAGTTAGATATTTATTTAATGTGTCTGACTTCTATTATAATTCTAGCAACTCATTAAAGAGGTCAAATATGAAGAGAAATACAAGGTTGACATTGTGCGAGATGCAGAAACTGGGCTCATTGAAGGTCTAAAGAAACAAGAAAAGGATGAAGTTGAGGAAATGATGAAAGAAGAAGGTTTGTAAACATACATTTTTCACCAGCTATTGCCGAGTTAAAATTTATATCAAACTCCTGTTCCAATAAAACTTACTTTTCCTTTAAATTTCCAGCAAAAAAAGTCACAGAGGAGAAAAAGACTAAGAAGAGGAAGATAACGAAGAAAAAGCAAGCAGAGATGGCTGCTGCCAAAGCAGAGAAAGAATTTTTGAAAAAGCATAGAAAAAAGCTTAAAAAGCTGAAGAAAATTGACAAAAAATTAGAAAAAAGTAAAGAAGAGGGCCTAGTCAAACATGAAACTATTAAATTTGGTGAGGTAGTTGACAGACCACCAGAAATAAAAGTGAAGCCAAGGAAAGCTATTGCAGAGAAGGTATTGGCCCCCTTCACATATTCCATGTGTATTATTTTTTGTTTGCAATTAATCTCAGGTAAACATCCTTTTTTTTTCCTCTTTACAGAATGTCAAGAATATTATGTTTAATCAGATGTTAATCCAAGGTAAATTAGCTGAGGAAATGAGCAAAACAAAGCCATCAAATGCGAAGAGTAAACAAGCTGGGAAACCAGCACTCTCTGGAAAGCGCAAGGACCTACCGGTTGGGCAAAGAAGATTACTTGAAGCACAGCAGAAGTCAGTCGTCGCTGCGTATAGGTTAATGAAAGCAAAGAAGATGAACAAGGAAGTAATGTAATTCCAATGTACCATAGGAACCGAATTTAAAGGAAAATTATATTTAATCAACAGTAAAATGTTTGTGTTTGCATTGAGATATAAACGCGGCCTTCTCAGGTCCGCTCTCCGCTCTGGTCTGTTGTGGCGGCGGACACGTAACGAGTAACGAGACCGCACCCCGATGGTATCGCCCGCCGCGTCATGCAAGGGCGCAGGTGAGCCAGGCTGCGGCTGCGCTGGGCGTGCACTTGCAGTGCAGGTGGCTCCTGCCCGCCAGCCCCGCTGCCGCTGCGTATCTTTCCAGACCGGCCCATCGCAGTGGAAAACACCCCGTCTTTTCTAGTCGCTTCCGAAACACTCGCTGGCACTGTCTGCCCCCGGGCTTCGGAAGGGCTGCCTTTTTTGCGTTTCTTCTTTTTCCGCCGAATTGTGTCATTCTTTCTTTGTGACTCAGTGGGCGGGTAATACCACATGCAAGCGACCCCCCCGTAGACCGTGCACCACGACGCACCGCTTGACGCAGACCCCTTCCCTAACATTGTGGGTTCACTTGCACGTGGGGTTGCGTCCGGGGCGCTCAAGGCCGCGGAGCACCGCGAAGTCGCGACTCCGGGCCGGGCCGCGGCCGCGGAATCTGTCTTATTCGGACGCGGCGGGCCAGGGCCGCCAGGGCGTAGGGCAGGGAAGACCGGCGGGGTGGGGCGGGCTCCGGGTGTGGCGGCGGTGGTGGCAGCGGCGGCGGCGGGACCGGCAGGGGGCATGGTGGTGACAGTTGGCGGGTCCAGAACTCGGCCCAGTCGGTGGCGGCAGCCAGGAGTGACACTACAGGCACTACACGAGACGCGTTCGCCGCGGAGAAGACTTCGGCGAGGACCCCACTGCTGCGAGTTCACCTCCACGCCGCGGACACTCTGAGGTGGGACAGGGATTCGGCGCCACGAGTTTTACTTTACTCGCAAGGGCTCCGAGCCAGAAAGAAGTGATGTACGGAGGTGTCATCAACTGAAAAGTTTGCACATCGGATCGCAGACTGATTTCTGACGTGCGGCCCGCTCGGTGGCAGGGGCGGGCAAGCCTCTTTTCCAGCGGTGTACCGCCAGTACCGAGCACAGGTGCCAACGGGTTATAAACGATTGTCAACTCGCTTCTGCGGTTTGTACCACTTTAATTTTAGTGTCTGGCGCGTGTGGTGAGTACCTTGCACTGCACGCAGCATTCTCTTGAGATTGACTCGTAGTTTTCGTTTCGTGTAGCGAAACTCATTGTGAATGGATCCTCATCTGCACTCTGTAAAAGTCCCCTCATGAGACGTGAATCAGAGACCCGACGAGTCACGCATGGATGTGCGCCATGGCGGCATGCATCCCGCGTCAGTTCGCGACACGCACAGCCGTGTTCGCCTTTACACTCCAGTCGAACAGCCGACTGAAGGAGTGGACGGGGACCCCAGAGTGGCCGTCCTAATGAGAGCCGTTGCATTGTAGGGACGAGGTCGTTATCTGCGTGCGCGATTCGTCGTACTTGCAACTGTTGCAGAGTTTTGCCGCCAAGACTCATTTGCGCGGTTTAAATGACCGCGCTCCCAAGTCCTAGAAATACTGCTGCAGACTGATCCCTAGAGTCATTTTCGTCGCGCCGTCTCTCTCGCACTCATGGGGCGTCCCGTATAGGTGCGAGAGAGACAGCGAATACGACTCTCGGAGTCAGTGTGCAGGCGGGGTCCTCCCTGCTGCACTGCTGCGCCTCTCTGGCCTTAGCCCGGCCACCGGCGGCGCGGCGGCGTGACCCGCGGCCCGCAGACTCCTTTCTATCTTCGCTGTCTCCCTCGCACTCGTGGGGCGTCCGACAGGGGTGCGAGAGAGACAGGTGGCTTGGTTCTTTCCGCCGGAAAGCGGGGGTGGCGCCGCGTCGCCCCGAGTGCTGCACCAAAGCACTGACGCCGGCCTCGTTGCTGCGCGCTGCGCGTTCGCTGGTCGTTGCTGCTATCACTGTTGTGTTGTCATTAGCACGGCCCGGGGCCTCGGGGGCCCGGGGCGCCGATAACGAGGAAAGAGGCCCACGATAAGGGCAAGTCGCTGGACGTCTGGACGGCTGGACCGCCGCGTCGCGTCGCCCTGCAGCCCTGCCGCCCTGCTTGTTGACGAGCCGGAGTGCGTCAACGCACCGGCACGCCGCACCAGACATTCCGAGAGTCGTTTTCGTCGCTCTGTCTCTCTCGCACTCATAAAGCGCCCCGTCCAGGTGCGAGAGAGACAGAGCGGCCGGCTGCAGCCCTTGTGGGCCGCGTTTCCGTAAATACAGAATACAGCCCGGGGGCGGGCTGGGCGGCGGACTGGGCGGCGGGTGCGCTGACCCCCAGCAACGAGTTCCAGTCTCAAAACCCCCGCCGCCAGCGTGCGCCAGCGCATGCTTTGCACGCCGGGAGGAGTTAGTCATTCAAGACGATTGGCAGGCAGCCCTTGTCGCAACGGGGGTCCATACGTTGTTTATTTTTCTTTTGGGCATCGAAGTGGCTGCTAGCTGTGGTGGTTTTGCAGTGTGCGAACTCCGCGGCCTCGTTTTCTGGGCGGCGCAGGCTAGCGCAGGCGGATCGCGAGATCCTTTCCCAAAAGCGCCGAGCGTGGCTCAACAGCACACTCAGAGTCGTTTGCGTCGCTCTGTCTCGCACCCATCAGACCGCCCCATGAGTGCGAGAGAGACAGAACGAGTCCCGGCCGAACTGGGCCACCCGCGCCGCCATGACCTTAAGTGGCACGTGTGCCCTGCGCGAACTGCGGCCCGCACGGCCGAATGGCCGCGTGCCCCCCAGGCACACCTTTCTCGGAATCAGTCTGCTGGGCGCGTCCGCGACCTACGGCGGCCTAGCTAATGCGATACAGGGACGGTGTCGGATGGGCCGATGGCGGACGGTGGTACCCACCCGACAAGGGTTGGGTAAGTGTTGGGTTTCGGTCGGCCGGGGGAAAAGTACCTGAAAGGTGCCTCGGGGAAAAGGGGAAAGGTACCTCGACGAGCTTGACCTGCAGTACCTGCAGCACGCGCTCGGGCTGTGCGCGCGACTCTGGTGCAGTCGGCCTCAACCCTGCCGAGAGATTCCGCCGCCCGCACTCCTGGCCCTGTCTCTCTCGCACACCTGCGCCACACTCTATGAGTGCGAGAGAGAGCGGACGGCGGAACCCCCGCCATCGCAGCAGCGCTGCTCCCCCGCCGCTTACTGGTGGAGCGACACGGACTCGTTGACTGCGACGGACATGTCGTGGCCGCTCACTTTCGGCTCACCAACGAGCGTGTTGTCGTGTAGGCGTCTTGTCAAAACAACATACAGTGTCTGGCACGCCCTCAGCATGGGTTCGAGCACGGGCTCGCGCACGGGTTCGGGCACGGTTTTGAGCAAGCGTTCGGGCGCGGTTCGAGCAAGGGTTCGAGCAAGGGTTTGCGTTGTCGGACCAAGGCAGACGCTAATGACATTTGCTGGCGAAAAAAACACACGGAACAAAATGTCGCTGATTGATGGGAGATGTTAGCATCCTGCCCAATCCTGTCTGGGCAGCGCTGTCGGCGCGCGCTAGCGCCTGATGGGTAGGCACCCATCGCCAGCACGCCGGCCGGTCTTGGCTCAGCCTAGCCGGTTGGGACCAGGGACTGCCAGGGACCCGGCCAGGGACCCGGGACGGGACCGCCAGAAACCGAGAACCAACGACATCACGTGACGATGCGCGACTGCGCGACTCGCTGGCTGGGACGCTGGGACAAAAAAACGGGTGTCGTCTGCCAAGAATAGAGCCCCGGAGGCGGACCCATCCCGAGTTCGCTTCCCGTGTTGTCCGAGGCGCGCCGTCCCGCTAGGACTGCCAGGCTGGTCCAGGCTGGGCCAGGCTATCCGGCTAGACAGGGAGCCATCCTAATCCGCTTCTTGATGCCTCGGGATGGCTAGGGCCGTCCGATCCGCGTAACTTGGCGCGCGGTGACGCATTTCATTTCGGCCACGCTATGGCGCGGTATCCCTGGGTATCCCACGCGCCGCGCGCCGCGCCTTCCCAGAAGGTGGCCCGGCCGAAAATCAAAATACATGTAACATGCATAAATGTGGGAACTGGGACGGGCAATGCGGGTGCTGCTTCCCTTGACCGCGGCCGCGACAGCGACACCCTTTCAAAGTCTAGGTTTCCGCCTTCACCTTCGATAGTCAGAACTCTGACGCCGCGGCCCGGCGACGGTGACGTCTCGTCTCGCCCGTCGGCGTCCGCCACAAGCTTGTCGCCGTCGCGGTCTACATCCAACAGCGCCACAGCACTCACTCACCAATTCAATTTGAAATGTAAAGCGTACTCAGTGTACAGTGTGTAACGCAGCCCGGCGTCGGCCCACGTGAAGGCTGGCTCACGCGGGCTCACGTGAGGGCAGGCCCTTCTGGTGGCCGTGTGTGTAGAGGCAAAGGGGAAGGGGGTCCCTGATTGACTCCCGCCGTTTCCCTGCGAAGCAACGCGGCACCGCGAGGACGGCAAATGAAGCGTCCGGCTCATGGCGCCTCGCCTCTCTTTGCCCAGCAGAACATGCCGCCCAGCATGCAGATCACGCCCCCGGTCGGCGACCCGGCCCAGGGCCAGCCGCAGGGCCAGCCGCAGGGCCAGGCGCAGGGCCAGGACGGCGTCGTGGCCGAGTTCTACCGCGGCGCCAACGTCTTCATGACGGGCGCCACCGGCTTCATGGGCAAGGTGCTGCTGGAGAAGCTGCTGCGCTCGTGCCCGGACCTCGGCACCGTCTACGTCCTCATCCGGCCCAAGAAGAACCAGATGCCGGAGCAGCGCATGGAGGCCGTCTTCGACTGCCCGGTGAGTGGACAGTGTGCTGGTATGCCTCGGCGCTAATGACGGTTTGCCAACAAATAACCGTAAACTTCCTCGTCGCGTTAATAGTGTCGCCGCGGGCCGCGCCCCGCCCCTCCCCGCCTCAGCGTTTCGTTTCCCAAGCGAAGGTGCAACCGGCGTGCCGCGGGGCTGCCGATAACACAGCCATCCCCGCCGGCCAGTCTGCCGCGCAGTCTGTATACAACTCGTAAACGCTGCTGCGGGCGGTGCCGTACTGCGGAAATCAAGCGTGCATGGATATTTTTAAAACATACAAATTTGTCAATTCCTTTTGCGAAGTAGTAGCAAACAGTTTGACTAGTGCGGCGACTGTGCAGCCCCGTCCGTACTTGTACTTGCACATCGGCCTCCCGGTCGTCGTCGTCATCGTCATTTGTCACCGCGGCAGACCCATCGACTCTGTCTACTGGGGGCAAGCGGACGGCTCTGAAAAAGTCCCACGCCGCAACCCCGCCCACCCGCCCGCCCGCCACTCTGCATCTCGAATGTCGCCGCTCGGTCACTTCGAATCAATCAATCACCATCCCTCCATTCATCGAAAGTCCTCAATTTGCCCCTCAACTTTTACGTCTGTTTTTCGATTGTATTGTGATTCGCGCGGCGCGGCGTGGCGTGGCGCGGCGTGGCGTGGCGTGGTGTGGTGTGATTGAGATGCTGTCCTGCTCCGCGCTTGTCAGCAATGCGATACACGGTGCACGGCCGCTGCAGCCTTTGCCTTCCTTGAGTGATTCCAAGAGTCGTTTTCGTCGCTCTGTCTTTCTCGCACTGGTGGGGTATCCCTTATGGGTGCGAGAGAGACAGCGACGAAAACGACTCTCGGAAACAGTCTGCTGGCGAGTCAAAGCTGTTTCGGCGCGGGCCTCTCCCAGGCGGATGCTCGCCTGGCTCGCCGGGGTGTGTGTGGGCGAGGGCTGCACTCGCACTGACCCTCTATGCTCTGCCCAGCTGTTCCAGAGGCTGCGCGAGGAGCGTCCCAAGTTCCGGCACCAGGTGGTCGCCGTGGCCGGGGACTGCTCGCAGCCGGACCTGGGGCTGTCCAAGGAGGACCGTGCCACCCTCATCGACAAGGCCAACGTCATCTTCCACTGCGCCGCCACCGTCCGCTTCGACGAGGCCCTCGACGTGGCCGTCAACATCAACGTGCGCGGCACCCGCTGCGTCCTGGACCTCGCCAGGGAGGCCAAGAACCTCAAGGTGCGGAGCGTTACATTGATTTGGGCGCTGATTTCCTCGTTCGTTTCTCTGACGACTTTGCCGCCCCCAGGTGGTGATGCACGTGTCCACGGCCTACGCCAACTGCCCGCGCTCGGACATCGACGAGGTGCTGTACGACGTGCCGCTGGACTGCGACCGCGTGGCCCAGATCGTCGAGGCGGCTGACGAGAAGCTCCTGGAACGCATCACGCCCTCGTGAGTGTCTCCCTTTCCCCTTCGCGTTTTGGCCAGACGGCACGCATTGACGCGCTGTGTCCCTGCCCACAGCCTGATCGACGTGTGGCCCAACTCATACGCCTTCACCAAGGCCCTGGGCGAGAACGTCGTCAAGACCCACGGCGCCGGCTTGCCCATCGGCGTCTTCAGGCCGGCCATCGGTGAGTCGCGTCGTCACGTCGTCGCGCGGAAGCAGCCCAGTCCGCCAAACAATGTGCATTAATCGGTGCTTTGCTTGCCCATGGCTTGCCAGTCGTCAACTCCGCCCACGAGCCCATGCCGGGCTGGATCGACAACCTGTACGGCCCCGGCGGCGTGGTGCTGGCCTCCGGCAGCGGCATCATGCACACGCTCAACGCGGGCAAGAAGTGCATCGCCGACCTGGTGCCCGTCGACATGGCCGTCAACGCCCTGCTCGTCGCCGCCTGGGAGACGGCCACCGCGAGGTGGGTGTTGCCGGTGGCGGCTCTGGCTTGCCACTCCCTCCGAAGGTTCCATTCGCTGATGTCAAACTGTGTGCCCCCAGCACCGAGGTGCGGAGCTCGCAGCCCGGCAAGGTGCCCATCTACAACTACGTCTCGTCCGTGGAGAACAGGCTGACCTGGGGCACCTTCATGGCGCTCACGTCCAAGTGGGGCTGGATCACGCCCGCGCAGCAGGCCATCTACCCCTACTCGCTGATCCTGTGCGACTGGCGGATCACCCACACCATCCTCACCTACCTCCTGCACTTCCTGCCCGCCCTGTTCGTCGACATCGTCTGCATGCTCACCGGGAGCAAGTTCAGGTAGAGTCTCGGCGACGTACTCGGTGTCACTCCACGCAATACGGTTGTTCCCCTGCTTATCCACGCCTTCTTCTCGTTCCGGTAGGATGATCAAGATCTACAAGAAGATCCACAAGTTCTCCGACGTGATCGCCTACTTCGCGACCAGGGAGTGGAGCTTCCACAACGGCAACGTCCGCTCCATGTGGCAGCGGCTCAGTCCGACGGACCAGAAGGAGTTCTACTTCGACATCAGTTCGCTGGACTGGGACTCGTACTTCCACGACTACGTCCTGGGCATGCGGCTGCACATGTTCAAGGAGGACCTCAAGAACGTGGAGCAGGCGCGCGCCAAGCACAGGAAGTAAGTGGCTGACGATGCTGAAGGAAAGGGTCCTGCGAGTTCACTGGAGTTTTCTGGAAATAACCGTGTGATTCTATTCGCAGGATGTGGGTGGGCCACGCCGCCGTGCAGATCGTGACCGCCCTGGTGGTGCTGCGAGTGTGCTGGGCGCTGCTGTCCTGGTTGGTGCCGGGGCTGGGGTCCGTGGGGTCCCTCCTGGGGATGACCGAGCCCGTCTTGACCGCCGTGCAGGCCAGCAGCTAGTAGCCTCTGCCGCGGCCACCTCGCCACCTCACTGCCCCCAAGGTCATGCCGAGTCAAGCTCACGGCCAAGAGCACGGAAACCAGTCGGGCTGCGGGGCTGCGGGGCTGCGGGCGCGAAAAAACAACTGAGATTTCCACCGACAGAGCGCGCCGATGCCGCTGCGCGCCTAGAGACCACGGTGCGGACGCGGCGCCGCGGCGGCTGGACGGCGGGCCACATTCAAAACACGTTGACGAGCCCCTCCCCGCTGGGCCATGCCGGGCCACGCTGGGCCCGCGACGGACAGACGGACCTCGATTCCGAGAGTCTGGTGCAGTCACAACTCAATGTAAATGTCTCTCTGTGTGTATATGTATAAGAATGTATGAGTGTATCTATGTGTGAGTGTTTTATGTATGTGTGAGTGCTGCGTGCGTGCGTTTGTGTGTCACATCACGATTTTGATTGTCATTCATCGTGGACCGGCGGCTGTTTTGTAGAGGCATTGCGCATCCCGGGGGCGCCACTCGATGGGAATGTGGACTATGACTTGAGACTAGATTGTCTGACTGTGACTAATTTCAATGGTGACTTTTTTGACTTGTCCCTGACATTTTGACTTGTCCCTAACATTTTGACTTGTCTCTGACTTTTTGACTTTTCTGCGGACTTTATAGACTTTTTGGTGCCTTTTTAGACTTTTCTGAAGGCGTATCGTGGCGTCAACCCCTTGAATGGAGGCAATATCTCTCCGAAAATGAGAAGAAATGACTTTTTTGAATCTATGAGTGGAGTGACGTTTTGACTTTTAATGACGTTTTTTAAATTTAAAAATGACTTGTTCGGGCCTCGGACAGTGACTTTTGAAAGTGGCGCCCCCCTCAGCGCATCCTCAGCGTCCTTGATGTGCTTCCAAACGGATTAGCATTTAGCAGCACCTTGGCGACGCATGGAGATGTTGTGTAAATTATTTGAGTGTAAATACATAGCAAATTTGTGGAGAAAACGGGTGTCACAAGACAGCATTCAGTCCACGTCAAAGTCACATTCATATTTTTCGTTCTCATTGTTCCCATAAAACAAGACAGGGTTGTCACTGTTACTAGTTTTGGCATTTTGTAAATAAGACCCGGTGTAATATATTAAAATAAATTACAAAAATTATTCAAACCTGACATGTATTTTTCTATCTCGAACAAGGTTAGGGGTTGAAAGAAGAGGGGAGGTCACGGGGATGCTTTTTGCGCGGGGCTTTCCACCGCGGGGACGGTCTTCAACACCATGTCGTAGTGGCCCGACCGGAAGCTGGCTGACCCCGTCCCGGCGGAGGTGCCCGAGGGTGTCCCCCGGGCCGGCGCGCCCGCCGGGTTGGCCAGGGGCCGGCGGTTGAGGCTGGTGCGGCACTTGGTGGACTTGCAGCCGGTCGCCGCGGGCCCCGCCCCTTGCCCCGCCCCTTGCCCCCCCAGCCCGTCCTCGGCGCGGGTCAGCCTCGCCCACGCGTCCACGGGGGACGCGGCGGCGTGCCAGTTGTCCGGGCCGTCGAAGAAGAACGGGTCGTCGTCGTCCACAGACACGTCGTCGTCGAAGTCGCCGTCGTGGTCGTCGAAGCCGTCGTCCAGAGCTCCCGAGAGGCCGCCGAAGTGCACGAGGCGCTGGTAGAAGGGCGGCCGGTAGCCGCCGAGCAGCGGGCTGCCCAGGCGGTGGTGCACCGAGGCGGCCTTGGCGGCCTCCGCCGCGGTGCCCGGCGTCGGCCCGGGGCGCCGCGCCATCACGCGCATCTCGCCGCTGGGGTCCACCACGTAGCGCACCGAGGTGCGCACGTCCCCGGACACCAGCGTGTACCCGCCGCGCACCCAGCCGTCCGCGGAGCGCTCCCAGGCGTCCGCCACGTGCGCGTCGGTGAAGCCACCGGCGTAGCGGTCTGCGTCGGCCTGCAGGCAGAGACGTCAATACCCGAAATGCCATGCATGCCCACGGTGGCGACACCCCGCGCCCAGCGGGCCTCCACTCACCAACGCGGTCACGATGCTCCTCTCCGTCGTGGAGTCGTCTGCCGCGATGCGGGGCAGGCACGCCGTCAGGCACGCCGTCAGGCACGCCGCGGCCACGAGTAGAAGCTGCGGGGCAAGGAGAACACATTGGAGAAAGCGCCGGCGCGGCGGTGAGACGTACGACGCGGAAGCGCGATGGGCTGCCTGCCCACTAGGGGCAGCACTGCGCTCTCCCGCAAACCACGATGCAGTCATGCCACATGGGTTGCCTACCGCAGCCTCCTCTTTGGGCAACTTCTTGTCGGCGGAGACGATTTCTTTTCCTGGCACGCCGACTTAGGTAGGCAACCCGCGTGCCATCGCTGCATCGCGGGCAACTTCGGTACACCAAGAAGCCTCAGCCTCAGGCAATACAGTGCCTCGTAAACAAAACAAACGGCTGCCGCTGCCCGACGCGCCGTCCCCGTCCTCGCCCTTTACCTTCCGAGGGTCCATGTCGCAGTGGAGTGCCGCCCAGAGGTCAGCCGGTCCACCTTTATAGCCGACGGTGACGCCGGTGGACCGCGACGGCGCCCGCGACTCCCGCGACGACGCTCGCGACGCGACGCCGGGCCGGCCGATCCGAGCCATCCGTCCGGAAGTGACGATGCGCAGCCTGGAGGCTTGCAGACTGATTCCGAGAGTCGCTTTCGTCGCTCTGTCTCTCTCGCGCCTGTAGGGGGCGCCCCAAGAGAGCGAGGGAGACCGATCGACGAAAGCGACTCTCGGAATCAGTCTGCTGGAGGCGCTGGAGGCCTGGAAGGACGCGTCGCGGCGGCTAATTACGAAAGACTGCGTTTGTGCATCGTCAGTGCGACTTGACTTCCCGGAGCGGCCCGCTCGGCCGGCACGCGTGTGGTTGCGGTGTGGGCTATCGTAGATGCGCAACCGGGCTTTTTGCTAGAGTGTGAGTTAAGTTGCCGACCTTCCCGGCGTCGCATTCACTACAGAAGAGCCATTTTAGGGCAATTTTTAAGGTACGTACTTTTGAAGGATGACTGGATTGTGATGACATTGATATAGAAACGAGTGTTTCTCAGTATTTATTTCTACATGACTACATTACAAGCTCCTTATGATAGTGATTACTTAACATTACTTAACATTGCTCTCAACTGCTCATCCTGAACGTAACATGACAACTCATCTTTCGGCTGAACCTAAAGCTACATTTTAGAATACAGATAAAAATACAAGACGAAATACTCTAAAACTAGTGAGCTAGGAAATCACCGTGCTGTTACAATCACATTTTGGTTACTGGACTCTGCTCTCCTCGCGCGCAGAGGCCTTTCCCTTCTACGACCTGGCCAGGCCGGGGAGCACTCTGACGGCGTGCTCGGGGTTGTGGAACTGGATCTTGCGGATGTTGACCGGCACGCCGTCGGGACTGACGAACGAGAAGGAGCCCCCGATGAGCTTGACGGCGTCCGAGCGCGCCAGGTGCAGCGGGGAGTCGCTGTGGGGGCCCGTGAACAGCAGCCCGTCCACCAGGTGGCTGCGGAGCGAGGGAGACAGGCATTGGTAAGGCCAGCGAACGTAAGGGGCAAAGTAGGCGTCAAACAACCTCCTGCACGTACCTGTACACGAAGCGGCCGTCGACTCCGGCCTGCTGGCTCGGCTGGCTCTGGGGCTGTGTCGTTCGCTGCAACTGGGGCTGGACCTGTGTCTGCACCTGCGGCTGCACCTGAGGCTGCTGCTGCTGCTGGCTCTGGCCGGCGGCAGGGTGCTGGTGGCGGTGCCCGTGGCGGTGATGCCCATGTTGGCGTCGGAGGCCGCCCTCCGAGCCCGTCAGCAGCGCGCTGGCAGGGATGCTCCAGTCGGACGAGATCTCGTTGAACTCCAGCAGGGGCTCCTCGTCGTCCTGGAGTCCCTGCTGCAGTCGGTGGCGGCGGTAGGCCGCGGCCAGCGCGCCGATGGGGGCGCCCCAGTCGGAGGAGATCTCGTTGAACTCAAAGTTGGGATCTTCTTGGCCTGCTCCGTGCCGCTGGGCGGCGGGCCGCCCCCTGCGCGAGGCGTGGGCCCCCGCTAAGGCCGATGGCGCGTTCCAGTCAGACGAGATCTCGCTGAACTCGAAGTTGGGGTCGTCTTGGCCTGCCCCGTGTCTCTGACGGTGAGGTCGTCTCCTCAGCCCGGCGCGAGCTCTGGCCAGGGCCAAGGGCGAGTTCCAGTCGGAGGAGACGGCGTTGAACTCGAAGTTGGGGTCGACGCCTGCTGGCCGCGCTGGCGGCGCTGGCGGCCCGTACTGCGCGAAGGGGGTGTAGCGGCGGGGCGCGGGGGCGAGCTGGACGGCGAAGTTGGGGGCGGGCGCGGTGGCGGCGACCTCGGGGTTGAAGAAGGCGTCCTCGGGGGTGGCCGGCACGAAAGCCGCCTCGTCCCTGCCGGAGCTGGTCCCCACCGTCCCCACGCCGAACTCCACCTGCGACTGACCGGGGACAGGGGGTGGCGGAGGGGGCGGCGGCGGTGGCGGTTGTATGGGCGGGGGCGGGGGGTGTGGCTCAGGGGGCGGGCTCTCCGGGAGCGGGGGCGGCGGCAGGATGTCCAAGCTGGTCGGCGGCGCCGGGGCGAACACGGTGGATGGTGGGATGAAGCCCGCGGCTGCGGATGCTGTGGATGCTGTGGATGCCGCGGATGCTGTGGACACTGCCAGCACCGCGACCTGGGAGACGGAGACAAACAGCGATAAGCATCGGCGGTTCTATGCAGACCGCACCGCGCTGCACCGCGCTGCGACGCGCTGGACTCGGCGCACCGCAAATTTGGACGGGCGGAGGTGTGTGGTTGGCGCAGGGGCTGCCTGGCCCCCGCCAATTTAGGCATTGGCCACTGAGTTGGTCCCTGATTCCGTAAAATCCAGCGGGCTGGCCGGGCAATACACTACACGACCACGCCGCTTTGTTTTTCTCAATTACAGCACTCGATTCAGAAGTCTCAGACAATTGCAGAACCCCGAAGCACCCCCTCGATCGAAAGGCTTGCCCGAAACGAGCAGAGGGAAGTGCGTACTCGCGGTGGACGTGGACACTGGACAGCGCTGCAAGCTGGAAGCTGCGACTCACCAGACAGAGGCGCAGCATGTTGGCGGCCGTGCGAGGGCTACTGGATGGAACGGCCGGGGTGGTCTGGGGTCCCACTTATAAGGTGGGTCGCGGCCCCGCCCCTCCCCCACCCCTCCCCCACCCCTCCGCGCCCGTCCCGGCCCAGTCGGCGCGGAGTCGCTGTCGCGGTCGTCGCGGTCCGCGGGGTCCGGGCGGTGCGGCGCGGTGCGGCGCGGTGGTACGACAACAGGGCGACCGACCGAGCGACCGACCGACCGAGCCGCCTGGCTGGGCCTGGCCCGAGCGACCACCCCCTGCGGCTACCGGCTTCCAGATTACTGGGTCTATTAGGCCCAGCAGACTGATTCCGGGAGTCGTTTTCGCCGCCCTGTCTCTCTCGCACCTGTTCGGGAGTCCCCATGAGTGCGAGAGAAACAGAGCGACGAAAACGGCTCTCGGAGTGAGTCTGCCGGCCGGCTGACGCGCTGCGCGCTGTGCCACGCGGCCTGGCCGGCCCCGGACAGCGCAGCGCCAATTCGCCGTTCGGCCGGTATATCGGTCCAGACTTTCCAGAACGCCGTCTGCTATGCAACGCCGTGCCGCGACCGACAAGGACTATCGCCCGGCCGAACCGCAAGGTCCCAGAAGGCCCGCTGGCTCATCCCAGATGAGTCGCCCTCCTGGCCGAGAGCGCCGTGCCCGCCGTGCCCGACCCTCCGTGTGTCCGAGCCAGAAGCGGTCGCCAGCCCGCCAGCGACACCTAGCCGCCGGCGCGGCTTCAACGCGCGCTGGCGGTAACAGCCGGTAACAGCAGCCCGGGGCGGCGGGTCGGCCGCGCGGCCCGCCAGCCTTTGCCAAACAATTTCGATGGAGTATAATCTCCGGTTGGATTAGCCTCGCATTCCGGCGAGTCCAACTTATTATGGGTCGCCAGTTCCGCGAAGTGTAGTGTCTGAGGGAGGGACGGGCCGAAATGAATTGATGTTTGCAAAATGATTTTTAAGCTATGTATTATTTAAAAAAAAGACAACAAAAATCACGTTATAACAAAGCATGGATGCAATACAACAAGGTTTACTACTTTAGTGGTACACAAAGGAACATTTCATTTAGCTGTCACAAAATGTGAGGCTTTTCTTTTAGGCAGTGGATGATAGACCAATTGTTCTCCTTTGTGCAATCAACGATGTAACAACGCATATTATTTATTTACTAAAATCACATTTTTAGTGTTACCTACCCTATCAGTACAAGCGACAATAACTAACTTCTTAAAACAAGAAGACGCGTCCTTAAATGATATGACATTATTATATATACACCTTAAGTAAAGAAACATTTATTCTACGTGCGTTTATCACATATTTTGTCAGCAAGATGAGATAGTGCTGGTCAACACTGAAAGGCACACAGGCACTGGCTCCATGCTTTTAGTAACATTTCACTTACACGTAAACTAACAAAATAATCAAGCATATATGCAAAATTAATCACAGATTTAATAATTATGATATCTTATAAGATGTATACAAGAGAAATATGATGTTTGACAGAGGACAGAACATTAAGAAAACATATACTTTTGGGACACAAGTAACATTTGAGGTACAGCTTCAAGAAGACTTTGCAAAGGGTAATAGTATAAATAAATAAATAATCTTATCATGACAAAATATAAAATTAGATAACCTTTGAGCACTAAACAAACACAATAAAAATGAAATAATCCACTGAAAAAATAGTTTATACTCTCTCTTACATCATTCTTCTGAAACGTTACATGACAAAAATAATAATCTTAGGAACAAACTGACGTCACGCGAAACAGGCGTCCGTTTCAGCTCCAATAATAAGAACAGCTACTTTTGAGCTGCGCCCCTCAAGAGCGGAGGCGTTTGGGTCACAACAGTAAAAAGGACGCAACAATTGCTGAAGTCAGTCAAAGCCAGGTTTGGAAGTCCTAGAGGGCCTTAAAGGGCCTTACACGTACGCGATGGCGGGGTCGTTCTCGTCGCTGCCGATGCTGTCCACCTCGTTGGTGTCGCTCGACACGGCGCCGCCGGGCATGGGCACGCGCGCGTACTCGTCCGTGTCAATCGACTTGCAGAAGTGGATGGCGTACTTGAGCTTCTCCAGCAGCACAGGCTGCGACGACCAAAAAGGTTCATTACAATCAGGCATTCCATAAGGTGCTAAAACTACAGAAGAACACCGTTGTCTGTTTTACCTTGCAGGAGTACCGCGGCATCTTGAGCAGGAAGAAGCAGGTGTAGCTCTCGGGGAGGAAGTGGTCCGGCGGGTTGTACTTGTCCAGCACCTGCAGCACGAAGTCGCGGCCGCGGAAGTCGGCCTTGGTGCGCGGCAGGCGCGTGCGGCCCCACACGAAGCGGAGGAACAGGGAGCGCTCCTGCGTGTTGAACTCCTCCATCACCTCCCAGAACCAGCGCACCAGCGGGGAGGTGGCGTCGATGCCTGAAGTGACAAGATTACAAATGAAACTCGAGTGGAACGGGTGGCGAGTCCTACCGGAGCTGGAGTGTAACTCACCGCGGTAGGTGGCGACGGACTTGAGCAGGGCGAGGGGGATGTCCGGCGAGCCGCAGACCATGGTCTCGAGCTCGTAGCCGCGGAACAGGGACAGCAGCGGCACGGGCACGACGCGCGCCAGCCCCTCGCGCACCGCGGCCACCTGCTGATCGAACTCGTGCAGGCGGAAGTTGAGTGCCAGCTGGATGTACTCGTGCCGGTTGTCGGGCGTGATGCGGCGGTGGCGCGACGACAGCGGCATCTCCACGCCGGACGCGGAGGGCGTCGAGAAGGCGATCTCCAGCGTCTGGAAGAGCTTCTCGTCGGGGGACATGTCGCGAATGCAGAGCAGGCCGGGCACGTAGTCGCGGTCCACCTCCGTCAGGTCGGCGGGCGTCAGCTGCTCGCCGGCCAGCTGCTTCCACACGGGCTCGGCCAGGTTGAGGCTCAGCGGGTTGCCGGTGCGCACGGCCACGCCCATGAGCACGCCCAGGAAGCGGAACATGGTGGTGTGCAGCGGCGAGCGCGCCGCGGGGTTCAGCAGGAAGCAGTCCCGGTTGGTGCCCGCGTCGTCGCGCCCGTTGGGCGTGGGGATGAGCAGGGGCAGCGCCCCGTTCTGCAGCTCGTCGCACATCTCGGCGATGCTCTCGCTGAAGCCGCCGCCCAGGTCGTCCACGCTCTCGCCCACGAACTTGACCTTCCAGACGCGGTGCGGCAGGAACAGCGCCTCCTGCGTCAGCAGCGACATCTTGCCCACCATCTGGCCGAACACGGACTTGATGCCGTCCGGGCCGGCCAGCCCACCGCGCGACCCGCGGGACCGCTTCACCTGGAAGGGAGACAACCACGAGTTCCAACACCGCCATGCCAAGCCCATTCTTTAGTCGTCATTTGTTTTTATTTCTTGCTTAAACTGACCTGTATGCGGTTGAGTTCCAGCACCGGGCCGTGCTGGCGGTCGCGAACCATGGTGGCCTGCACCACCTTGCGGAAGGCGGCCTCCTTGATGGAGTACACGAGCGAGGCGCGCAGCTGCGACAGGCTCACGTCACCGTGGAGGGCCTGCTGCACGGGGAACATGGCGACGCCGGGGCACAGCAGCTCGGAGAAGTGGTGCAGCAGCAGCAGGCGGTCGCGCAGCGTGCTGAGCGGCAGGTCTCGCACCAGGTCGTACTCGAGGGGCGCGCTCTGGGGCAGGCGCGGCCCGCACGCGCCGCCCGCCTCGCCGGCCTGCGCCAGGCTCCAGGCCAGCGTGTGCGCCGAGCCGCACGCCACGCGCGTGATCTTCTTGCCCTGCAGCGCCACCACGGGGCGCGGCCGCTGGATGGCGTTGGTGGTGCCGTCGGCGAGCTGGCCCTCGTCGTTGTCGCCCCACGTGAACACCTCGCCCTGGTCGCTGCACGCCACGCAGTGGAGGGAGCCTGCAAGCCAACGCCCCGTCAGCGCGAACCCCCAAGCGCCTGCGAAGGACGAGGTAGGCCGGCCCGCAGGACGCGCGGCCGCGGCGGCACTGCCTACCCTCGACTTGGCAGGCGCTCCAGGCCGCCCCGCCTTGGCCCCGCCGCCCTCTGGGCCCCGCCCCCGGCAGGGTTCGCTGGCCCGCGGTGCTCTGATGCTAATCCCCCGCCCCTGCCGGCGCCACCGACTCGTGTTCCGGTTTCGTGGACTAGGCCATGGCTGCGCACAACCAGTCCAATCCGGTCACGAGCCGCCGTGCCGCCGTGCCGCCGTCTGACCTACCTGTGGCGATGGAGATGATCTTCTTGCCCTGCAGCGACGACACTTTGCGCGGCCTTCGCACGTGGTCGTCGGTGCCATGTCCCAGTCGGTGGTAGTCCCCCTTGCCCCTGGAATCGCAGTGAAACCGAACCGTTGTTTTTACACATCCAAAAAACTTGAACAATAACAACAATGCCACGGTCCCAGCCAGCAGCCAGCTCAGAGGCTAAGAGCATGGAAGTGTGAGGAGCGCCATGGCAACACAGTGGTGTGGCAGACTTTGGACTGCTTTCGGCTCACCACGTGTACACGCTGCCGGAGCGTGTGAGGGCGACGGAGAACTGCGATCCGCACTCCACCTTGATGACGCCGAGGCCGGCCAGGGACTCGATCTTCATGGGCACCTTGCAGCCCTCCGAGCCGCCGCGGCCGAGCTTGCCGTAGTCGCCGTCGCCCCAGGACCACACGTTGTCGTCGTCCGTGATGCACAGCGTCTGCGCGTCGCCGCTGCCGCAGGCGATGTCCACCACCCGGTAGCCCACCAGCGCCTCCACCTGCAAGCGGAGAGGGTCAACGCCACGCCGGGGAGAGGGAGGGGCATTCCAGTGCGGTAGCCATTCCACTGGCTAGCCGTCGATCATTTTCGCCCCCCTAACCCAGCAGGCCCAGTAGCCAGCACCGGGATACGCAAAACAAACAAGCGCACTAACCAGCTTGGGCCGCAGCTGGTCTTCGCTGTCGCCGTGGCCGAGGCGGCCGTAGCGGCCCTTGCCCCAGGTGTACAGCTCGCCCGCGGCGCTGATGGCGGCCGAGTGCGCGCCGCCGCACGCGATGTCCGAGATCTCGCGGCCCTGCAGGGCCTGGATGAGCTGCGGCCGGTCCAGCGAGCTGCGGAGTCAACACGTCACGTGAGCATCTCGAAGTCGTTCAACAGGCTCAACTTGTGCGATGATCTGTTATCTCACTGTGTGTTGCCGTGGCCCAGCTTGCCGTCGTCGCCCTCGCCCCACGACAGCACCTCCCCCTCGGCGGACAGGGCGAGGCAGTGCTTGCCGCCAGAGTTGACGGCCACCTTCTTGATGAAGATGTGCTGGATGGACTCGAGGAGCGTGGGCGTGGTGACCGAGTCGACGCCGCCGATGCCCAGGCGGCCGCCCGCGCCGTAGCCGGTGGCGTACACCTTGCCGTCCGCCGACACGGACAGCAGCGTCTGCTCGCCGCCCACCAGCTGCACGGGGCGCAGCGACGACAGCGCCTCGCACGGCGTGGGCAGGCGCACGCGCGTGCCCTCCACGCCGCCGAGCTGGCCGCGGTGGTTGTGGCCCCACACGTAGATGGTGCCGCTGCCGCACGACAGCGTCCAGTCGTCGGGCCGCCTGGGGGAGAGAGAGACAGACAGATGAGCTCAGGGTCAGGACAAATGAGAGGGGGGAGAGAGAAAGGGGTACCTGTTGAGCCACATGAGCAACTGCTCGTCGTGCTCCAGCTTGAATAGGGCGTGGTTCTCGTGGTCCGTGCTCATGTCCTTGGCACTCGTGCCCTCCTCGGACAGCTCCATGATCCTCTTGCGGACCTGCAACACAACATCCGGGTCAGCTTCTAGGCGCGCGAGGCGCGAGGCGAGGCACGCAACGGCGGGGAGCGCCGTCGGCGGTCCGGGCGGCGTTCTCGCGGTTCTCGGAATGGCGGCCGCGCCGGGCCGCCCGCCGCGCCTAAAAGGTTCCACTGGGGGTGCTCGGGCCTTGGCCTACCTCCGTGCAGAAGGTGGCGGGCAGCGTCTTCCTGTTGATGATGGCGGACGCCACCCTGGCCGCCATGCAGTACCTCCTGAACCAGGACCACTTGTGGTTCTCGGCGCAGCAGGGCAGCGAGTCCAGGCCCAGGTCGCACGCCAGCGCCACCAGCTCTTGGAAGAACGGGCTGTGCAGGAGCTGCTTGCCGGAGCGCACGGCGGGGTCCTCGTACTCGTGCTGCCGGAGGAGGGCCAGAGGCAGGCCCTGCAGCAACGCCGCCACCGGCTCGCTGCTGGCGCCGTGGCCCGCGGGCGAGGCTGCCGTCATGGCGGCCCCCAGGCCCGCGCGGAGCAGGCGCCTCAGGCACTGCAGGGACCACATCCGTTCGCCGGACGCTGCGGAGCGGAAAGAAAACAAAGCCGTCAGCGTGGAGGGCGGCCGGAGGGCGGGCCACTGGCCAGTGGGCCCATTCACCCGCGCACCCTACACTACAACTACACCGGCCCATTCATTTGGCGGGCCGCTCGTGGCGCCGCGGGGGGCTTCTCGGCTACTGCACTCACTGAGGTGGCTGAGCTGGGCGCAGGCGGCGAGCGCGGCCGCGAGGCGCGACACCACGTGGCGGTCGGCGGCCTGCAGCAGCCTGGGCTCCAGCAGGCACACCACCAGCTCCATGGAGGGCTCGGACAGCACCAGCCGCTCGGCGCGCACGTCTCTCGAGCTGGACAGCACCACGGGGTGCACCGTCATCTTCCAGCCCCAGCCGTTGAGGGAGCCGTCCGACGTGAACTTCCAGCGCATCTCGTCGCCTGGAACGCACCGCACAGTCAGTCACGCATTGCACAACGGGCGATTCCAATGGGGAAGTACTCGCGGCCTCACCGGGGATGTGCAGCTCCTGGCACCAGTCGTTCCACTCGCGGCCCGAGCGCACGGCCACCATCCTGCCGCCGCCGTCCGTGATGGTGAGCGGGTCGTGGCGGCGCTCCGTGGAGCACAGGCGGTCGAACTCGACGCGCAGGCTGTCCGCGCCGGGGATCTTGACGTGGCCCGTGAGCGTGATGTCGTCGATGTAGGGGTGGCTGCTCTCCTGCACCACGGGCTGCGGCACGCGGCGCCGCGCCTGCGTGTCCCTGGCCACGTCCTCCAGCTCCGTGACGCACAGCTCCAGCAGCAGCGCGCGCACGCCGGGCTTGGTGGCCGCCAGCGCTGCGGGAGAGAAGTCACCTCGTTAGTGGGCTCGTTCACGGGGACGGGAAACAACACAAACGAGTCGTGGCTTACAGGACAGGATCTTGGAGAGCGTCTCCTTGGTCTCGCAGTTGCGGCTCAGGACGATCTTGAGGATGTCGACGAGCATGCAGGCGTCGTCCGCCCCCAGCAGGGCGCACAGTTCATCCGCCGGGGCGGGTCCGTTGCCCTCCAGCGCGCCCACCACTTGCGCCTTGGAGGTGGCGGTGGCCGCGATGACGCTCATGGCGCTGGACGACATCTTGGACCCCGACGCCCTGGAGCACAAGCTGGCCGACGACGAGGCCGAGAAAGACGGGAAGCCCACCGGGCTATCCTCGCTGCCCGGCGTCGTGTGCGCGCTCTGCGGAACAGGGTCAAATGAGGGTCTGTGGCCAGGCAGGGACAGGACAGGGAAAGGCGTACACTGGGGCCATACTTACCACCACCAAGGTGTCCGGCATGAGGGCGGGCGCCTCGCCACCGCCCTGCGCGATCTCGGGTTCGGCCTCCACCACCTGGGACTGCGCCGCCTCCAGGGCGAGCGCCTCTCCCAGCGCCTCCTGCACCAGCCCCAGGCTCACACTCATGCCCATGCTGAGCGCCATGCTGTCGGGCGGCAGCGGGCTGTCAGGGGAGTCCGCTGAGCACTCCGAGGCCGTCAGGGCGTTGTTGGCGACGCTGTCCACGGAGCAGTTGAAGGCGGCGGACACCACCTCGCGGGCCTGCAGCACCTTGAGCGCGGCCAGGACGTGGTTGAGGGCGTGCTGCCGCGCCCCCGCCGACTCCAAGCCGAGCAGGATCTGCGACAGCGACGGCCGCGCCGCGGGGACCGACGGCACAATACTGGGCGGGGGCACCGCGGCCGCGGCCCCAGTCGGCGGCACGGCGTTGCCCGAGTCCGTATCCAGAACGTCGGGCTCCACGACGCCCAGCGAAGAGCTGCCCAGCGGGTCGCGCGTCGTGTCGAACAGCACGGGCTCCTGCAGGCCGGGCGGCTGAGGCTCCACCGAGGTCCAGGCGATGGAGTGGCTGGAGCCGCACGCCACCCGCTTGACGCGCACGTCGCCCAGCCCCTGCACCATGGCGGGCTTGCGGTTCACGAGGGTGGAGCCCGACGCCTGCTGGCCGTGGTCGTTGTCGCCCCACGCGAACACGTGGCCCTGGTCCGTGACGGCCAGGCAGTGCAGCGCGCCGACGGCCACCTGCACCACGCGCTCGCCGCGCAGCGCCTCCACCAGCGTGGGCCAGCGCATGTGCGCGTCCGAGTCCAGGCCCAGGCGGTAGTAGTCGCCCTTGCCCCACGTCCAGACCTGCGGCAGTAGCCAAGTTACGACAGGATCCCCCAAAGTGCGCAGAATGCAGAGGGACCCGACTCACCTGCCCCGTCTTGGTGAGCGCGAGGGAGAACTGGGCTCCGCATTCGATCTGGCAGACGCCGAGGTTGTTGAGGCGCTCCACGTTCTGCGGCACGCTGCAGCCCTCCGAGCCGCCGCGGCCCAGCTTGCCGAAGTCGCCGTCGCCCCACGAGAACACCATGCCGTCGCTCGTGAGCGCCAGCGTCTGGGCGTCGCGGCTGCCGCAGGCCACCTGCACCACGTGGCGGCCGAGGAGGGCCTTCACCTGGAGGGACAGGCAGAGCGACGGCGTCAAGGTGGACGTCTACCAACCGGCTAAAACAGCAGCCTCAACCTCTTAGCCAGAGGAACCACAAGGCAGTCATCCCAAGGTTGAGAACCGCTAGGCCAAGTTATCACGTAGGTCGAAGCATCACTTGCCAGTTTGGGTTTGAGCTGCGAGGCGTTGTCGCCGTGCCCCAGCCTGCCGTACTGGCCCAGTCCCCACGTGTAGAGCTCGCCGCCGGAGGTGATGGCGGCCGAGTGCGCCGAGCCGCACGCGATGTCCCTCACGCGCTTGGCGCGGAAGGCCTCGATGAGGCGCGGCCGGTCCAGGGTGGCCCTGGTGCCGTGGCCGAGCTCGCCGTCCTCGCCCTGGCCCCACGAGAACACCTTGCCGTCCTGGGTGAGCGCCATGGCGTGCTTGCCGCCCGAGTGCACGGCCACCTTGCGCACCACGTACGGCGCCAGCAACAGGAGCTGCCGCGGCGTCGCCACGTTGCCGCTGTGTCCGAGGCCGAGGCGCCCGTTGGAACCCTCGCCGCACGCGAAGAGCTGAAAGAGGAATAAACGCAGTGAGGACGAGTCAGGACATACCGCCGTTCGTCAGCCAGGCAGCGCCCTTACCTTGCCGTCCGACGACACGACGAAGAGGGTCTTGGAGCCGCCGGCGATGTGCACGGGCCTGAGCGCGGACAGCGACTCGGAGAAAACGGGCAGCTTGACCTTGGAGCCCTTGGCGCCGCCGAGCTGGTCCTTGTCGTTGAGCCCCCACACGTACACGCGGCTCGGGGGGTCGCACGCGTCCCCGGGGCCGGGCCCCACCACGCCCCACTCGGCCAGGCCCAAGTCCTTGACCTGCGAGTCGGACGCCAGGAAGGAGAAGGACCTCGGCATGGGGTCCTCCACGACGCGGCGCCGGCCCACCACGCACAGCGCGCGCACCTTGCAGTCGATGCCTCCGTTGCGGCACTGCTTGATGGCCACCTCGATGCACGGGTAGTACTGCAACGGGCACGCGTTAGAGGTGCGAGACAAGCAAGTCCACTTTCGGCGTCGGGGCGGCACTCACCTCCTTGAGGTCGCTGAGCAGGGGCACCACGGTGTCCGTGTACCTGATGACGACGCTGGCCAGCTCCGTCATGTCGGAGTACACGTCCCCGCCGGACACGACCACCAGGGAGGGCATGTAGCTGCTGTCGCTGGGGTCCACCGTCATGGCCAGCAGCTGTATCGTCACGTCCGGCTGCATGTCCAGTCGGATCCAGTGCTGCCAAATCCCCTCCCAAAAGTTAGTTGTCCGACTTGGCGGGGCCGAAATGCGAAATTCGGAACGGGTTGTGGCGACTACCTACCTTGCCCTGAGTGCCGCAGCTCTGCCAGTAGCTGCCCGACCCGTCGAACAGTCGGGACACGGAGGCCTCCCTGGACGAGGCCGTGACCCTCTTCACGCACTGCGACCAGTCCTCCACCAGCGAGCTCAACGCGGAGCTGCTGTCGCCTTGCGACATGACGCGCGCCAGGGGCCGGCTCTGGCTCAAGGACGTCCTCGGCAGGGCGCTGGGGACGTAGCGGCCGTCGGGGTCTGCAGGGAGGGGAAGGGTTAGTCAGGAAAGCAAACGCGAGGCTGACCACCAAGGGCACCTGGACGCTCACCTCCGTCGCTGACGCGCAGCAGCTGGTGGCGGTGGAAGTGCCTGGACACCACGTGGAAGCAGGCCTCGCACAGGCAGAAGTTGCGGCACTGGTGGCACGCGTAGCGCGCGCCGCCGTGCGTGCTGCCGAGGCACGCGGCGCAGTCGGGCGCGGCCTCGGGGCTCCGCAAGGAGGCAGTGGCCGCCGTCGGCGCGGTCGTCCCGGCGGTGGCTGGGGAGGCCGCGCCAGGGGTCGGCGCCGAGGCGGTCGGGGTCGGGGTGGCGCCGGACGCCGCGGCGGCCTTGGAGCCGCGCGGGGAGCGCCTGGCCGTGGGAGGGAAGCCCAGCAGCTCCACGTGGATGAAGCGCACCCAGTAAGTGTCGTTGCGGTGCTGCCAGGCCACCTGCAATCCAGCACACCGTCAGCAAACAGCACCCTGCAGACCAAATCCACGACGCCACGCTCGACTTACAAACACGTTCAGGTCGTGCAGCCCTTCCGAGTCGATCTTGATGACCTGGCCGACGTCGCCCTCGTACACCACCTCGTAGGTCTTGCAGCAGCGCACCAGCATGCCGGGGGCGATGTTGTCGCGCACGTACATGGCGTACTCGTCCTTGCTGTGGAAGTCGGCGCGGCTGTGGTACACCACGCCGGGCTGCTGGGCCGGCACCTGCAAAAGGAGAGCAGAGACGATAACACGCCGGCCCGTTTGGAGGACGCCGTCAATGCAGAGCGCTCAACCCACCACGTGGGTGAAGGAGCTGGAGGCGTCCTCGGCCTCCTCCGACGTCGAGTCCGAGTCGGAGAGCGCGTCGAAGGACGAGATGGTGTCCGAGTCCGACATGCCTGCGTCGGGGTGTTCCAGAAGCCACGCCACGAGGCGTTCAATGGTCAAGCCGCCGCCCGGGGCGTCCGAAGAGGTCTCTCCTGCGACAGAAGCCAAGTCAGCACGTCGAATGGACAGGATCAACACAGCGCAAGGATGCAGTCTGACTTACCCAGCACTTTCAAGGTGTACTCGACGCTCTTCCTGCTGAAGCCCATCTCGGTGAGCTGCGTGAGCAGCCCCGCGGCGGGCGTGACGCGCTGAGACCTGGCCGGCACCGACTCGCTGCCGGGCGTAGAGGCCTCGCTGCCGCCGGCGTCGGCGGTGGTGCGGGCCGAGGAGGGCACGGCCTTCGCGCCGCGCGACAGCTCCGCGGCCAGCGACTGGGACAGCGTCAGCGCCGCTGCCTGCAGGGGGAAGGGTTCACTTAGAGCAACCTACGCTCCAGCGGCAGTCAAAAGTCAAACCCTGCTGGTCGGACACGTACCTCGATCTCCTGCTTGGTGAAGTGCGGCTTGAGCGGCGAGGCCTGCGCTGCCTTGTTGAGCAGGGCGTGCAGCAGCAGCGTGCCGTTGGGGCAGCAGGCGGGGCAGCGGCTCGCGTCCTCGACGCCGCCGTCCACGCCGGCCTCGCAGCAGTCCGCGGCCTCGGCCAGGGCGTCGCCGTGCGCGCAGAAGGACGGCGTCAGCGGGGCGCGTAGCACTCGCCGCAGCCGCGTCTGGTGGCGGAACAGGACGCGGCACGCGCGCAGCGCGGCCAGCTGCAGTTGTTGCGTCCGCAGCAGCGTCGCGTCCACGCCGCCCGCCGTCGCCGCGCCGCGCTGCAGGTGCACTGGAGTGGACTGCGTGCACACGGCCAGCAGCTGCGCCCACGCGCCCAGCAGCGGTTCGCTGAGCGGCAGTCGCTCCAGCGCGAAGGGCGCCGCGGGGACGGGCCGGACGGCGGGCAGGCGGAGGCGCAGCGACTCGCCCGGCTGGCCCTGGGGCTGCACCACCAGGCGGCAGCACCCCGACACGCGCACCACCGTGCCCACCACGCCGTCGGCAGTCACCACCTGGCCACCCATGCGGGCCCGGTCGTCCAAGCCGCCCAGCGTGCACAGGACCGCCATCATGCTGACCATCATGCCCTGGGCCTGCACGCCCTGGGCCTGCCCGAGGCCGGGGGCGCCCCACGCCGAGTCCACGTCGGCCACCTGCATCTGCACCTGCATGTGCAGCATGTCGCCGACCAGGGCCAGCTTGCCGCCCAGCAGCCTGTTCACCACGCCCGTCCACGTGGGCAGCACGTGGAGCGCCCGCAGCAGCGCGATGGTCTGCTCCGCCACGGTGCTCGTGTGCGACGCTGTCATGCTGGGCAGGTTGTCTGCGGAGAGGAGGATACAATGTACATTCTAAGTTAGAACTGAAGGCTACCAGAAGAAATTTGGAACGAACTCTGGCCGTACGGCCGTTATCCCAATCTGAAACAAACCTGGTTGGTTGAGAACGGGGTCGGCGTTGCACGCGAGGGCGGTGCTCCCCAGGTGGCTCATGAGTTGCTCCAACAGCAGCGTGCGCTCCGCGTCGCTGGCCCGCCACGACGGCAGCACGCTCTGCAGCAGCCTCAGGGCGAGGATCTGCTTGTGCAGCGCGCCGCAGCCGGCGAGGGCGGTGAGTAGCCGCAGCCAGGGCGGCGTGCACAGGGCGCGGCACATGGCCCCACTGGCCGCCACGGCCCGGATGAAGCCCAGCGTGGCCCAGTCGGCGCAGTGCAGCCCCGACGACCTGCCCGCCAGCACGAGCAGCGCGTTGGTCTGGATGGTCTGCGACCGCGAGGCGGGCAGCGAGGCCGCCAAGCTGGCCGCCAGGCCCGACCCCAGGCTCACGGCGGCGGGCGCGGCGGCGCGCGTGTTGACCTGCACCAGCTCCCTGAGCAGCCCGCCGAGCGTGCGCACCGCGGACTCCTGCATGCGGTCGGCCTCCAGCCCGCTGCGGATGGCGATGGTGCGCAGCAGTGTGAGCGACGCCTGGCGTAGCATCAGCACCACCTCCAGCTCGCCAGACCGGCCGCGACCTGCAACCGAAACGTCAGTAGAACGCGCGAATTCAAGTCTCCGGCAGCAACGCGGACGAGAGGACTCACTCTTGGCCGTGTCGTCCGGGGTGTCGCTGTCGTGCTCGCTGTCCACGGGCGAGGGCGGCTCCAGCAGCAGGCGCAGGTCGTACTTGCCCTCCTTGCCCATGCGGTACGAGTTGGTGGAGCCGCTGTCCCACTGCACGCGCACCCAGCCGTCGTCACCGAGCGCGGCCACGACGCGCCCCTCGCCCGGCGGCGTGCCGTCCTGGTCGCTCCACTTCCAGTCCGCGCCGCGCACCACGCGGGAACCCACTTTGATGCGCGCCGCCATCTCGGGGCCGCTCATGCCCTTGTTGAAGGGCTGCTCGAAGATGGCCTGCACGGCCTGCTTGCCGTCCTGCTTGTCCTCCTTGACGGCCAGCCCCTGCTGCGGCTGCATCGTGGCGGGGGTGGGGTCGTGGGCGTTCACCTCGCGCAGCAGGCTCTGCACGAGCGCCAGCACGCCCGAGTTGACGATGACGCTGAGCTCGGCGCCTTGCGGGCTGCCCGTCAGCATGCCCAGCACGCTGAGCACGAACCGTGCCCACGGCATGCGGCGGTGGGGCGGCCCGGGCGCGGCGGCGGGGGCCCGGCCGCGGGGGGCGGCGTGTGGTTGGATCTGGGAAGGCAGCAACAAGTCCCTGAGCGTGGACACGGCCCACGACGTGAGGCACGCCTGCGCCTGCAGCACCATGGCCTTCTCGTAGGGCGTCACGAGGTCGATGTTGTCCAGGCAGTGGTCCCAGTCCTGCCCCTGGCTTTGGTTCGGAGCCACCGGCATTGGCACGCCCTGGAACAGACGACGCGTCAACCCCTACTCGTCCCAGCTCCTCGTCTCGCAGGCTGGACGTTGTTCCGTGGCTCACCGTTTGCGGCGTGGTCGGCAGCGTGTCTTGGTTGTCGCGGCCGCCGCGAGGCAGCGGCACTGGCGTGGCGTTAGGCGCGCAGGCCGCGACCGGGGCGTGCAGGCCGAGCCAGCCACTCAGCAGCGCGTACTTGACGGAGGGCACCAGGTGCGCGCGGCCCAGCAGGTTGAGCGCCATGCCCAGCCCCTGGCGGCGGATGCGTACGCGCTGCACCTGGCAGAACATGGCCTTGCGCAGCGTCTCCACGTCGGCGCCCGCCTCCTGCAGCACGAAGTCCACGATGTGCGCCGCCAGCTGCAGGCACGGCTCGTCCTTGTCGCGCTCCTGCCGCTCGCGCAGTCTGTCCCTCTCCTCGCGGTGCTCGCCGCAGCCGTCGCGCTTCTCCTCGCTCTTCTGCTCGGCGCCCTGGCTCTGCGGGAAGCACGCCGTGAGTGGCCGAGAAAGTGGACGGGACATCGCCTCGAAAGGCTAGGGACTCCCTACCTGGATGGACGCGTTGACGATGTCCTCGGGCTTGGCCGGCGGCTGCTGCTTCTTGGCGCGCAGGTCGGCGATGAGCCTCCGCACGACGCGCGGCCAGCGCGGCTGGACGTGCAGCAGCGGCAGGCGGTCGAGCGCGCGCAGCTCGGCGCTGGTGGCGGCGCGGACCTCGAACAGCAGGAAGCGGCAGCGCTCCTGCACGCGCGCGCACACCTCCTTGTACGAGCGGCTCTGCTCCTGCCGGGCCTTGATGAGGCGCCACTTGGTCTGGTGCACGACGCGGATCAGCTCGCCCAGGAAGCGCGGCACCGCCACGGCCGTCATGGAGGCGGACGAGGAGCCCGCCGACGAGGACAAGCCCTCCTCCAGCTCTGCCAAGGGAAAGGAAACGTTGTGAAGCTCGTAGCAGGTTTGGTCGAAAATGATGTCAGAAGCATGCGACACTACCTCGATCGATGACTCTCAGCACGTGCGCGGCGAGGCCCAGGTGCTTGATGAGCACGGAGAGCAGCAGGCGGCCCACCTCCTCGACGGGGTGGTCGGGCAGGAACTCGACGTGCGTCACCAGGCCGTGCTGCTGGCAGTACCTCTCCACCAGGGACAGCAGCGCTGCGATTTGTCGGTCCTGCAACAGGTCGTTGGTTCAAGTACCGCTCCTTCCGTGTCTCCATGCCGTTCTCCGTCTACGAGACCAGCTCACCATGATTCTACTCTCGGCCAGCGATTGCAGGAAGGCGGAGGCCCTGTCCGTGGTGGTGAGCTGGGGCGTCTTGGCCTCGGTGGGCGTGGTGCCGGGCGTGGCGGCGTTGGAGTTGGCGGAGCAGCCCGAGCGCGCCTCCGTCTTCTCCTCCTCGAAGGGGTTGGGTGGCTGCAGGCCCTGCAGGCCGCCGCGCAGGAAAGTTGCCGCCAGCCAGGCGTGCGCGCCGTCCTCGGCGGGCTGCCTGGCCGTGCTCCGCGCCAGCCCGCGGGCGTGCAGCCCCAGCAGGAAGGCCAGGTCGCGCTCCGCGTCCAGCAGGGGCGTCCACGCCGCCAGCAGCGCGCCGCCGTCGTGCTCCTCCGCGTCGCAGTCCAGGAACTTGCCGACCAGCGAGGCGCGCAGCGGGTCCACGGTCCTGGGCACAGCGGCAAGTGCAATGAGGACCAGACGACGGCAAACCGTCGCTCCGTCTCTCTCGCACTCATGGGGTGCGAGAGAGACAGAGCAACCAGTTGGTGAACCCTGGCTCTTACTTGGCTTCCCCCACGTCGTAGACCCTCATGCCGACGCGCACCCAGCGGCCGCCGTCGCGGTTGTTGTTCTCCACGTCCACGGCGCGGACGAGCGGCAGCGCGTCGCGGCCCGACCCGTCGCCCTCGCCGTACAGCGGCGCCAGCACGGGCACCCCGGGCCACGACAGGTCCTCGTGCTCCGCGGCGTCCAGCTGCGGCGCCAGGCGGTTCAGGGTGTCCAGCGCGTCCAGCAGCGGCGCCAGCAGCTGCAGCCAGTCCACCGTGTGCAGCAGCAGCGGCAGCGACTGCTGCAGCAGCGTCAGGCACACGGCCAGCTCCGGCAGCAGCACGTCTGGAACAGGCGGTCAGGGTCATCCGAGGACCGGCATCCATTACTTCGGGAACGGCGAGGAGCTCACTTACGGATGACATCGGTGCGCATCACTGCCACGACAGCTGCGAAGTGCTTCGCTCCTCCGGCAGCGATTTCCGAAGCGACGGGCAAAACTTCGGAAGCGTGCTGGCACAGTTGACAGATGTACTTTTTGAGAAGCGACTCAGCGCCCACGGTATCTTGGTCTGGCAAAAAAAGAGCGGAAGTTTCAAGACCTTGTTGTCAATTTTTTAAGCAAATTTGGCTTGCAGGTCAAGTGGCATTCTCACCAGATTGAGCCCGAGCTTGGCTATGAGGATATATTTGTGCAATTAAAAGTCTTTGAAAACGTAACAATAAATTAAGACTAGGTTGTTCTTTGGGGCTGGGCATCAAATTTTGTAATGCTGATAATGTTTGTGCGGTTCCACTCCGCAGTAGCTGCTTCACTAGATGGAGTAATGAAATAGTGGCTCCAGGCAAAGATATGTCTGGAGAACCATCTCCAGCAAGCAAACCCAATTCAACTGTGAGAAGAAAAATCATGTTTAATAATTTTTTAAGTCTGACAAAAGTGCGTATCCACCGGTTTTAATTGGTGAGTACCTCTAATGGCAGCGACAAGAGCTGCTTCCAAACCACCATCAGCCATCAAACTACTGACGAGAAGATCCATCATGAAGCGATGTCCTGGACTGAGGCTGTTTGCATTGGGGCCTGAGCTGGGCAACAGCGCTGACAAAGTTTTTGCTCTTTCATCAGCAGTGGGCAAGAGGACGGACCAGCCTCTTTGAAGCGTGGCTTGTGCGGCCAGTTGCATCGACTCCAAAACCCCGTTGGCACTGGCCAATTCCACGACCTGGGACCTCAAAGAAGCCAGCACAGCGGAACCTCCGAGTCCCGCGGACCGAGGGTCAACGGCGTGAACAGCCATGGCGTGGAGCTGCAAGAAGCGCGCACATTAGGGTCGAAACAACGCAAGACGAGGGTTGGTGGCAAGAGACGGCCAGGGGGCCGAGGCGCCTACCTGCAGGTGGAGGAGGTTGAGGCAGGCCACGACCAGGCACTCCTTGTCCTGGGTGGGGGGCCAGTCCGAGCCGGCCACGCCCTGGCTGGCCCTGGCGAGCAGCTGGTCCAGCAGGCGGAACGTGTCCTCGCTGAGGTCCAGCACGAGGGCGATGCGAGGCTCCACGCTGGCGGCCGTGTCGGCGAGCCCCGTCCACGCCCAGCTCTGGCCCGGGCCGCACGCCACCCCCGCGCCGGCCGTCTTGCTGCCCAGTGTGCCCACCAGCACGGGCGGGCCCAGGCCGCTGAGGCCCAGGCCGTTGAGGCCCAGGCCGCCCTCCAGGCCGGGGGCCTCCACGCCGTGGCCCTCCAGGCGCCCCCAGCCCCACACAGAGCCGTCGTCCGTCAGCGCCAGGGCGTGCACAGAGCCCACCGCCACATCCACCACGCGTTGTCCTGAAAGGACAAACCGGTATGAAACAGCCGACTCTTGGCGTACGTCGCAGGGGAAAATGAATTGGGATTACCTTGGAAAGCGTCGAGCAGTTTGGGGTAGCGCACGTGGTCCTGTGACGGGTGGCCTAAGCGGTGGGCGTCCCCTCGACCCCAGGAGTACACAGCACCACCTCGAGTGAGAGCGATGCTGCACTGGGAGCCGCACCACACTCTTGTGACAAACACATCCAGCAGCTTGTCCACTACTTTCGGAGATTCACTTCCACCTCGACCTAAGATTTGATCAAGGTATCTTATGAGACAACAAAATTGAAAGCATAACAAGACAGTCAAATGTTCAATGGTGTACCTAGTTTTCCATAATCAACATCTCCCCAAGAGTAGAGAAGACCCGAATCCGTCACAGCCAGAGTTTGGGCATCACCACTTCCGCAAGCAACGTCTACAACACGCTGACCTTTCAACGCCTCTACTACAAGTGGTTGCAACTTGTCGTCACTGCTTTCGTGACCAAGGCAGCCATAGCAGTTACGCCCCCATGTGTACAGCTCTCCTCGGGACGATATTGCTGCACTGTAAGGTAAATTTGGAACACCAATGTCACAAAACAAATCAAGTACGCATGGTCCACTAAAAAAACTAAGAACAGTTACCTGTAACTACTGCCACAAGAAATATGAGTGATGGTAATGCCTGCCAAAGACTGAATTCGAGTTGGTTCATCATGAGGAGATCTGTCCCCATGACCCAGGCAGCCTCCATCTCCTGATCCCCAAGAGTAAACCTCGCCATCAATTGTCAGGGCCAAGAAATGTCTGCCATCTACATGAGCTGCAAGACGTGTCACTTCTTTTCCTCCAAAACCCTCTATTAATGTGAGTCCAGCAGACAACCCCTGAAAAAAAAAGGTAATGATTATGGCATCGATTGAAAGAACTTTTTTTTTAAATCTGCAGACTGCATATGACACAAGATAAACTCACTTCTGACTCTGGCACATATGGAAGTGAGTAAACTTTTCCTGCATGGCCGAGGACAAGCATTCCACTTTCAGTGCAAACAATCTGCACAACTCCCACTTCAGCCAGGGCCTCAAGCACAGACGCACTAGGCATTGAACCCCAACAACTGACTTCCTGCTGTCTTCCATTTCCTTGCTGCTCAAAAATATTTTTAAGTTATTTGAGATGCAAGACAAGACAAGTGATACTTTTGCGGAATAATAGAGATGTTACATACTTTGGCAGGGGATGTTTGGGGAAGGTATGGTGTAGCAAGTCGGTCAAGATGAGCCATTACCACAACAGCTGCCTGACGCAGGTCCACCAGAAGACTTCATCTTGAGGCAATTCTAAGCAGTTCAAAAAACACTCATTTGGGCTGACTACATTGGGTGAATTGTCGTCCCAGGCATCAGGAACGCTATGAGTTTTTGTAACTGAAACTCTTTCCAGTCTTTTCAAAAGCGGTATTAATGGAGCACTTGTGCCTGAGGACGTAATCCTAAAAAAACAAAAAAAAAAGAGAATAAAAACAAGATACAAAAGGAAGCACAAAAAGTTTGGAACATGTATGGTACCTATTATCGGCTTCTTGTTTCCCTTTGTCCCAAAGCTGCAGGAGAAGCAAAACTGCCTCAAGCATATTTGACAAGGCCCCTCGCTGCATGGCCAATTCAAGAAGAAGGCACAAGGCAGTGTGTTGGTCTCCTCGGGGGACTTCTCCTCTTCCTTGGCCATCTCTGTAACACCAAAAATCAAGTTCATTGGAAGTTGAGAAAAATAAAAGTAAATCAATAAAGATGAAACTAGTGACACATACCCTAAGACAACCTGGCGTAAAAAACGAGCAGAGCGGTCTACTACTTCTAGCCAAACAGGTGAAACAGCTGTCTCATCAAAGAGAGTAGCTTCAGGCAATGATTGAAGAGCTTCTAATGACTCTTGCAAAAGCTCGCTGCATAAGTCTGAGTCTTCCCCTAGAAGTAAAATTGTTCATTATAGGTAAGCAATTACTGTAATCATGCCGAGAAAAAGCCTTTTTCAGAAAACAAACCTGATCTCCAGGCTCTTCGGAGGAAAGCGAATGAGAAATTGAGAGCAGCTCTAGATCCTACTCTGGCAAGACTTGTGGACGCTTTTTCTGTGGGCTTGGAACTGAGAGAATAGCAAGAGATTAAAGTCAAACATTTAACATGATGAGAAGCAAGGTATACAGTGGTGCAAATGCTGTTGAGTGAGACCTTGTCTTTGGAGGTTTTGGAGCTGGATTTCTGAGTTGGGGATCTGTTTTTTCTGTTGAAGGTTGTCTTCCAATAGCAACTAAAACTCTATGAGCTATTGCCAGGCGTTGGCGCAAACGACGGGAGGATAATGTTGACCCTGCAGCATTTTGACACAAATCTTGCTGCTCTTTGCATAATGAAAGAACACTTAGATTTAGTTGCTCTGGGGCTGGAAAGTAAAGTGAAACAGAACATTAGAATAGTAATTACATTAATGACTAAATTACATAATCATCATAGGCGATACTCACTGGGTTGTTCACCCCATGTCCAAGAATTAATCTGTGGTTGTGATGGTGGTGGTTGACTATTTTCAGCCTCAATTCTTTTTAATTCTTCATTATCTATTGCTTGACAAGGAAGACAGTTGCAGCCCTCTAGGGGACCACATACACCATCACAGCACGTACAGTTTAAGACTCTGAGACCACAATAGTGACGGCCTGATTCACCTGTAAACGACACTCATTACAACACTAATACTGCAAGAAAGAGTGTAAATGATAGGACAACTAAATACAAACCTCGGTGAGTGGGGACTCCATTTGCATTTAGATATGCATCAATACCAGGTCTTGTGAGCTCCCCATCTCTCATCATTTCATTCCAAAGCTGAATAAGTCCATCTCGATTTAAAGTGCTTTGCAAATCTACCTTGAGCCACTTTCGGTCCAAGCGGCCGAGCGGCCGCACCTCCACTCCCAAAGACTTGGGAGAGGGCATCTATGAAAGTAAACAATAAGAATGAATACTCAACGCAACCATACCAAAAAATTCAGACAGTGGCATCACACTGAGAGCATCGGTTAAGTGTTTACGGAATGACGAGCAACCTTGGGGAAATTCTCATTTGAGATGTTAATAATTTGTTAATGTGAAAGAATAGAAAAGAAAATGACAAAAACACAATAATACACATTTACTTTTGCAAATAATAGGAATCAGAAAAAGCAGAGAAGACAATAGTGACAGTCAGATTGAACACTTACAAAAGACAGATTAATTAAACCACATTATTTACACATATGATTTAATTTCTGTCACTTGCAAAGAGAGAACTGTCAGCCTAACCTGCAGACGAAATTCCACCCACAGATTCAGAAGTGCGGACCATACTAACCTTTCCTACGTGTAATATCACATTCTTTGAGGAGTAAATGTTCGTTTCTTCATCGTATCTAATATGTACAGACAGGGTTGATTGAAAAAACGAACGTAAATAACATCTTGCTACATTATTTACTTGTTTGATCGGCTGCTAGCAAATCGAGTTGGAAATCTCGAACCAGCGAACGATAGTCTCGCTTTCTCCTTGACAAAATCTAAAATTTCCCTTCTCCTCGTCTGCACGTTTCATCATATTTTCAAAAGTTGAACGAATCTAATACCTTTTTTTCTGCAAAAAATCACAGAAAGCATGACAATTTTCGATCTGACGAAGACACTCTTTCGAGAATCATATTGTATGTAGAGCGATGTGGGGAAATCCGAAGGGTTGCGTTGGTACCTCCGCGCCCGCCATGTTTGTTGTGGTGCTCGGTGTCCAAGTTTCTGTCGTTCCTTCTGATTGTGAGTTTGTCAGCGTTTTATTGAGAGGTGGGTGCAGTGATCGTCTCCAACCCTCTGAAAGATTACTCTCGGCCGTCTGAGGAATCGAGGGCATTGATCGTGAGAAGAAACCTGTTTGCAGGCCGGACGCCTTTCGAGTTAAAGTGACCCCTCTTTTTCCAGCTTGGGTTTTCCCCCTCAACACAAAAGACTACCATGACTGCGTGGACGACTCAGCAGCTTGATATCCTAGCCAAACTCCAGGATGTCTTGGAGGGGACGAGGCGCGACCCCTTTCCTCGGCTCGTCCGGGTCGAGGGACGCTCCCACACTGGCAAGAGCACCCTGATAATGGTGAGTGCAGTTTTGGAGGTTATGTCGGTCTTAGCCGGCTCACGTCGAGTCCGTCTGAGCGTCGAGTGTGTGCGTCTGGTTCAATTTGAATCAGATCAACTTCTACTTCTCCAATATTCGTTCGGGGTTCAGATTTTCTTGGGGTTATTTCCACTTTTCAAGGGCCGATTGACAGTGGTGATGGTTGTGTGGATTGTGAGGGGGGGGGATGGTGGTTGCTACCCGGGTTCTCCAGCATGAGAAATTGATGACGGCATCGTCGCTTGTTGTGGGAGGGGGCGGCAACTTACAACTTTGGGCCTTTCTTTGCGTCGCGCCGCGTTCGCGCCCACCCATGATGCATCCATCATAAGCTTCTCTCTCTTTGGTTGCAGGAAATGGCGCACCGAGTCAAGCGCCACTACGGCGGCAAGCCCGAGACCGTGCTGGTGGTGGCCACCACGAATGCGGCCGCTGCTGCGGTGGGTGGAGCCACCTTCCACCGCGCCTTCGCGCTGCCGCTCGATCCCAGGTTCGCCAAGCCCGAGGACTTGAGCCAATTCGATCGGGACAGGCTGGCGCAGGTCCGAGTCCTCATCATTGAAGAGGCGAACATGGTCTCGAAGGCCCTGTTGGACCAGGCAGACAGGCGGCTCCGGACGGTAAGAGCACCTCAAAGCCAGTGTCTCGACTATTCGCCTCAGTCAGTATGTTTTCGTCAAGTAGAGCCCACATTCACTGTAAAATACTCGCCCCTGCTCGTGGCAAAGCTCATCGCCTGGCGCCGTCGTCTGCGAAGGGGCAAGGTAGGCCACCGTCCGGACGGTGGTGTGTAGCGGGTGGGTTGGTGGCCTACCTGCTAGGCGCTAGAACTGAAACTTGAGAGGCTTGAGGTGCCTATCACTTTGGTGGACGTTGGGTGACAATTTGCTGTGCTTCCAGGCGGTCGGTGAGAACGGTCTGCCGTTCGGGGGGCGCGGCGTCTTTGCCTTCGGGGATCATGACTCCTGGGGGCCGATGGACTCGAGACCAGGAACACGGCCCAACGAGTCCATCTGGTCGGCGTTCGGCGCCCTGGTTACCCTGGAGCAGTCGCACGTCCCGGAGGTGTCGTTCAGACACGCGCTCCAGCGCCTGGCCGACGACGCCATCACGGACAAGGACACCGAGCTCTACGAGACGCGCCTGCTGAGCAAGCTCCCCGCGACCGAGCGGCAGCTGTTCGACGACGCGCCTCGGGTGTGCATCGGCAAGGATGCCGTGCTGACCTACAACAACCGCCGCAAGTAGGGACTCTCACGGTGTAGTGCCATGGCTCCTCGACGCGGTGACGCATCTCTAACGACGAGCTTTCCATTTTCAGGGTGCTGGAGAGCTCCCGCCGGCCAGAGTCCGCCGTGGTGCACGAAGTCCAGCCGTCCGTGGACCCCTACACGCGGGTGGAGCTGTGGGAGGGCGCTAAGGTGGTCATCACCGCCAACACCAGGGCGGGGTCCTTCGCCGGAGAGCTGGGCGAGGTGTCCGTCCTGCATCTCACGAGCACCAAGAGGCTGACCGGCGTGTCGGTCCTCCTGGAGTCCGGCAAGGTGGTGGAGTTGACCGCCGACGCCAACGGCAACTACCCGCTGGCGCCGGCCTACACGGCCCTGACCCTGCCCAAGGCCTTGGGCCTCCACTTCGCCAGGGTGAGCTCACTCAAATCTCAACTGGTATTTGGTCGCCGGGCTGCACTAACGCCCTCTCTGTTGCCAGGTCGTGGTGGAGCTGCCCATCGGCGGATGGGGCGGGGTCCAATACCTTTACGGGGCCGTGTCGCGGGCCAGGGAGTGGGCCGGCCTGGCCTTCGAGGGGGGCGAGGTCCCTAGGCCCAAGGGCAAGCGCCAGTGGAGAAAGCCGGCAGCGGCCGCCAACCCTGTCCCTTTCATGCATTGGGAGTACTATGGGTTCGGCTACGATGACGAGTTTGGCGAGGATTACTCCGAGGGAGATTATGACGAGGAGGCTGAAGAGGAGGAGGGGGAGGAGGCTGAAGAAGAGGAGGAAGTCGAGGACGAGGAAGAGGTCGAGGAAGAGGAGGACCTGGTGGATGAAGAGGATGAGTCCAGTGAAGAGGGGGATGTTGGTGGACAGAAGGTTGCTGAAAAAGAAAAGTGAAATGGTTACAATATGCCTGTTAGGTTCCTGAATGACAATGAGCCTTGCAATTCCTTTATACTTATGGATAAGTATTTTAAGACTGAAAAGTACTCTGCACAGTGAATTGCTGAGTTCAATGCTGATAATTCAGCTCAATTGACTGCTTAATGTTATTTTTCAAATTTTTTTTTTTTAATGCAAATTACTGTAGTATTTAAGATTTCTTAGTTAGCAACAACAAGCATGTTCTTATGATTTGACTATCATAGTTTATTATCAATTCCTGTTTTGTACATAATAAAGATTCTAGTTTCTTCTCAGTTTGTGTCACCTACGAAACAAAATGCGTCAATCCTGTTTGCATAATTGTCTAGGGAGAGAGCATAAAGTTTTGGACGGCATTCTTGCCATCATAAAAGGGCGCCCGATGCCAGTTTGATACGGGTCGACAGACCGACAGAAATTTTAGAAAGTGACCAGACGTTATTTCCGAGGGGTTGGCACCCGGGGGAGAGATTCAATGGGTTGGCACGGTTGCAACACTGCGGCGTCGCGCTCAATATTGTTGTGATTGGTTGTGATCGGCTGTGATGCTCGTGCATCCGGTGTCACCCATACTCGATTTGTTGATGTTTGGGTTTTGGGAGCTTTTTGCTCGCCGTAAGTTCCATCTCCAACATCTGCTGAAGCAAAGGCATTGGCAAGCCGACGTGACGTAGAAGTGACACCGTTTCCTGCTTCGGGCTTTCCCTCTGCAGCAACAAAGCCATGACAGACGACATGCCATGGACGACCCAACAGCAGCTTGTCCTCGACCGGCTGCAGGCCGTCTTGGAGGCGACGAGGCGCCAGCCGGCCCTCGCCTCGTCCGGGTCGATGGGGGCACGAGGACGGGGAAGACCGCCTTGCTAATGGTACGCCGCCACAACTCAGCCGCCACGTGTCGAGCTCGCTATGTGTTTCTTCTGGTTTCTTTCACTAATCGAGCGTAGGGTTGCAAAATTTTGATCACCTTGGGCCTACTGTGAGACATACACTAACTAGTCCAGCGCCAACTTACTAAATTGCAGGAGATAGCGGACCGTGTGAGGGATCACTACGGCAACGCCGGGGCCGCGCTGATAGTGGCGACCACCCACGCCGCCGCCGCTGCCGTGGGGGGCCGCACGTTCAACAGCGCCTTCATGCTGCCCCCGCAAGACCGAGGCCCGCCCGGGGAGCTGCGCCCCCAGGACCGGCAGAGGCTGCGCGCGGTGCGCGTCCTGCTCATCGACGAGTGCAACATGGTGCCCCCCTACCTGCTGGACCAGGCGGACAGGAGGCTCCGGGCGGTAAGAAAGAGAATAGCTACGCGAGCTCGCGCTGTCCGTCAACGGCGTGTTTGCGGGTCAGGTTGGTGGCCTACCCGCCAGGCGCCACAGGCGTACAGTCCAGTGGATGTTTACTTGAACGCCTTGTTCTTTTCTTGCAGGCCGTTGGCGAAAACGGCAGCTCTTTCGGGGGGCGCGCCGTCTTCGCGTTCGGCGACTTCGACTCTTTGGGGCCCATCGAGGGCAGTCAAGCCAGCGCGCCCTCGCCGGCGACGTGGGCTGCGTTCGCCACCGTCGCCCTGGACCAGTCCCACATGGCGGAATCCACTTTCCGACTCGCGCTCGAGCGGCTCGCCGTGGACGCCATCACGGACGAGGACGCCAGGCGCTTCGAGGCGCGGCGGCTGGCAAACCTCCCCGCGGCGGAGCGCCGCCTGTTCGACGACGTGCCCAGGGTGGTCGCCGGCGGCCGGGAGGCCAAGTCGTACAACAAGGACCGGATGTAGGGACCTGGACGAGCTCGTGGCCTACTCGCCCACGCCCGACGACAATGTCGAGCCACGGGCTTTCAATTTTCAGGGTGCAGGAGAGGGCCAGCCTTCCGGCGTCGACGGTCGTCTGGGACATCAAGTCCTCCACGGAGCCCTCCTCCGAGGTCCAGCTCTGGAGACGCGCGAAGGTGGTTCTCACCTCGCACATCGAGGGCGCCACGGCGGGTGACTTGGGGGTGGTGACCGCGCTGCACCTCGACGAGTCCGGGGCAGTGGCGACCGTGTCGGTGCGGCTGGAGGAGTCCAGCCAAGTGGTGGTTGTGCCCAAGGGCGCCGCCAACGCCTTCCCTTTGACGGCGGCTTACTGGGCCACGACTCTACCCAGGGCCCTGGGCCTTCACTTCACCAGGGTTAGCTGGAGAGGCTCGACTCGTGACAGGCGCGGTCGTCGGCCTTCGCTCACATGGACTTCCCTCGCTGCCACCAGGTGGTGGTGACCCTGCCGAGCCGCCAGTGGGAAGGGCGAGGGGTGGAGTACGTGTATGCCGCAGTGGCTCGCGCCAGGGGGTGGAGAGGCCTGGCCTTCGACGGAGAGGAGGTGCCCCAGCAGGGGCCGTCGGGGATAACGGACTACGGTGCAGGGGGACTGTTCTGGGAGTACATTGACGAGTTTCAAGTGGACGAGCCGGGGCAACTTGAGGACGAGGAGCCGGAGGATGACGGGGAGCCGCGGAACGAGTAGTCTGGTGAGCTGGGAATTTCAGGTGGTAGCGTGCAATTCTTATTGTTATTCCCTACCCTGGACACCTCTGCAAAACATTCAGCAATATGGGTGTGTTAAAAAAAGAGAAGTAACATTCTTCAAATTATTTTTTTAGTAAGACTGAAGTATAAACATTACAAACAGGGCATTAGAATATAGAAAGTAAAGGAGATGAAGATAACACACAGCAGACAGATTGGGTTTGGCAAAGTTCTTCTGCATCAATTAGTTACACATCACAAAATTAACTCACTTTCCAACTTCATTGCCCTTCAAAGCATTGGAAAATATGGTAAGTCTAAAATCAACAATTGAGCAATGCACAAAAACACTACACTACCAGCTTTTGAGGTTTCTCAGTCATTAAATTTATGGTCATTTTTCAAGACAAGTCTTAGAACAAACAAGACAAGCATAGAACTGGCATTTTTAATAAAAGCATAAGCGTGTCTGTTGAGAAAGTAAGGTACCCAAGTCTAAGTTCTCAAAATAAATAATGCAAAATTTAAAAAATATCTAGTTTGCACCTGAAGAATACACTGCATGAGCTGGATATGATGCATATATTAAAAGCTCTATATATCCCTGATGGCCATGAACATTTTTGAATGACTTAGAATTAAGGTGACTTGGCAAATACTAAGCTCGCCAGCTTAAAATAATCCGCTAGACTAATGACTTAAGCATGTGATCCAACAAATCATAAACTCCATTCAAAGTCTCAAATACTGGGTGTGGGATCACAGATCAGACTAACACAACAAATAAAAATGGATGATGTCTCAACTGCTCTGTGTTACAGAGGTAACTACTTGTTGCATTGAATTTATTCTCTGGTCCTTAGCCAGGTTCTGAATCTCAATACATGAAATGAATTCAAACAAAATTATCAACAATTACAAATATAATTAGTAATGACCATTATATAACACTGCCCTATCAAGGGACATAAAGACACTTTCAAAATCTTAAGCTTTGTTTACCAATCCTCCTTTACTGATAAAATTAAAACCAAGCGCACAAAAGGTAACCAGTAAAGCAAAATAGCTGAATGTTCACTGCTGAAACATATTGATTGTTTTTTTAGCCCAAGCTCAGAAAGAACAGATAACTAAAATAAATTTGTAACTTAGAAAAAAACTCTTAACATACTATTGACACAATTTTTTCAATTAATTCATTGTTGTCAGTTCAACACCACAAACAAAACATGTGTTCACGTCAATATTTCAATCAAATAGTTCAAGAATGAAATCTGTTATCCTAATTGGACTTGTCAGTTGATATCATATACAGCTGAAGTAGTTGTGAGGTCTGCAATCTCGTAGGGTCAGCTTTGGATAGTAACACCTCCAACTCTGAAAGAGACATGAAACACACTTGATAAGCCTATCCTCTCCACACAGTATCTGAACTCCCTTACATGTAAATGTATGTATGCCAAAATTGTCATCTTTTAGTAGATTTACCTTTTCTTGATGCATTGTCAAGCATTATAATCACAATACTGAACCGTTGCAGTTGAGTAAAACTGTGCAGGTAGTTAAGCACCATATCCATTTCATCCAGTGTGAAGTAGGTTCCTAATGCTGAGATGAAGTTACTGAGCATCTTGGCCTCAAGCTTATTGCCGACAACTGCAAGGAAGAAACACCAAATATCGTAATGTACCAATAGGGCCTGTGCATTGTACACAACAAATGAATCAAATTAGATAGAGAAATCACCTTTAGGAATAATTTCAGGCGTGAGCACACGCAATGCTTTTGCGACAGACGATATATCATCACTATTTTTAACTGAGCTCCAGAAGATTGAGAATGCAAATGGGGTTTTCAACTTTTCCAAATTGGATAAAGCTAAGCTAGTGCCTTGTGATTTTTGAGGAGCTGACTTGTCAGGCATTGCTTTGTTGGTCTGTCCTTCAAAGTTAAGGTTCTTTTCCAAATAAGGTTCCTGCGATTTTGAACACATACTGTTCACATTACCAACAGAGGATTTTCCCTCGGTTTTTAAGCTTCCTGATGAATTGCTAGACAAGAGCTGTGTGGTGCCTTCTTTCTTGTGAGTTCTTGAATTGCGTCGCAAACAAAGACGGCCATGGTCTTTAATGTCATCCAGGGACCGAACTTTACGAATAAATCCTGGTGTTCCACTACAACGACACATAACTTTAGCTGTTCCAATTGCATTCAAAGCAATGTCATCATTGGGACTAGTGTTGAAAAATGGATAGTATTTATCATTTGCATCAGCTTCATCAACTTCCTCAACAGCACTGGATGAGGAATTCTTGTTGTGAATGGCCACTCTGTGGACAAAACATAAGGCATGAAAGAAAAGGTACTTGTTGAGATACAAAATATTTCATTTTTTTAAAAAAAATTCATTTTAGGCAACAGAAAAATTGCTTACCTGACTCTTTTGCTTGAAACTGGAATTCCTAACTTCATGCGGACTCTTTTTGCGAATTCTTGAATTTCTTTATGATTAGGATCAATTTCTAGAGCTTTCTCAAAGTCATCCAAAGCCTAAAAAATGAAGGTTTATATGTAGTCCTTTCCCCCTAAAATGATTTCTTGCCCAAACTGCGCTAAACACTTCAATGAGGCACAGCGGATACCAGCTAAAGTGATTCTTAACTTACATCCTGGTACTTCTCAAGAGAGAAAAGCGCTGATCCACGGCGGTAATAAGCTTTCACATTGAGAGGATCCATACTCAGAACAGACTTACAGTCTTGCACAGCAGATACAAAATCCTCAATTTTCAAGTCTGACAAGCAGAAATATTCAATTTTAATTGGTAATTTCATTAAGACAAATTTTGTACATTTGAGGTCATAGTCATTTAACTTACATGTCTGTGCCCTATTGTTGTAAGCATCTACATTAGGAAGAAATGAAATGCTGAGAGAGTAGTGATTTAATGCCTTCATCATGTCACGATTTCGGAAATACTCATTTCCTTTGATTTTCTCCTGCAATGCATTGAATTCTCTCTCTGGAAGAGAAAGACTGTCACCTAAGGAGAAAAATTATTAATTATTTTCAAAATTAGAAACAATGCGATGAAAAATACGTAGATAAAAGAAGAACAGAATATTGATATTACCTGCACCAACTACATCCTTATTGTCTTTTATTTGATTGTGCAAGGCTTCATCTTCCTCTGATTTTTGTTGATCTTTTTGTCTCTGATGATTCTCTGATTGCATACGTTCTATGGTTTTTCTTTCAGCAAGGCGCTCTTCTTCTAAGTCCATTTTCAAAACCTCACTATCAGCGTCAAATTTATCCCAAAAGGTATAATCGTTTGGAGCACACTTGCGGAGAGACTTCTCCTTTGGCTTTGGAGAAGTGGACTTATTCTAGATCCCCAAAAAGAGTAAAATGAGGTTTAAAATCACATTAAGAGAACCTTACATTTGGAACATTAATAGAATCATACCATTTTGTTGAGAGGGCTCACAGTCTTTGCAACAGATGAATTACGAACAGCAGGTGCCTCCTCAGTATTCAAAGACACAGCAGATTTTAGGAGGGTTTCACGCAATGTCATTTCTTGGGTCCATTTCTGAAAGAGTTTACTCCACTTAACGGAAACACTGAGAGAGTAGGAAATCACTGCTAAACTAAAAACACATACCTGCATATCATTGGAAACAAGCTGTTTCTCCTGAGCACCAAGGGCTGCTGTTGTTATCACTGGAATTTCAACTCTCAAGAGATGATTGTTTGGAGCCAACGATCGAAGCTTGTCTTCTGCAGCCTTTTCTAACTGTGGGTAGTGCCCCTCCTCTCCAGATCTGTCAACAGATTAGATTCGATGTGGATAAGACACATTTAAAAAACAAAATCTAACACCATACTAATCTTTATCTTGTTGAAAAAAAAAAAAAAACAACTAAACAATGCAATCACAAGGGTATTGAACTTCCAAGAATGGAAATTCACAGAGTTTCGAATATATCAACTATTAGTGTTCACTCGATTACAGAATTTGTCCAAGTTTCAAGTGTATAATCTCACCTAAGCACTTTCAGAATTTTCTCGAGTTCTTTAACATTGGTACACTTTTCTACATGTTCAAATGACAGACACTCAACCAGCAAATCATATTTCTGAAGAATGCTTCTTTTTCGAGTTTCAGGCCCCCTATCGTTACTAGACATCATTGAAACGAGGAAATCTTCATAAATGACACCAGGTGCACGAAAGAAACGTAAACCCTTGGAAATCACCAAGTGACAGAGACAAAGGAAACAACATCCTAACAGGCAACCGTAGCCACAGGCTCTCCTGCAGTGAAGTTGCCATGACAACAAAGGACCCCAAATCGGTCCATTAAAAGTACACCGACGGCTATAAAAATGGATCTTTTGACATACCAAGGCTGCAAGAAAGATGACGGCTCTCTGAGAATTTACACAACGCCGGAAAAACATAAACTTCTGAGATCTGGGCCGAAGTGTTCCTTTCTTGAGATTGCTTCTCATCATCTGACTGCCAATAAGAGGATTGCCGCTTCCATCCAGGCCGGGATGTGAACTGCAATGAGAAAGTGAAAGTGTGTCGCTTAAGAAATATCGGCTGCTGGGCAAAACAACGGTGTTCTGTGACAATGTCCGTCAGGCCATCAAGTTTGCTTCTCTGGCGATGATGTCGTGCTAATGAACCAACAACTATGCTGACGAAGGAGTGTTGCCCTCAGTGTGACCGCGAGGCGGACTCCAGTCGTCTTCGCCTCGTGCAAGACTCGTGCGGGCACAAAAAGTGTCGTGAGTGTCTGCTGAGCGACGAGGCGGGCTGCTTGTTGTGTTCCTCCTCCTACCCACCTGAACCTGAACCTGAGTACATAGAGTTGAGGCCGGCTGGTGGCGTAGTCCTAAGTGCCTCTGTATCCACCGACCCAAATTCCAATAGTGAAACTGATGCGAAGTGGGACGATGCAGTGCAAAGTGCTGTCATTAGAACTGAAGTCTCCAGCGCATCAGCAGTACCTGACAACGTGCCAAAGTTGCCACTTTGTTCAGGCTCCAGCTCTGGCAAGAATGTGGTCGATGGGGAGTCAGAGTCAGCAGAAACTCCAAGCGAGATGCCTGTAGTTGTAAACAAGAATGTGGAAAAGAGGGCATCACCCTTTGGCTTAAAGGACCATATTACTTTCACTCCAGGTGCGACCAACTTAATTTCTTCATGCCCTTGGCCTTGTGGTGACTTATGTTTTTGATTCATTGTGTTATTTGTTTTCATTATTTCTATAGGAGATCCTCCCACATACTTCTGCAAAAAATGTGAAAAGTCTTACAACAATCGAAAAGCAGCAAGATACCATAATTATTGTGGAGCTTCTGACAAGGAGAAACCACACACATGTGAGGAATGTGGTCAAGGCTTTGTAACGAAAGCGCATTTGGAATACCATGAAAAGTCTCACACAGGTATAATCACATTCAGTCTATGTAGAAGTTAATGTTGCTGTACAGCGGTTGTCTAAAATAATTATGTTTTTTTTTCTTTGTTGCTTTTCAGGATTACTTCCATTTACATGCAAATCATGTGGCAAAGGATTCAAACAGCTGTCCAAGCTAAATCGTCATTTAAAATCACATGAAGGTAAATTAGATTCCAATCTTTTAAGTTTTTCCTTTTCTGTTGGTGTGCAATATCTCTCTGTCTCTTTTTATCTCCTTTTTCTTTTTGTCTGTGTGCATTTGAAATTTGACATTGTATTTGTTTGTAGGACCACTTGAGAAACCTTTTAGGTGTGATCTATGTGAAAAGTCTTTCAGTAGCAAACAAAATTTGAAAGACCACATTTTACTGCATTCCAAGGATCATTTTGTGTCTTGTCCAGTTTGCAACAAGAAACTAAGCAGTCAATCTTGCCTCCGGAAGCACAAAAAGTTACATGCAGGTAACTATTAATGTCTCATTAGTCCTTCATAATTTAAAAAAAATAAAATACAAGACCAAACAATTTATTTTAGGAGTAGAAATGTCAGCTTGTTTAGCTTAAAATAGCTTTCTGTGGCATGTCTGTTTTCTTTTCATTTTTTTTTGTTTGTCTTGACTGAATGCTTTCTTTCCTTACAATTTTCTGTTTTTAAGATCCAGTACATAAATGTAAGGATTGTGGAAAGAAATTTCCTGTGAAATGGACCCTGGAGGTTCACATGAAGACACATCAAAGAGACCGCAAATTTAAATGTAAAATTTGCAACAGAGCATTCAAAATACAAAGTGATTTGAAAAGGCACGCCCTTGTACATCAAGGTAACATTTGTGTAAAATTGTTGAACAGCTGTTTTGGTGTACTTTTTTTAAAGCAACTTTTTCTTTGTTCTACAGAAGATGGAGAGTGGGAATGTAAAGTATGTCTTCTTATATTTCGTCGAAGGGATAATCTTGTGCGACATCTTAAAAATATACACCCTGAATCACCATTGATTATATCAACTAAACAAAGCACTGACAAAGATAGAGATGAAAATATGGATGAGCCTGAGAGGAATGATGAAAACTCTAGTGGGAATTCTAATGGGGTGTCTGCTACTAATGCTGTTAGTGTGATCCGAGGGCCAGTGATTCAGCGAGTAAGTTATTTCAAGGAATATTTCAACTTCTTTTCTAAGGGGACAAGTAGCAAATGCATACTTTTAAAAAATTCATGAAATGTTGTATTTTTTTCTTAATGTACGATTTATTTGATTTCAGGTTGAGTCATCATCTGTTAGCTGTAACCAATTGGAAAATAGACCAGGATCTGCTGTTGATATCCAGGATAAAGAATGGAGTGTAGATCTCAACTTTGGTAACCATCCCAGTGGTGCCATAAGCCAATATATCCAGGAGAAAGATTGGGATCTAAACTTTACGTTAGATAACAATCCCTGTGGTGAAATTCACCCGTCCAGTTCTTAGAGATGGACCAGAACTTTCAGCGAGAGAGTGTTGTTTGCCATTCAGATGCAAGAGGTGTTGTCCACTATGGCAGCTCATCCCTTGAGACCATTAATGATTCAAAGCTCCAAGCAGATAATTCATTAATGGAAGTGCCTAGCAATTGTGATCAACTCCAAGTGTATGAATCAAATCCTAGTACAACACATAATGAAAATTATCTTCTACTAAATAGCCCTGTACAAAGGCCTAGGGTAATAGTAGCCAAAGAAGAAAAATGTCTGTGATTTTTGACTTTGTGTCTTTTATCTTAACATTGACTTATTGCTTGCAATGAAATAATCTTCTAAAAAAAAAAAAAAAAATTTTTAAGAATACAACTACTTTATGAGAAGAGTTGTTTTTATTATATGTTTGCATTTTAAAATCCCCCAGTCAGACACCTAGCCCCTTGTGCTTAATCATCAAGTTCTTATAAAGAATTATGAAGATCTTCTATAATGTTTATTGTTTAAAATCCAACAAAGAGTTCATTCATGAAGTAATTAGAAAATATATGAAATTTCAAAAAAGAAGACATGAGACATTTCATTAGAAAAGAATGCAAATTATCTCTTCTTGCCCTTTTTCTTTCCTCCTGTGCTTGACTGTTGTTGACTTTGTTCAGATCCACTTGGTCTGTTTACTCTTGCTTTAAGTTTGGGAATCATTTCCCCTAAATGCAAAAGCAGAGAATCACCTGTATAACAAAACACACCCAAAAAAAAAATGAATTGGCCTATTCAACCTATAAACAGAACAGCAACTTTCGAGTATGTGACTTACGGGTGGGAAAAGAAGAGTTAAAAGGCGTGCCATCATCATTCTTGAGCTGAACACGAATGCGGCCTCTGAACAACAATTCTTTACTGCGCTCACGGCTGTACAACTTGTTCTCAACTCCAACCTAGTAATTAGACACAAGGGGTTAGGAAAAAGTGAGTTTCTACGACAATCGTGACTAGAACGTAACATACCTTCATTCCAGCAGCAATTAATACATCTCGAATTTCCTGATGTGTAGGATTTTCTACAGCCTTATCTTTAGCAATTTTTCGACCCTCAGCCAGAGTCTTTTTAGAATTTAAGTAAGCTGGATAAATACAAATCCATCTGAAATAAAAGTTGTACATTTATCATAAATATTCAGAGCATTAGAGGGGATTTATTGACTGATATGGGAGCTCAGATAGGAAACTTATTGTGTGAACAGGTTATGTTATGAATGCCAGCTGGCAAGACAAATTCTCAACAAAATAATTATTTGACTTCCACTTGAAACCCAATTTGCCAAAAATAACTTGGAATTCGAGTATCTCACCTATCTATTTCACTGTGTGGCTTATTTTTCACAGCTGATGCCATAATTCTCACTTCGACAACACGATCGGCCGTTCCGTGTTTTGATCGTGGATGTAGTGGTGCGGATAGTGGAAAAGGGATCCGGAGCGGGGCGGGGCGGGGTGGCGGGGTGAGGAAGGGTAGGTGAAAGGGATCCGTCATGTCATGTTTGGGGTTTCTGCTAGCATCGGAATGCCACGGCAAAGCTGTAATTTTATTAAGAAACGCATTTGAGTGCGAACTACGTCTATGCTTCCCTTTGAAAGCACGTAATGTATTTGTGCAGGAACAGTCGGTGGGGTTAGAGGGAATTTCCTAGACTGTCAACAAAAACTTGAACGGCATGAAAAATTTCTGCCTTTGGTTGTGCGCTCAATAGAATAAATAGCTGTCGAGTGGTTCAGATTTGATTCCTTTGAATCTGTTTCGATATTAAATCAATTTAAAGGGTGTCTTTAACCGAAGGGACACGCGGCAATTACCAAATCTAAGAGCTCATTCAAAGCGTCTAAAAGAATAATTTTTCATCCGTCTGCTGTATTTTACCGCCTTGTAGCACACCACCTCGTAAGAAAAGAAAAACAACTTAGCAAACATTCACACACCAAATACACGTCTTGTCACACTAATAGCCAACAACGTAAAGCTGATATCAGCTGAATAACAGCCTCGCGACGTTCACTATTTTGTTGCTGATTTCTTAGCGTAACTTCAGATCGCCACACAGCTCTTAAAGTAATGAAAATGTTCTAGCCGAAATGTTGCTCACCCATGTTTAGTATCCGCCATGTTCCCCAGGACCTGAGAGTGAATGTGAGGTGTAGTTATTTTCGTTTGGCATGTATCTGTCGTCGTTGGACCGAGTGTAATCAAACCGATTCGCTATAACGCTACAATGTGAGTCGCGGCTCCGAACAATCAAGTAAAGAAATCGGCGGCACGGCCTCTATATGAATCACAGTGCCTGGTCCTGAGGCCCGTCCCGACCCGTCTCGACAGGCCAGCGGACAGCTCAACATGGCTGACAATATGAGTCACAATGCAGCCCAAAGTAAGGAGAAACTGCGTGCCGCGGCCCCGGGGGGCACGACGGGGCCTGACCGCGAGGACGGAGTGCCCGAGAGGAAGAAGACCCCCTCGTTCCAGATTACCAGTGTGACGGTGGCTACCCGGGTGAGCAACGACGGCGGCGACGACTCTGCCGACGATCTGGACGACTCTCGGACGGACGACATCTCGGAAGCTGTGGACGTCGACGGCAACGGCTCCATGTCCATGTCGCTGTCCAGGGTGACGGACTTGGAGACGCCCAGCTTCAGCGAGGAGAGCTTCAGCAAGGAGGACGTGTTCTTCAACACGTCGGCCGCGGCCCTTGGGTCGGCGCCTGTCATCCCGACCAGCTCCCAGTACGGACTGGCAATAGTGGCCAACTTAGAAGGGGACTCGGCCACCAGCAGCTCCCCTGTCAACTGTATCAACAGTGTCAGTGCCAACGATGTGCATGTCAATGTGAGTGTGGCCGAGGCCAACAGTAAGCAGAGTGAAACGGATAGTAGTCATAGTCACCCAGGACGGAACGAGAGGTTTAAAGTGGTTAAGATTGAAAGCACAGAGCCATTCAAACGGGGTAGATGGATGTGTATGGACTATTTGGATCACACGACGCAGCCACAGCAGCAAAGTCAGCAACCACCCCAGCCGCAACAGCAGCCTCAAACACAGCAACCACCCCAGCAGCAAGCTCACCATCAACCAACGCAGCAGGCACCTCAGCAAACACCACAGCATGCACCCCAAGCTCAACCACAACAGCAATTGCAGCAGCAGCAGTTAAATCAGCACCCCATTCAACAACTGCAGCAGCCACAAATGCAGCCCCAAGTTACCCTAGTGCAGCATTCATTACCAAAACAGGACTGTAATGAAGGAATTCCCTCCAACATGGGAATGGCTTCATATCCTCAAGATACTGGAGTGATGATGAATGATACCATTGTGAAAAATGTTGGACCAGATGATCATCAAGGAAGTGTTTTAGACCCTAATGTGATTGCTCAAATGGCAAATAGTATGATTGCTCCTGTATCTTCGCCAGACCAGCACCAGCAGGCAATGTTAGCATCCCAGCGACATCAGGTGACACAGCAAAGTATAGCTATGAACCAGATGGCTACTAGTAGTTACCAACCTATGGCAGGTCAGTCTATGCCTCATGTAACTATACCTAGCAGTCAACCGCAGCAAGTAGTGATGCAAAGCCAGCAAATTCCTCAAACTATGCCCCAGCAGATGGCTCAGAGTTTTCAGCCCCAAGGTAATTCTGCAACCGGAATGCCTCAACAGATGCTCCAGCCTCAACACCCTCAAAGTATGACTCAGGTTCCATACCAGCCACAGCAAGTGTCCCAGCACCAGAGTTTGCCTCAACAGCAATTGCAACATGTGATCCAAGTGCATCAGCAACAGTACCAACAGCATCAACAGCACCAACAACAGACTATACCACAGATGCAGCAGTTGCAGCAACAAATTCACCAGCAGCAATTGCAGCAGCAACAGCTTCTGCAGCAGTCTCAACAGCAGTTACAACACCAACAGATGCACCAGATGCAACAACAGCATCAAATGCAGCAGCAACAGCAAATGCAACAACAGCAACAGCTTCAACAGCAACAAATCGCTGCAGCGATGCAGCAACAACAGCAGCAGCAACAGCAGCACCAAGTTTTACCTCAAGTTCAACAGCAACCGCCCCACAGTGCTGCACAGCATTCTGTCATGTCGCAAGTGGTGCAACAACAGGCAACTCACATGTCTGCCCCGACCCAACAGTCGCAGTATTACAGTCCTCCACAAGGATCCATTATACAGCCAAAGGTTGTCACAATGCAGCAGGCTCAAAGCCAAGCTGGCGGATATCCTACTCAGACTTCTATGACTGTAACGCAAACTCAAAATGTAAATTCAACAACGCATCTGCCTTCTATGTCGCAAGGAGCATCAATGCCTCAACAATCCATGCCGCAATCAATGGCCCAAGCACAGTCTCTCCAAGCCCAGTCGCTGCAGGCGCAGTCACTTCAGGCTCAATTACCTCCTCAGCAACATCAGCATCCACAGCATCAACATCAACAATCCTTGCAAATGGCGGGACAAGCGCTGTCCCAAATGCAGACTTTAGGACAAGGACAGAGTCTTCCTCAGAATCTTACATCGAGCTCTGTTCCTCCATCAGGTCCACAGCAGCAACAAATTCCTCACCAACAACTTGCTGGCCAATCCTTGCCTCAAATGCAACAAATTGCACCTGCTCAAAGCCTGTCTCAGGGTGTACCACAAGGTGTACAGCAAGGAGTACAAGGTGTACAACAAGGTGTACAGCAAGGTGTACAGCAAGGTGTACAGCAAGGTGTACAGCAAGGTGTACAGCAAAGTGTACAGCAAGGTGTGCAGCAAGGTGTGCCGCAGGGTGTCCCTCAAGGTGTTTCCCAGGGCGTGCCTCAGGGTGTTCCTCAAGGGGTTCCACAAGGCGTCCCACAAGGCGTCCCTCAAGGCGTCCCACAAGGCGTTCCTCAGGGTGTGCCACAGGGAGTTCCTCAAGGTGTGCCATCTCAAAGTGTTCCTCAATCTACTCCCCATCCGCAAATTAACAATCAGCTGCCACCACTACAGACCATGGCCCAGGTCCAAAACTTGCCTCAAAGTATTTCTCAAAGTTCAGTTCCTCAACCAGCCCCCCAGCAAGGGCAAATGGGCATGGCTCCACAGCCAATAATGTCAATGCAAATGCAACAAGGACAGAACAACATGATGACGGCACCTCAGCAGCCTCAGCCTCCACAGCACTACCCCATGGTGTCCAATGCTGGACCTCAGACGTTCTCAAACCCTACTGTCAGTTCATCAACATCTGTTTTGTCTCCCCATTCCGGGGGTGTTGTGTCTGTGGCTTCCAGTGGAGTGTCAAGTGTTGTCGACCCTGTAACTGGAACTGTTCTGGGTACAGTCAACAACCCAGTAGAACTTCATACAGGACAGAGTGTTGGAAGCAATCAAACTGGTTTAGGGACTGCACCTGCCAATGCTCTTCTGGAATCTCTTGTGGAAGCAACAAATTCTGTTGATGATGTGGCCCCTGGAAACTCTGACGATACTGAAAGGTATGTTCAGTATTTTTGTGTTACGATTTTTCATAGTTTATAATACTTCATTATTCATATTATTGTGTTTTTTTTTTCCAGTGCCTCTGGTACCAATGCTGTTGCGATAGACAACAAGATTGAACAAGCAATGGTGAGAACTTCTACAATGCATTTACGCTTTCTTTTCTTGTTGCTAACTGCATGCTGTGCCCTTGTTCTTTTATTTACTGCCCAGGCCTAGTAAGAAATCAAGCCTTTAAATTTAGGAGTGCATATTGGACCTATATATTGTTTATTTCACTTGCAGGATCTAGTGAAAAGTCATCTAATGTTCGCTGTGAGGGAAGAAGTGGAGGTTTTGAAAGAAAAAATTGCAGAACTCATGGATCGCATCAGTCAATTAGAGTTGGAGAACTCGATCCTCAAAGCACATGCCACACAAGAAACACTGGCTCAGCTGAATTCAAGCAGTGCCAGTAACATCCAACCACAGGGTCAACAGGGGTCTGTGTCGCAGGGACAGTCCCAGCAGACACCCCCGCAAAGCTCTCAACCTCCTCCACACCAAAATGGTTCATGAAGATAATTTGCAGACTTTTTTAAAGTAAAAGATGTGATATATTATGGCCATTGAGCACTGGCTTAAATCCAGTTGCATACTTGCCAGTTATGTAGGAGTGAATAGCGGGAACATTTTTACTGGCTGATTCCCTTTAGTGATGAATTTAATTAATGCCAAGTAGATGAAAGAAGCCATTTGAGGTTCTCGAACTTAGACTGTGCTTGTACTTTTAATACTAGGGCGATATTGGGGTCAGGCTGCCTTGCCTTGACTGGACTGCCTTTGCCTCCTGCTGACATTTGACACAGTGTGATGCGATGCCAGCAGCGACCAACTCTAGGATAATTGAGATACCAGCTGGTTCTGGAGCCAGAGATGCTGGTTGCATTTCATGCTCATTTAATTTTACATTCTGGTTTCGCTCTTGTATCTTCAAACATCTGACTTACGTTTAGTTAATATTTAGCAACACAATCAGCACCTATCTGGCTAAGGAATATTGTATGTGCTCAGATGTTGTGATAAGAGAAGAGAACTGCTGTGAAGTCACATGATTGTTTACTTTCTGTGTAGTTTGAAGGGTTACTCAAAAGAAATGACACAAGAAAAATAATATCTAGAAATTCATGACGGCCCATGTTTTGGTAGGTGCTGTCTTTGTCATTTGCCAAGTCATTTCCTAAGCACTAGTCAAAACTGGACCAGTCACCCCTCCCTCATTAAAAGCCTTGAATCTACGAGTCCTTGTCAAAAATTTAATGCACTGGTATAGGTTTACTTTTCCCTACCGATTGAATGCATCTATTCTTGTTGTTTGTGTCCATTTGAAAGAATCACAAGAGTCAAAGTTCGTTGGTGATAATGTTTGTGATATAGTACCTACTGGCTCTTTTGTTGTATTTTTCTTTCTCTTTCTTCTTTTTTTCCCTTTTCTGTGAATCAATTACTCTGTGCATAACTTTTGTCTCTAAATTGTAACTGCTATCTTTGACTGTGACATCTTGATAGAAGTGATCCACCCCATTACCATTTGGTATATTTACTTAAAACCCCCAAACCATAAACTTCCCTCTTAACCTTAGGAAAATATGAGATATGTCTTTCGTTTTAACATAAAATTAATGCCCTGGTAGTTTGTCAGAAGTCTATGCTAAAATTTTATGTCTGCAGATGTTGCCTTTGTTTTGCTCGTAAGGTTTTTTCACTCCTCTCATGGCCAGATTAAGCTGCAAATTCAAATTTGCTCCATGATAGAATCCAGCTGGTTTGACAAAGAAGTTTTGCTTGCCCTCTTGAGTAGCTCATCTAGTCGTTTTTAATAAGACTGAAATCCTGACAAATCTTGGTTGCCTCTAGTCCTGTCCAACTATCTTCCTCACATTGTAGGCTTTTCTTTGAGAAGAAGAATTCGGCAGCTGAAGATTTCTATTACTTGGCAGCAGATTTATAATAAGTAGCCAGTGCATTCAAATTTCTCTTACAACAAATTAGTAAGAAGTGTAGGTGTAGGCCAAGAATGTTCATTATTTGGAGGGGTGATCTTGGGATAAAGACGTGTGACAATTTTGATTGGGAATCAAAGTGGGTGTGCCATAAATTATTCTTCTCTTCTTTGAAAATCTTGTTGTTGTTGAATCATCTCATAGTCTGTGCATTTCGTAACATAGTAATAGTAAATTATTGGCCTGAAAGGAAAGTTTGAATTGGTGAAGAAGGCTTTGTGACTGCAACCTAGACGTGTTTTATTGGCTTTTCCTTGAGGCTGAACATGGCTTGTTCACATTTGTAACTTGTGTTTGACTGTCAAGACTTATGAGCCAGGAGTTAAAATTTATGCAATTTAGTATTATTTTGTTAAAAAAAAATCTGTGTACTGTTTATCAACTTTGTCATTTAAAATAGAAAACAACATCTAAACAACATGAAATAACTGTTAAAAAAGATATCCATGACTAGCTTTTCCCTTACTGTTCAGTGTATAGTGCACATTCCACATGTTGTGATGCCGTTTCTTACTGTTGGTGCAAGAGCAGACCCTTCGCTGTTTTTGCAATTATTCTTTGATTTTAATAACAGGTTTTTAAATGAATATTAACTGTCCGTGCCCAATTTCAATGAAAGGTTGAGTTTCCTCTCTGGCTTTGAAGCTTTTGATTAAGACGTGTGTATGGTTTATTTCAGTATTTGACTTGTTTTGCATTCTGCAAGCATTCAAAGTCATGAAGGCTGTGTTAGTGATATAAATAGTTTAAGGAAATAATTTTATGCCTTTTTATGTGAGTGAAGCTGATGGAAGTCTTGATAATAATTCCTGGTTCATTTTGCCTTTAGAAAATGAGACAATTGGAATACACTTATATCAAGAGAAGTTGTTCAGATAGTCAGAAAACAGGATTCTTTATGTTTGTTTAGTAACAGATTTTAAGCTTTGACACTCACCAATTATATCACCATTGGTGATTTATTCTGATTGATTACTGCATCATTATTCCCTAAATGCTTGAAAATATTTTCTGATCATCTGGCAGTATGCTTCATTTCTCACAGTTTTATTTAGAAATTTTTTCACTTTTTTTCAAATTTTAACTGTACTTGAAAAGCACTGCTTTAACTAACCTCTGAATATTATTTTTCCAGTAATGGAAATGCTTCTACCTTATTTGTATAAGTGTACTTTTCCCTCTAGCTGGTGCCAATCAAGATCAATTTTCATATTGCTTTTACATGTAAGTGTATTGTATTTGGTCTGGATTGCCAACTACTTTACAAAGTGAATCTCTTGTGTGGAAAGAATGTTTCATCTTTTATGGTGGTTTATCTAGCTTACATCACCCTTGAACTTTTTTCTTTCATTCTCTGGAAAATATTCTTCTCATAAGTAAATGAACTTATGTTTTATAAAAATGACAAAAAAAGAAAGAAACAAAAAACAAAATAAAAAAATACTTGGTTTGTTTACCATGCTCTAGGTATTTAATGAAACCAAGCTAAATAGAATTAAATCACCTATGTTTGATGAACGGTAACTGTCCACAGTTGAATACGTACTTTATTTCTTGACAAGTGCTTCCTGCTGTATATGATCAAATTGCAAGTACAATGATGTGTCTGTGCATTATTATCACTGAAGTAATAACCCAGATTGGTAGTAAAACTTTCTGTCATCACTGGTTTTCTATTTTAAGTGATGCTAACTCTGTAAGTATACATTACATCTGTGTCATGCATTGTGCAAGTGTGTTTGTGTGTGTGTGGCGCTTTCTGTGGGGATTTTACTTTTCCGAGTTTGGTGCTGTTGATTTTCAGATATTGTACTACTTTCATGGTCAGCAGTTCTAATTGTGACCCTGCAGCCATAAATGATTTCAGTGCGCTTATTCTTGCTATTGACATTGTGTACCATCTACCACCTGGATACCCCTATCTGCCATAACCAGACCAATTTTACGTAACAGCAGCATCCATAGACTCTTTCTTAAAATGAAACAAAACTGGATTTTAAACAAAACAGTGTCATGTTTGTGGTGCTGTGCAATGGCTCAGGAGTGGTTCCAATGCATACACTATCGCTATGGCAGCAATCGCTGCTGGTGTTGGCCCCCTTATATATCTACCATGTGATATGTTTCGAAGTTCTGTATCTTATAAGGCTGACTATATTTCTTAGTTATGTTTTGATTCATAGGAGACTTGTCATCAAAATTTCACTGACTTTAAGGTATGTTAGACACTTATTCTTGAATTTTAGTAATAAACTGGTTGTTTCTACTGTAACATAAATTAGGCATGAAGAAAGTTCCTTGAGAAATAAGATCATTCACTTACATGCTTGCTGAACTGATTCTAAGAATTGGGATATACTCTAGAATTTGAAAACAAATCCAGGAAAAAAATTGCTTAAGTTAGATAAATAACCAACCCAATCTGTTGCTATTCTTGACTTGAAGGAATCATATTTCATGGCCAGCTTATTTCATTGTCTCTCTTTTTCTCTGACAAAGCAGTGTAACATATGTTTTGAATGAGATTATTTTTTAAGTAGTTGTGTATTTTGATGGGGACTAATTATGGAAATTGAATTCTGTACAGTGAGATGATTGTATTGTAAATAGATATTGAAAAGTTTAATATATGCATATATAAATATACATATTTAAAAATATTTTTTATGTGTAACTGGCAGTTTTGTGATTTAAAGATATTGGAGGGCAAGTGTATGTGTGAGAATACCTGAATAAGAGGTAACAATTCTGCAGTTTTTTTTTTTTTTTTTTTAAATGTAATCCAAGTGTACATAAAGCAGGAAGTATGAGATATGGTTCCTCATTTGTTATTGATATTAATAAATAACTATTCACTTGACGTAGTACTTGGATTAAGATTCATTTCCCCTTCTGCACAAGGGAAGATGGTACCCAAGAAGTACGATACAGTGTGAGTATACAGGAGGTAGCACTGACTTGAATCATCAAATTTAAGGCACACAGCTATTTGGGCTGTTTCAGTCTATTAGAGGGTTGAAAGTGGGTTAAACAAGGACAACTTAAATAGTTGAGAGGTTTAATTCAGGGATTTAAATATTACAACAAAGAGGCAGTAAATCTTTTAAAAATTTCATTGCATTTAAGACTTGGAATCAAACTTTGTTGAAGGCAGCAATATCAACACTCTGAACCTGAAAATTGCAAGAAAAATTGTTAGCAGACGGGTCCACAAAAGCAAACACAACTACTTAACACATGAACTTACATAATCTTCAAAGTCTTGGATCTTTTCTTGGAGAAGGTCAATAGAAACCTTATCATCTTCAACAACACAGGAAATGTGAAGTTTATGAATACCATAGGCTAATGGCACCAATTTAGCTTTAAAAAATTTCATTGAATAATTAGTACAAGTGGAGAACTAGAATGAGACTAAAGAAATTTAGGTCACTTACAAGCACCCCAAAGAAGACCATCCATTTCGATTGTTCGTACACATTCTTCCATCTTCTTCATGTCTGTTTCATCATCCCAGGGAGAAACTGAGAGAATGATGTTCGACTTGGCAATAAGAGCAGGTTCTGAGGGCACAAGAAAACAAATGAAACTTAATCCAACATGAAAGCCTAAAACATCATACACAAAACGAAAACTTACTCTTTGATTTCTTTTCAGCATAAGCTGCCAATCGTGCCTCTCTAACCTTTGCTGCCTCTTCACCCTCATCCTGAAAATCATAAAATAAAAATGATATGAGTGCAAAAAAATGCAAAGCATTCGGAAACACAAAACTATTCTAAGGAACAAAACTGAAATTTTGGACTGTACCTCTGAATCTGAGCCAAATAGGTCAACCCCATCATCGTCTTCCTCTTCTTTCTTTGAGACCTTGGGAGCAGAGACTGCAGCAGGCTTTCCTCCTTCAAGAGATTTGACACGGCCATCCAAACTTATAACAAGATTCTTAAGGTCAGCGACGACTGAGCAAAGGAGAGAAGAAAGAGTCAAGGAGGCAAACAATGAACGGCCGATAACTCACACCTGACACAAACTAGAGGGTACCTTTGTGAAGGGAAGCATTCTCCTTCTCCAATCCATTTATCCTATTAATAAGTTCCACACTGCTTCCAGCCATGGCAGCAATACCGTCCATCTAAAAAAAAAGGGGGCGGAAAAACAAAAACACTACATTAATTTATGTTATTTAGGACACTTGACCACATCACCACACTTTTCACAAAAATCGAATGTTATGAAAGGTATGTAAAGGTGATAATTAAATATTCCAAATTTTGATCACATTATTAGCAAGTGCAGATTATTTTATCTTATTGATAAAAACCATAATTTGAGGAATGTGTTAAAATATGCATTAAGAATGCACTCCACCTCAGAAAGCAGTATACCCAAGAGATACCAAACTTGCAACAATCAAAATGAACACGATTCAGTAAGCTGATGACAAGGCATGATTAAACTTCTAGGAACAATGGATTGAAAAGCGAGGGAGAAACCTCAAATTAAGCAGCGATAGTGATGAATGGCATCCAACCATAAGTTATCAAAGCATGCCTCCCTCCCAACAAACTCTAGGAACACATGCATTGTGAAGACACTTGGGTTAACTTGCTCACATACAGATTTGAGATGTAAATTCATCCCTAAGTTTATACCTCTTCTCTCTGCTGAAGCACTCTCAATCAACATTATCAGGACATAAAATGAGAATAGAGCAAGTGTTAAAATACATAGAAGAGCAAGGAGCTACAACTACAATCAAATACCATGGAACTGGATATGTGCTAGCCCCTTAAGGTAAGGTACAGAACTGTGACAGAATACTAATTTAAATTTGCATTTAAAGAAGAGAAAAAAAAAGTTAAAAGCTTGGGAAAAAAATATTGCACTGCACCACATTACCCAGTTCCGTGACCTCTTCCCTGCTCATTGAGGTTGAAGTACAAATATAAGTTACAATTAAGCTATTCTACCGAACAACTGATCATCATGGCTACTCACACATTCAAGAGATTGTTTAATATGTTGACGAGCCTTCGCAACCTCACTTGCCAAAGATTGTTTCATAGGTGAGTTAGAAGATGCCTATCCGACAGAAAGACAGAAGAAATTAAAACTGCAGTCAGTGTTAAACTGTACCATCTTGCTCAACAACAGCCACTAAGCAAGACTCAACCCACAACTTAATAAAAATCATACTTCAGCTATAAGCTCAAAATATAAAGGCAATTGGAAATATAAGACTTAAAATAAAGATTGAAACAAAAGTCAAATTACTTTCTATTTCCAAGGGGGAAAACTTGTTAAGTAAAACAAATTACTTACATATTCCAAGAACTGTTTCTTTGAAAAAAGGTATACAGAGTAAATAAAATTGAAAGCCCTGACCAGGAGGGACAAGTAATGAAACTACTATTCCTAAAAAATTGGTATGCCTCAGAAATAAAAGAAGCAAATAATCCATCCCTCCCCCCCCTCTCTTATAAAAAAAAATGCAACTTACGATGGCAGTAGACTTTCATGCTTAATTAAAAGCTATACAGTACATACAGTTTTAAACATGCATTAACAAAACGAAACAAGGGGCAAATGCAAGTTCTACTTCAGTGATAAACATAATAATAAAAAGAGAGCAGCATTAGCTTAGCCAAAATCAGGCATGCAAATAAATCAAGTGCACCTACAAGAAATATCAGCTGTCGTGTGTTCAACATTAAATACAAATGTTATGCAAAAATTTATATGCTCAGGAGTCGTAATGTTTGCAGATCTGTCAACTTCAAACTAACTGTGGCCAAAAAGACAGACAGGCCCTCTTAAATAGCTACAGTTAGAGTTGACCAACAAACTTGACAATAGGAGTTTCCTGCACACAGTGGTAATGGGTAAATTCTTTTGCCGTACAACTTTCCATGCATGATTTAAATAAAAGCACACTAGCAAAAATTAGTCTTTGTAAAGGAGAGTGTATAAATGGATTCCTAATGGTGCCAGTTCAGATTTCAATGTGGCAGTTCCACACAAGCTGCACTACAGCCATCAGACTACCTCAGATGCTAACAAAACTAACAACTTCAAGGCAATAAAAAAAAATCATAAGCTCCATTTTTAATTACAAAATATTATGGAAATGGTGACAGGAAGACTCTACTTGCATTTTTAGTCTCAATGTGGTTATTGCCAACTTGACACAGAATGTTGTTTCCAACAGTGTTGAATGGAAGCTCAGTTCCCTTCACAGCCACTGAAGAATACCCCTGCGGTTTTAAGACAAACATATCCTTGCAAGTTGCAACAAAGAAGTTTGATTTGAAGAAAAAGAAATTCACAGCAGAGGGGAACTAACCTTCACTTCAGAGTTAACACCATTGGGTTTGCCCTTCAGCTTGCTGTTCCAACCTGAGTTTTCAACATAACTTTGTTTGTTGTCTTGAGTGAAGGTGACATTTTTCTGCTCTTTCTTAAGCTCCTTATCTTTCTTCTCCTTCTTGATCTTTTTCTCTTTCTTTGAGCGCTTCTCATCTCTGCTCACGGCAGAGTTCGTGTTGCTGTCATTGACATGGTTTGTGGAAGTTTCCACTACTTTCGACATATCGGAGCACACCAGGTCTTTGTGATCAGCCAGCTTAAAGGTTGTGAGCAGCTATGTAAATACAGTAATCTTAATTTAATTTCAGTAGGAATAAGAGCCACATTGTATTTATCCACCTCAACCATTCAAACAGAATAATGTTAATGCGCAAATCCAGTTAGAAATAAAACACGAGAACCAGTTAATACATACAGCTCATCACGAGCTACAAGCATGAGCGTAGAAAGCACCCGGACAGCACAACCACCCAAACTAAGTAATGAAAATGCAAAACCACCAAGAATGTCCATCACCAAGGAAAACAACGACATGATTGATTGTCCCAAAGAACTTATGTAAACTCCACCCAACCATGACGGACTTCTTTCCCACACAATTCTATGTTTCATAAGCTGTTTATAGATGTCGGACAAGACCAAATTAATTTTCCTAAGTTCCTAATGATAAACGGGCCTGTTGTGCTACAATGATCTTACTAAAAGAGGTGCAGCAAGCGTCTACAGTTTAAATTAATTCTTACCTTTGCTAGCTTTTCATAATACTGCCTCTCTGCTGCTTCATATTTCGACTTCTCATACCAAATTGATTCGTGAGCAAGAGGAGAAGCCATGGTTGTTAGTGGACAGTATTCCTATAACAACAAAATGGACGTCAAATTAAAGTGGTCTAACTCGATCTTGGACAGGCTAACAATTAAAAACCCCAAATGGGGGAAAAAATTGTTTATCTCGACTCAAGCAGGCTGATTAAGAAATAATGATTCAAGTAGAACTTCAGTTGAGTCAGCAACTGACAGCAATGGACAGCAGGCTAAAGGTTTCTTAAATGTAGCACATCAGGCCGACGATAAATTACCGAATTGCATGAATTAAATGCCAACGATAAGAGTGCCGAAAACGCCGGCGTTGGGCCCTACCCCAACAAATGAACAACAAAGAGGTTAACGCGAGGAATGAATTACTTTACTCATCGTTGAAATGAAGTTCCAAAGCATAGAAAAACTTTAGAGAGGGCATGGTTACATATTTGCTTGCACGCTTGTGGTCTGTTCAAAAAGAGAAGGGCCAGATATTCTGGATATATATAACAAAGTGAAGGGAACCTGGCAGGCAGGCATCAACGGGCAGTCGGTCTACTGGTCGCAGGGCGTCGCGCGACTACAGAAGGATGTAAAATCTAATTCAAATCGCCATCAAACTCAAGCACCAGCCCAGAGAACTGCTACAGAACGCAACAGAATACAAAAAAATGACGGGAAAATGCTAAGATGGGGTTGCACGTGTCAATGCAAGTTGATGACAGATTTCACTAGACCGTCTAATACCCACTCCACCGTCTTCCTTGAAACAATTCCAGTCCAAAAAATACGGCGCGAAGATGTGACACAAGTATTTAGGAGCTTGAACACAACACAGCCAAGGAAATTGTCGAATTACCTGCTTCAAATCTCTTGAGGCGACTGCTGAGGTCTCAGCTGTGATGGGAAGGGAAAGGGGGAAGGGAACGGGAGAGGGGTGAGGGGAGTTTGAACGGAAATGATTCAATGAAATTTCACTGCCTTCTCTTCTCGAACCGAAGTGCCGAAAGTGACATCCGGAGTCTCCTCTCCGCCATGACAGTTAAATTTCCCTGCTGTTGACGTAAAGTCATGAAACTTGGTACATTTTGGAAATCCAAATGGCTGGAACTTTTTTCGATTTCGACAGCACACTGCCGGTATGTATTTAATGGGATAGCTCGCAATACTTCAGCTTTGCCTGCAATCATATTGTCATTCCAACCTTACTTCTTATACTCATGGCCTGGTTACACTGCACCGGGGCACACAAACACTTAAATGAATTGACGCTTTAACTCTTTTATCATACACAGTCCTGTACAACAAAATATCGTAAATGGTTCCATCACCTTTATATTTTACAAGACGCACAGGCCAGCTGAAACGGTGCGAATGCCCTCTTAGGTTATGCCCTTCTGAGGGTAAACCTAGTCAACATCTATGTATTTCCACAGTATAACATCAAATGGGCAAAATTACGTACCAAATTGTTTTGTCTGCTGTCACTTTGACTTTGCATTTGAATCCAAGTCGCCTCTCGTGCCGATTGTCTCTGTCAATGTCAGGGACCTAACCTCTTCTTGTTTTTACTAAGATTGCTACATTTATGTAACTTTATTTGTGTAACATATGTCCTATCAATATCTGAAATTTGTTTGTTGAATTCAATTTATCTGCCTATGGACATGGCACTCCTTCCCCTTCCTTGCATTGTTACTTGTGCTGTATCTTTTGAACTTGTTGTCAATTACATTATTTTCATCTTAATTTATGTCCTTCAGCCTGGGGATGACCCAGGGCAGGGCTTAGAGGAAGAAGAGGAACAGCAATATGATGCTCTCAATGATGAAACCTTTGGAACTGCTACGGGTATGTTTCTCTGTGCTGATGTCTGTTCAATGTATTTACTTGTCATTGCATTGTTATAAATTTATTATCTTTATCAGAGGATGACTGGGAGCAGGACCACGAACAGCTGTCAAAGCTAACAGAAACCTCACGAGGATGGAATAATGATTTTGATGATTTCAATCATAACGACCATGATGACCTTCGAGTAAGTGTTTCTCATTTCCAAATTGTCAATTGTTGTTTATTGCAATCATTCATTCATCTTATAACTTCTGATTTCTTCTGAAAAGAATGGACAAGACCATCTTGAAGCTAGTTTATCGCAGTTAGTACTGGAAGACAATGATGAAATAGCGGTAAACAGGAAATCATCTTCTCATATTCCTCATTCAAATTTAGTGGTGCGTGTTCCATTTAATATATCGCTGCATTGACATCAGACTTTTCAGTTTTATTTAATCTAATCCTTTCCTGTCATCAGCCGTATCCTGAATCACCTAACGCTCTCCGCAATTCTGTGTGGGCTGTTGGTAAACATGATGGACCTTTGTCTGCATCATCTCCACTTCGCCCTAGAGTTGCTTTACCTCAAGGCGTCAAGGTAACACCATGACGGAGGCGCAATCTTTTACCGATTTCTCCTTAATATATATCCTTCATCTTGATATAATTGCCATATTTCATGTTATTAATTTTATTCTATTTCTGTAGAATGTTTGCACTGTTGAGGAGCTGGAAAGGAATCTTCTCCAAATGCGCAGTGGAGGTGTCACTGGGTCTTCTTTACCACCTCCACCTGGTTTGGGGAACCCAAGTCCAGGTGGTGCATTACGCCTCGAAGATTTAGAACGAAAAATTACCCAAGTAGCACCCCAGCCTAGAATGGTAAGTTTCATCATTTCATGCTTCCAACTGTCATCTCTATAAGTTCTAGTTTATCTATATGCTTTTAATTCCTGTGCTTGTTTCCTCCAGAATATGATACCTGACATGCCATCTAGATTTCCCCCTGGTTTGGGAAGGGGCAATATCATGAATACACTTCAAAACCAGAGACTTATTGGTGAGTGGACTATTAATTTAATTTTTGTTTTTTCATTAATGACCTTAGTGATTATGTTCTTGTATTGTATTGGCAGGCCCCCCAGGACACATAGAAGCCCCGAAGGTACCCCTACAACAATTGCCTCTCGGTTTTGGTAGCTCAAATATTCCTCCGTACTTTGCCATTCGACAACAACATTCTTTTCAGGTAGAATACGTTTATTTTCCTCTCTCATATGTTTTCAATATTGATAACAACTGTAATATCCATCTAATTTAAAAAAAAAAATGTTCCAGCCGATACAACCAGGCCCTGGAATGATGCCGCTGGGTCCACATCAGCAGCAGCAACACTTACCATTTAACATGAATGGACCAAGAATACCTCCTCCTCACATGAATAACCACCTTGCACACCATCTACACCAACAGCATTCTCAGCACCCTCAGCATCACCAACACATGGCCCATCAACAGCATAGAAATACTCACCAACAACCTCATCACTACCACCAACCCCACCATCATCAACAGCAACAGCAACATCATCATCATCAACACCAACAGCAGCAACACAGAGTGAATGGTGCTGGAGACTATGATGAGTATGCTGGGTTGATGACACCATGGCAAAAGCAATGGTTGCTCAACATTCAAACTTTGCAACTCAATGTTGGTGTACCTTACGTTGTGGATTATTATTACACTGTAAGAGGCCCCCTCCTCCATATTATATATGTACATACATCTTGTAGTTTTTCTCTGAATAAGTAATTATATATTTAATTTCCCATTTTTAGGTTTACAAGAATCGTAAAGAAAGGAGAAATTCAGACTCTAGGAAATCAGATAGTTTCTATGGAAGACCAGAATCTGTTCGATTGGGAAAGGATCGAGCTGAATCAACAAAGCCAGGACGTGAACGTCCACCATCTGTGATGGGACCAGCCAAAGCATATACCCCACTTCAGTTTGAGAATTCTCTTGGAAAACTCCAGGTATTTTTTTTTTAAGTTATAGTAACAGGCTCTTATTAGTTTTCTAATAATTTTTATTCGTGTTAATTACATGACTTCCTTTGTCTTTTGTAGTGTGTTAGTGTTACTGCGCCTCGTAAACTCATAGATATGGAAATTATGGCATCAGAGGGACCAGATGGCCAGTCAACTCAAAAAGATTTGAAGAAGACAAAGCAACTTCTTCTTGAGATTGAAAGGGTATACTGCATTCTATTTGAATTTAGTTTTGTGTTAACTTGTTCTTTGCCACTGTTTTTTTTTTCCACATTAACGCTACTTTTGCCTTTACAGTTGTACGTTTTGCTTCTGGAGCTGGAAGATGCATTTGACCCTCAGGCCATCGAAGCTGCAGCTGAGGCTGCTGCAACTAGAGCAATGCGGGATCCTCCAGACAATGAACCGGAGCCTGAAAAACCTTCACCCGAAGAACTTCTTACACGAATGACAAGTGTTCTATTGCAGGGTGATAAAATCTTTGGATTCATGGGAATTCGAAAGGGAAAGGTAAGAGTCCTTTACAAGCTTAACCTGATTTCAGTATCATTGATTTTCTAACCTATTGTTTTTTTAACATTTGTTCTTCTATCTCTCTCTGACAGACATTCTTGCTAAGATTGCTCCCCCATATACCAGCTGATGCAGGCTTGCATTTTGCCTTTTGGGGTCAGGTGCTTTATGGATTATCTGCACTAGTGAGACGTGACCAGGCAGATGGCCTTCTTCCACGGTTTCTCCCTGAATTAAAGAGGTGGCTGGAAGTAAGCGATTTACCTCAGATTTTGAAACTCACTACTTCTCTCGTTGCTGAAGCTAGTTTAAAGTCAAAATCCAGTCGAAGCGCTCTTTCTGCAGCAGTCAATAGCAAGGTGCGTATGTTGCCAGTATTCATTTCTGTATAATTCTGTTCTTTATGGAGTGTCATAACACCCTCTTGTTGTTTCCAGTTTGGTGTCTTAGCTTTAGGAGCAATTCTGACTGCTTCTGAAAAGCACTTGTCCAAAATGGATGACGAACATAAAAATCTCTGGGGAGAATTTATATCATCTGTAGCTGTAGTTGCTGAAACAGCTCGTGTGGCCGATGACAACTCTGCTCAGCGAGCTTCCCCTATTGCTCCTGAAACTTTGCAGAGACATATTGATGCTTGTGATGTAGCTGTTGCAAGTAAATATGGGGCTTTTTTAAAACGCTTGTTCTTAAGTGACACTCTTAAGACTGATACTGTGAAAGCACCAGAGAAGACAATTAGAAGAGCTAATGATTCAACAATTCCCTCAATACTTAATTAAAAATGAACGCCAATCACTTTTATAAATGAACTACAAATTTCCTCTGTGAATTATCTTAATTTCCTTGTTAATTGAAATCATATTTGTGAAATCTGTTTTATCAAGGCGTTAAATGTTGTTACACATGCAGGATGTTCTTATGTACTGGTGTTGAACTTTTTCTTTCTGTTTTTTGGATTACCTCAGATGGTGTCTAGTTGGGGCAAATTTATTGTTAATTTTGGACAACCTTTCTATCTCCTCATCTTTTATATTGATTGTTAAAAATATATTCATTACAGAGTATTACCAACCTTTAATAAATTGTATGACAGCCTATCTTCACATGTTAACCAGAATTTCTCTTTCAGCTTTGTTTGAAAATAGATTTGTGAAAAATAATTATGTAAATCTCTGGATAGCAAGGCTAACAGTTCTATTGACTGGCAAATATCAAACTGCATTGAAATGTATTTTCTTATTTATTCTTGGATCTGCATAGTTGTTTCATTTTATTGTAAACAGCTGTCTGTGCATTCTTGGAGGATTATTTTTTACGTAAACTATGTAGTTTTGTTCCTTTTTTGATTGTTGTTCATTCCAGCCAATGTCAGGATACAAACAAACAATATGCAATTAATGATGATGATGTTTATCAACATACAGTATGTGGTGACATGTTTACCAGAAAGACCTGGTACTCTCATCTCCTTAATACATGTCTTTTCTTGTTACCTTTTTGAGCTCTAGAGAAGATTATAACTGAACATTTTATTTTATGAACCTGGTTCTTCTGATGCAGTAGAGGTTTTTTCTGCATTTTACAACCTGCTCATAGTATTCAGTCATTCAGTCTCTTTGTATTGTATTAAAAATGTGACTTGACTTGTGATTCTTTTTCAATAGAAATGATTTATTTTATGTTTCCCTTGGTCTGCTATAGTAGAATTTTGATGCACTGACTGCATTTTAAGTTATCTTGCTGCTGTACACATAATTTGTGTGTAAAAGAAGTATGTTTCCTTTCCCTTATTTTTGTGTCAGTGGGTTACATTTTTTTCTTTCTTCCCTTATTTTTCTCTCAGGTCGGAAAATAAGGTGCCATAATGTGATGGTCAATTGTAGAAAAATTATAATAAAACAATTTAATAGCATAAATCATTGTAAGAGTTTTTCTTTCTCCTGGAACTGTTTATGATGTTTGAACTGACTTTTTACTGCCACATGGTTTTGGGAGCTCCAGGACTTCAAGAGCAAAGGCTTTGTTTTCTTTCTTTGGTCTTACAAAGAAAAATTGAAGCATTGAGTTAAATGAAAAACTTTGTATCTTGTAATAAAGGCAATAACCATGACTTATCAGCTGTTTGTCATAAACAGAAGAATTTTGTAAACTTTTATATTTACTTGGAAAACAGGTTGCAGTATTTATTGTTTAACTGTTAGCCCTGTTTTTGGGTACGATGAACTCATTTGTAAGGCTTTTGCAATTTCTATTCATGTTTAATAAATATATAATTCAACATAGCAACAACTTTTTTTTATATATAAAAGTAATCCAAATCCAAACATAACAGTTAAACATCTAGAACCAGTACAGACTTAAGAAATCCAAATAGTAGTTTCTTATTCTGTCCTGAAGGTATCACAGGACATAATCTATGTTACCATTTAACATTACAGGAAATGTGCAGAAATTAACATTTGCCTAGTTTGATATTTTGCTCAGTGCTCAGTATCTTGATGGCCCTTTGTTTGAAAGGCATAGGCATTCTCTTCCAATGAAGTTTTTTTCTTGAATGCAAATGCCAGTGACAAAATGGCTGTAATAGTCATCATACCTCATTGGTATTCTGCACGTCTTATTTCTCATTCAGTTTCTGCAACTTCGCTCATCACTGTTGTGATAGCAAGTTCTCAAAATGTTACTAAATGGGACACAATTTTATTTTATAGTCAACATCTAGGAAATGCGAATGGGAATATCACATGAACACAGGAATGACACTTCCCACGGCTACCCCTACTTCCTAAAGCTAGGACTACCAACGCGGCGACGCAGCGAGGCAGCGCGGGCTGAGGCGTGGCGTGAGGAGCGGTGAGGAGTCGGGCATCTGGCCATAGCGGCCATGGGCCATGGCCTGGCCGCACCCCAGTCGCGCTGCTGCACCAGGGCTGCACCAGGGCTGCACCAGGGCTGGCCAGTTGAACAAGGAAAGAGAGGAACAGGGACGGGCTAGGCTCGGCTACGCTGCGCCCTTAGATGAGGGTGTCCTCGTCCTGCCGGTCGAAGCTCTCGAGCAGCGAGTGCTGGCTGTGGCTCTGGCTCTGGCTGTGCCCCAGCAGGGCCGTCGTCTCGCCGTCCGCCGTCCCCGTGGTCGTGCTGGAGTGCTCGGGGGACTGCTCCGCCGAGCTGGGGTCGCCCGCCACTGTGGTGCTGCTGGTGGACAAGTTGGCCATCGCCGTGCCCACCTGCATGAGGCCACCGCCGCGCAGCATGGCGCTGTCTGCAACCAGAAACGCGCCGTGAGTCGCGGCGTCGCGGCGTCGCGGCAAGGAGGCCCAAGCGCCGCAGGCGAGGCCGCAGGCTCTTCCGATCCGCGGCTTCGTCGCCGCCTCTCTCGCACTCACGGGGCGTCCCGTGTGGGGTGCGAGAGAGGCAGCGCGACGGAACCACTCTTTGGAATGGCTCGGCCGGGGAAGGCCCAAGTGAGATCGCTAGACAAGTGCACACCGAGACGCTTCCGCCTCTGCCAGTCAACCAACTAAACCCGTCTGTGCAGTTGCAGTCCGTGCTATTGGCCAACGAGGCCCGGCCGCCCGGCCTAACACCTGCGGAAACTGCGGGCTCTCCGCCCGCTGAGTGCGGGATAGGCAGCACGCAACGCGGCCGCGCGGCTTGACTTGCGCATGGCGGCCTTTGTTGGACTCCAAAAGCCCCATATGCACGGTTCAGAACCAACTGATTGCTAAATACCTCTTTCATTTACAATTCTGCTCTCATTCGGTGACAAAGTGACCTAAGGAATTCGGTGGTTGTGTCATACATCATCATTGCGGCGGGGGTTGAATCTTAAGCTTGTGCAAAAACAGCGAGGTGTGTCCAGTGTACAGTGTGTACACTAAAACTAGTGTAGTTCTCGCCGTGTGGTGCTGAAAACAGACTATGTTACTTGATCGCTCCGTGAGCAGTGAGAAACAACGTCTAAAAAACAACGTGATCTTTGATTATTTTCTGTAGTGCTGGCGGTTTTCCAAACCGCTCTAACGGCTAGTATTACTTCTTCGTTCTGCTCCTCGCGCGGAGCCAAAGGGAGGTGAGGGAGACGCGAGTGCCGACAAAACTCATTACAGTCGCAATTTCAAAACCAAAACAGATTTTAGGGGCCTGTGTCCCGCCAACGGAAAAATGACCGGGTAATGGAGTAACGTGAATTTTGTGTCCAAATACACGATACTCATTCTGCGTTGCCCAACGTCCATTTCCGTTGACGCCTAGACCCTTAAAAGGGGTGCGTTGTCAATATACGGAGGGGGTGCCAGGATGAGAGGGGGGGGGGCTGTTGCCTAAAACAAACAAAACCAAAAAACTTGGGCCAGACGGTACCACGCCGGATGATGGTGGCCCGGATGGCGGTGGAGTGGCCGCGCAGCTTGCGTTTCCACCGCCGACTGATAATGCCCAACAGGGACAGCGACGACGAGGACGACGAGGTGGAGCCGGCTGTGCGGTTCACAACACAAACACGTCCATGACACGTCCATGACAAGCGGCAAAACGGGCGCAAAAAACAGCCAGAAAAACCATGCGCGGGGCATGTAGGGGCCCGAAAACAGATTACGCTTTCGGATTGAAAATTAAAACAAAATAATCATCATTTTTAAAAAGGGTCAGCGCTCTCTTTTCTCAGCGGCACAATTAACGCAAGGCTACGCTACGCTACCCGTACCGTCCGGCGGGCTGTCCATGGCCATCATGAGCAGGCTGCAGTTCTCCCGGTAGCCCGAAGTGCTGGAGGTGACGGACATGGCGCTGTCCTCGTCGTACGACAGGTCGCTGGGGCCGCACGAACCCCGCGGGCCGAGCCGCCCCAGCATGGGCACGCTGGTGCCGCCCGAGCCCGACGAGGACGTGTGGCCGTGGCTGCCGTGGCTGCCGTGCCCGGGCGCCAGGGTGGGCTGCAGAGGCGGCGGCAGCGTGCAGCTGAAGCTGCTGTCCTCGTCGCTGCGCGGCTCGGACAGGCTGGGCGGCGTGGCTGCGGGGGCACCGTCAACGAGTCAGTACACGATCGCTGGATGGCTGCCTGCAAGGCTTGGTGCCGCTACTCACTGTAAGGCCGGGCGAGCGGCGCGCCGTGCTGCCCCGACGGCAGGGTGGGCAGCACCGGCGGGCACGATGAGAGGGGTGGCGCCGAGGCGGGCGGGGGCGACGCGGCGGGCGACAGGCCGCTCGGCGGCGACGCCAGGGACAGGCTGGCCAGGGCGATGCGGGGGCTGCGCTGCTCGCCGATGCTGCCCAGCCGCGTCATCCGGGGCTGCGGCGCCGCCATGCGGTCCGCCCCGGCGCCCCCGGGCTGCGGGGGCGGCGGCAGGTGCGACAGCGCCAGCGTGGAGTGGTGGCGCGCGCGCCCCAGCCCGCCCAGGCCCGTCTCCGACTCCAGGGTCAGCTCGGCCATCTCGGTGGGGCGGCGCGTCGTGGAGCGCGCCGACATGACCCTCGTCAGCTTGAGCAGCTCCGACTCGGAGCCCAGCTCCTTCCGCGGCAGCGAGAGCGCCGAGTCCGCCGACAGCTGCTTCTGGGGGTCTCCCTTGGCCTGGCACAACGCTACACTCAGACAAGCCGAGCAACACACGCCGTCGGCGCTGCACAGTGGGCCAGAAGACCGGTAGAGGTGGCCAAAATTCTAGACGCGTTTTGAGCTCCAGAGTCGAACCGAACGAGTGACCCCACCAATGGATTGCTCTCCGAACGAGGAATCCATAGGTAGGGTCACACGTTTGGTTCGTGTCTTGTTGAGCCACTCTGGAGCTCAAAACGCGGGTATGTAGAGGTTTGGCCGCCTCCACCGGTCTTCTGGCCCACTGTGCGGCGTCCCCGCCGGCGTACTCACGTCTGGCCGGTTCTTGCGGCTCTTGCGCAGCCGGAACGTCTTCCTGCTCTGCGCCTTGGACCGCTGCAGCCGCGGCCGGTTGGCCATCTCGCTCGAGTCGTCGTCGCCGGGGCTGGTGGGGCTGAGCGGCTCGCCTGCAAGCCCACACACAACACCATGAGCCGCGGCGCCGCGGACGGAAACACGAGCGTTTCGTTCGTTGTGGTTACCCGGCGCGGCACTCTTGGTCGGCGTCTCCTCCTTGGTGTGGTGGGCCTGCACTGCCTGCACGTGCGGCTGGGCGTGGGCCGGACCCTTGTTGCTGCTGGCCACGCTGCAGATCGACTCTACGGAACCAACATGCACGTTAAACACACACAGGAATGGCGGCGGGGCGGCGCGAAGCCTCGCCCCGACCACGCATTGCTGGCGGTGAGACATGGCACGGGTGGGGCGGTGAGTGAGAGAGAGAGAGACAGAGAGAGAGGTGCGTACCGCGGTGCACGTTGCGCTGGTGGTCGAACTGGTGGGAGGCGCCGGTGAGCAGGTCAATGATGGAGGGCCGGTGGTGCCTAACGTGCGTCGTCTCCATTGCAATGTGCCGGTCCATGACTTGCTCGTCTGCAAAGTGCCAAAGTGCACAGGCGAGGGTCAAGCAAAGTTACTTTCTCGGTGCGACAGTGATTAGAAGGGCGGCTCGTATCAGCACGGCTGGTGTTCGGTTTCCGACACGCGCTCCGGTCTCAGAGGTGATGCAGTTTCCACTGGTACGTGCTGGGGATGATCAGAACCACAGCGCTGGCCAGTGCGGCCCACTACAGGACGTGGTCTGGACGTGGTGCGCATGCGCCGAGGGCTACGAAGTACGAAGGCTCGTTTCGTCTTTTGAGAACGCAGAGCGATACGTGACACGACAAGCAAAGCTTTGGGGTGTACAGTGTACTGACCGTAGCGCCTGTCCTCCAGCTCCTCCTTGAGCTCCTTGATCTCGTGGGCCAGCTCCATGAGCAGCGTGCTGCGCGACTTGGGCAGCGGCAGGCTGAAGCCGCGGAGCTTCTCCCGGATCACGAACATGGAGTGCCTCTCGGCGTCGGAGCTCGGCGGCTGCGACAACTGCAACAGGGTTGGATGAGCCGTCCAGTAGCCTGCCTCCGCCTGCCTCCGCCCTCCACTGGATTCCTCGCTCACCTTCTGGCCGATGAACGGCAGCAACAGCACGAACAGCGGCGTGCGCTGCGTCACCACGAAGTCCAGGAAGTTCCAGAACACGCTGCCGGCCTCCTTGTGGCGCACCTGGTCGCGGAGCACCCTCGCCATGCGCGGCCAGTCCGGCGACAGCTCGCGCTCGAAGCACACCATCAGGATCTTGAGGGCTGCGGGGTCCAACACGTTACAGTGAGCATTCCCGTGAGGTAACACCGCGGGCGGCCTGGCCAACCACTCACCGAGAAACGACACCTGGTAGAGGCTCTTGGGGACCTTGGCGGCGGCCTGCTTCTTGGAGTCCGTGTGGCTGCCGCCCGTCAGGCTGCCCGTGCGCATCTCGGACACGGTCTTGAGCGTCTGCGCAGTCACGGGGGCCGTCTTGCTGGCGGGCGGGCTCATGGCGTTGAGGACCACGGTCAGGATGAAGCTGATGTCGCCCTGCCGCAGCGGCGCCACGTCTGGTGACAGAGAGAGAGTCAGCGTGGCCGTGCGCGGCGCGGACGCGGACGGGGCGCCCAGATCGGACTGTGACTCACCCTTCCTGCCGCTGCCGACGCGGATGCACAGCGGAATCAGCACGTTCATCAGCATCACCTCGGTCTTGTCCGGCGTGGCGAAGGTGGAGTTGCCGCTGCACACGTTGTTCTCCAGCGACGCCGTCTCCTGCGGCAACAGCGAGCCTCGTTTAGCGCCTGCGCGGTAGGCAGCCGCCGGCAGCCAGCGCAGCCGTGCGTGCGCGGTGCCTACCCGCCAGGCGCTCCCCGCCACACTGCCGCACTGCCGTACTCACCCCGATGACGACGATCTGCAGCGCGATGAGGCGCACCACCATGGAGCAGAACTGCGGCGGCGGCACCTTGTTGAGCAGCGCCGTGGTGGACTGCGAGAACGTCTCCAGCATGCCCAGCGGCTGGGGCTCGCCGACGATCAGGCTCTGTGGGGAGGAGGGCGAATTGGCAACCCGGACAGTCTCGAGTGGAACAGCGCAAGGTCGACCGCGGCTTACCTGGCAGGTGTTGATGAGCGCCTTGAGGTTGGCCATGTGCACGATGAACTTGTAGCGGAACATGGCTTCGTACACGCCGCGCAGCAGGCCGGCCGCCGCCTCCCAGTCCGTGAGACGCTGTGGGCACACGCTTTCGCTTGAACCACTCCTAGCACACCTCCCCTCCCTCCCAAAGTGTTCCACTTACCCGTATGGAGGCCTTCTTGTGGATCTTGGAGAACGTCTTGTCCAGGCGCCGCACCAGCTGGATGAGCGCGGGCCGCATGGCCTCGTTGGCCCAGTCCGCGTAGGGCAGCACCTCCGTCATGTAGCGCTGCAACCCTTTGCAGCACATGGTGTCCGGGTCGTAGGGGGACACCTTGAGCAGGCTGTGCGCCACCTCGGACAGCCGCTGCGGCAACAACAACAACAGTGAGACACGTTTCTCGCGGGCAGGGCAAACCGCGCGCAGTGACAAAAAGCATAGCAAGGAGGAGGCACTCACGACGTGCGCGCGGATGTCGAGCAGCTCGACGGTCTTGCCGTCGCCGCCGGGCTTCTTGTTGATCTCGGCGAGGCGCGCGGTGCACTTGGTGAGGAACTCGGCCACCATGTAGAGCAGGATGTCGCGCGGCCGGCGGTACTCGTTGCGCAGCACCTCGGAGTCCTCCATGTCCCGGTCGTAGTTCATCTTGCTCTTGTTGTGGTCGCTGATGTACTTGGAGTGCGAGTCGTCCTCGTACTCCCCCGCCGGCGAGTACGGGCCGCGGCTGTAGTTCCGCTGGCTGGAGCCCTTGTGCTCGGGGCTCGACTTCTGCGGCCCCGTGTAGTGCCTGCGGCCGGAGGCAGACAGTTCAAGCGCCATTGTTTCGGCACCCCGCTGCCACCACACTGTACAGCACTCTACTCACTTGGCGAGAGCCTCGCAGTTGTTGACCATGGTCTTGATGGCCACGGCGAGCTGGTTGATGATCTCCTTCTCGGTCTTACCGTCCTTGTTGTACGTGGGCAGCTGGATCTGCTGCAGGTAGCACGGCAGGATGGCGTTCAAGATGATCTGCAACGTGACGCAGGGTTGGCAAGGGCAGTCCAGGGTTCAAACCCCGCCACTTTTCAAGTTTCTAGTTTCGCTCCTCACCAGCATCTGGCGTCCCCGCAGCGAGTCGGCGGCGTAGGCCACCACCATGACGCACAGCGAGATGCAGTCCAGCACGTTCACCATCTCGTCCTCGTCGTGGTAGCAGAAGTCGATGGGCTTCAGGGGCTTCTCCTCGTGCACCAGCTCGGCGATGTTGAGGGGGTCGGGCGACGGCGTCTCCAGACTCAGCAGCAGGTTGAACAGGTCGCTCGCTCGCACCTGCCGAGAGCAACAGTCGTCATCTACCGCCGACCGGAAAGCGGAATGCAGGGCATTGCACGGGTGCGGGTCAAGGGCCTTACCTTGTGCGCGTCGCCGTACTGGCCGCACTCGTCCGTGTCCAGGATGGCGGACACGCTGCCGAACATCTGCAGGATGAAGGGCTTGCGGTTCATCAGGTAGAACTGCTTGACGGTGTACTCGACGGTGCGCGTGACCAGCGTGTTGGTCTGGTGGCTCGAGTAGAGCTGCAGCAGCGTGGGGATCACCATGAGGTACCCGTTGGAACAGAAGATGTTGCGGAAGTTGTAGGCGGCGTTGATGTACGTGGCCATGACGTAGCGCAGGATGCACGCGTCCTCCGAGTGCAGGATCACGGCCCCGTTGAGCACGTTGAGCAGCAGGTGGATGTCGCCGGAGTACGCGAAGTTGCCCGCCATGGCCTCGAACATGCGCGCGATCAGCCGCACCCACATGAACTTGTGCAGCACGTCGAGCCCCAGCAGCTCCTGCGGACAAAGAGGGAAGGGGTGTTCCAGAAGGCAGTCTCCTTGGCGTGGGGCGCGAGGGTCGCCGAGGTCTCAGCCTCACTCACCTTGCCGATCTCGCCGCCCTTGTAGAGGTCCAGGTCGGCCTCCAGGGCCTTCCTGGGGAAGGACGGCAGCTTCATGAGCTCCTCGTGCAGGAAGACGACGCGCTGCACCACCATGTCCACGTTCTTGAGGATGGCCCACGTGAGCAGCACCTTGCCGATCTCCACGAACTTGTGCATCAGCTCCTGCTGCTGCAGCGCCGAGAAGGCCTCGTCGGGCTTCATGTGCACCAGCTCCAGCTGCGGGTACTGCGACCGCTTGAAGAAGTAGAAGTCCCTCACGTACGAGGACGGGTTGTGGATCTGATCTGGAGGGCGTGGGAAAGGAAAGCAGCATTAGGTTCTGGTGCAACTACTACTTTCTTTCTCTCGCCGTCCTTTCACTTACGAGTCTTGTGGTCTACGAGAAAGAATTCCTTGTGCCTGTTCTCTTCGATGCCGAAGAAGTCCAGAGACTCTCTTAGGATCTGGCAGAACTGGGTGTCCTCCTGCACGGGGAACTGCGACGGAATACCGCCAGAGTCCGGATCTGAAAAAGAGAGCCCACTCGGTGTTGCGTTTCTCACCCTTTTCAGCGACCGCCACGGCCGAGGCGGCCCAGCTGCTCACCTTGCGGGCCGTGCACGACGATCTTCTTGGCGGAGGGCACGTTGGCGGTGAGCAGGATGGACGCGTCGCACTGCTCCTTGCGCAGGATCTGCTTGAGGTCCTTGAACATGATGCCGTGCACGCTGTGCACCACCATCCAGAGGATTGACAGCGCCGTGCCGATGAGGCGCTGCCCGTCCTCCTGGGGCGAGCGCACGTAGAACATGACGTAGCCGATGATGTAGTTGTAGAGCGCGAAGGCGGCCTGCTGCGGCAGCTTGGGGATGAAGCGGATCAGGTGGCGCAGCAGCTTGAACATCTCGTCCTGGCGGTCGCGGGTCAGCCGCTCCAGGACGTAGCGCAGGAACAGGGCGCTGTCCTCCACCAGGCAGTTCCAGATGGTCTGCGGGAGGCGGGTGTCGCGTTAGGGAAAACAGGCCAGAGGGGGCTGTAAGGCACCGAGCGGCACGTACCTGGTAGGCGATCTCGTACACGGCGTTGCCGTCCGGGCGACCGCGGCGTCGTCCAGCAGGCTGATGATCTGCACCACGGCGGAGCAGAGGCAGGACGGGAACAGCGAGTGCGCCGAGTGGATGAGGTGGCTCGTGTTGCGCGCCTGCAGCTGGTCCGGCTCGTCGTCTGCGACAAGAAGAGCAACGTGGAGCGGGCCGCCTCGCGTCCTGCAGAGGGGCAACTAGAACGCTGCGCCACGCTACCTGCGTCCTCGTGGTCCTCGACGGCGTGGTACAGGCTGGGCTCGTACGCCGCCTGCACCGTCACGGGGATGGTGGTGATGAGGAAGTTCTCGCGCTCCTCGCGCCGCTTGTTCTCCTGGGCCTGCAGCGCCAGCTTCACCAGCTCCGTCTGCTGCTTCTTGCGGGTCTTGGTCCCGGACACCAGCACGCGCTGCAACAAGGACGCGGTCAGGGCGACCCGGCGCGCCGGACAAGGGTGGCTCCCCCCACTCGTCACAAAACTATTTCAACGTAGTGCCAACTACAGACAAAAATAATCCAGCAGGGGGTACCACTGATTTTTTTGGCTTCAAAAAACAAATTTTGCGAATGGAGAAAAATATTGGCGAGAAGTGAGTCATGATTAGTGGTTGACGTGATGGTGTGTATTTGTTGCAAAGAAAGCGCGGGTGGAGGTTTGTCCCTACAGACGCAGTGGCCCTGTCCGACAAGGTCCCGCCCTCACACCGTGCTAACGTACTAGCATAGCAGAAACACAGGGAAAAGAAAAATGCAGTCAGACAACACAGAGCTACGTGGAAGAGGGTGGAGGGTCGCGGCGGCGGCGCGGTCCGCCGGCAGTGGAAAGATTAGAAGAGGACCGCACAGCGCGGTCGCTATGAAGAGGAGGGGCAACACACAGACAGTTCCGACAGACCTAAATCACAAAAACAAAACAAAAACAAAGAGCGGTAGTCACGAAAAAAACAAACAAATCCGACGATATCCACAAGGACATCGACTACAGAAGAATCCCATAATCTCCGAGGTAGCCCCGATGTTCGAGAGCTGAGCGACGGAGCGCGCGCCTGTGGGGCGGGGAGGAAGGGTGGTCCAGGACCACAGCCCCATAGCCCCGCGGCTCGCGGCGCGACTAGGCCGGCAAGACCAGCCAGGCCAGCCAGACCAGCCAGGACAGCTTGGCCAGCCAGGACAGCCACGAGAAGAAAACAACAAAATGAAAAAGCACCCGCTCGGCAATGAGTCATGAGTCATGTTCGAGGAGCTCTCACAAAAACGAAAACAAAAAGTGGTACTCTTTGGCTAACACGGCATGCGCGCAACACGGCTACGGCGACCTGTGTCGTCTTGGCACGTTTACATTATGGAAGGCGTTGGCAAGGCGTGTCGTGACGCAAGGCGCAGAGTGATGTTGCCCTACAGGGTCCGCACGGCCACCGTGCCTGCTCTACGCCCCGGAGGAGGTCACGTCCCTGGACGACGTACGCCGTACGACGTGCAGGTGCTACCCGTGGCCTGCCCGGGGCGGCCCGCGGCCGGGCTGCCAGTCGACGGGACACTACGGGTGGTGCGGACCCAAAGCGTCGTGTCACCCCGTAGCCGCCACCCTGGGGAGCCTTCGTTAGCCAGCCGTTGGGGTGCTGGGGTGCAAAGTGCTTGTGGGTCGGGTACGCCCGTTCAAAGACTCCTTTAAAAATCGGCTGGAAATTTAGCGAAAAAGTTTAAGAAAAAATTATTTTATTTTTCATTTATTTAATCAGACGAGTGGTTCGTCTCGGTTTTTTAAGATGTCTTTGAGCGCGGTTTGGGCGCCGAACGGCGCCGAAGCAGGGTGTGAGTCGCGGTGCGGAGAGCAAGGGCGACCGTCGGACATGGGGTGAGGCCGGCCAGAGGCCCGCCGTGGCAGAGGCCCGGCCCTGCCAGAGGCCCGGCCGGTGGAGGCTACGGGGAAGATGGAGGAGGTTGAAATGATAGACAACCAAATAGCAACGAAGTAAACACACAATATTTAAGAAACGAGAGCACATAAAACACCAAGGAGGGAAAGCATAACTGAAGGGGCCCGATCCGGGTCCTTACCTCCCGGGCTCCGGAGAAGCCCCGGAGCCGGGTCGCCATGGGTAGACTCATGCCTCCCAGTCCGAGGCCGTGGCCGTGGCGAGAGGACCCTGGGCCGCCATCGGAGGCCCGGACCTGGACGCCGAGACACCGCTCGCCCAGACGGCGGCGGACCTGCTGGACACCCTAGAGTACCAAGCCCTCGTCAGCTACGAACATTCGCCCGCGCCAACCTCGCGCCTTCGTTCTCGTGAACCACAAAGTTCACGGCACTCTTGAAGTGAAGGCTCCTGTATTTACACCAACTATTGTGCAGTCCCAGTCAGTGTGCTTACAAACGTCTTGGCCGCCCGTCCTAGCCCCCCGCCCTGGCCAAACGATCTTGGCTGGACTCTTGAAGTGTACCTCCGTCTGTAAAGGATCCAGCTGTCGGGTAGTGAACGAACAGTTCTACTTATAGTGTTCGTGACATTTCGGAATGCCGTCACACCGCATTTTCTCGAAATGCAAGAGGGTAATCTCAAGACACTTTGAGTATTGGTGGTGTAATTTAAGTGCCTAAGGAAACGGGTCAACCCGATCGCTAGTTGTGAGACGATGAAAAATAGGAATGCGAGTGGGGCTGCGAGGAGTCACTCACGTGGCTCTCCTGGCTGATGGTGACCTCCTCCACCTTGGAGGTGACTTGCGGCGCCCAGGGCGGGTCCACCACGGGCAGCGACTCGATGCCGATCTTGGGGGAGGGCAGGGTGAACTCGATGCCGGGCGGCGGCACCTTGAACGTCACCTGCGCGCCCTCCTCCATGCGCGGCCACACCTGGTAGCGCAGCTTCCACAGCACCTGGAACCTGGGGGGCGTGGCGGTGAGCGACGCGTCCTTGCGAAAAGTGCACTCGCTGCGACAGCAGGCCGGCACCTACCTGAGGATGGACTTGATGCGCACGGCGGGGTCCTGGTGGTGGAGGCCGTGCCGCATGATCTCGGACGCCGGGCCGGGCGCCTTGACGGCCGCCAGGATGAAGAGGGACGAGGCCGTGGCGGCCACCTCCTGGTTGTGCTCAAGCAGAAGCTCCCAGGACACGGGCAGGATCTCGATGAACTGGTCCTCCGTCATGACGACGGCGCCCTTGACGAGCGTGGCTAGCGGCGCGTGGAACACGTCCCGCACCTGGTTCTTGAGGTACTTGAGTATCGGTGGCACGTCCTTGGTCTTCTCCTCGCCGGCGTTGGCCTTGGGCGTCGCGGCCGCGCCGTCCAGGTCCAGGTCGGCGAGGTCGCGGTTCGAGTCCCGCGTGGAGCGGCCCGCCTGCGAGCCGTCCGCGTCGCGGATCCTGGAACGGGGGACCTGGGTTCGAATCTCGGCCGGCGTGGCACTGCACTGCGAGGGGGAGGGGCGCTTACTTGTCGCGCTTGTTGTCGCTCTCCTTCCTCCGGATGGGCGAGGCCGTGGCGCTGGCCTGGTCGGACACCTTGCGGCCGCGGCCTCGGCCCTCCTTCTTGCCGTCCGCCTGCTTGTCGGCCTCGGACTCGGGCGTGGACATGAGGCCGAACTCCTCGCCGTACACCTGCAAGGCCAAAGGGACAAAGCGCCGTCAGGTCTGGAAGCATGCTGGAAGCCCCTGCGAGGTAGGCCAGCTCGCCGCGCTGCCGGCACGCGTGCGTTGCGGGACTGCCTACGCCTGGATGTGCGGCGCTCGCGGGCCAAGGTACTCACCTTCCTGACGGACTTGACGAGGCGCGAGCAGGCTCGCATGTGGCGCCGGTAGCAGAACGGGTGGCAGAAGGACTGGTGCGAGCAGAAGAAGTTGAACGAGTTGGACATCTGCACGACCACCTTGAGCCAGGGCAGGTGCGAGTGCGTGTCGTCCGTGTCGTTGCTGTCGCTGGGGCTCTCGGGCGGCTGGTCGTCGCTCAGGATGCCGGGCGACTCCTCGCCGCTCACCTCGCCGCCGCCGCCCTGCTCCGACGTGTCGCTGCGGTCCGACAGCGAGCTCACCTTGCGGCGGGACTGGATGGAGTCGGCGCGCCTCACCGAGCTGCCCACTGCGAAAACACCCACTGCACAGTCTGGCACAGTGCACTCGTCTAGCAGGCACCGGCGCCCGTACTTACTGTCGTACTCCAGGATCTCCTTGGCCTCCTTGGTGTGCCTGCGGAGCTTGAGGCTGCGCCGCTTGAAGGACCCCGACGTGGCGTTGGCCGTGGTGCCCCTCCGCAGCAGGTGGGGGCGGCTGGGCCCCGACGACCCGCCGGTCCCCGCGCCGCCCCCGCCCCCCTGGCCGCCCTGGCTCTGGCCCTGGCCCTGGCCGGGCGCGCCGCCCTGCGCGTGGCTGCCGAGACGCCGCTTCTTCTCCTCGACGCCGTCCTCGCCGTGCACCGTCACCGTGGACTTGCTGCTGCCCTCCGAGCCGTTGTCCGGCTCGTGCAGCACGAAGCTGATCTTGCGCTCCGGCTGGCCTGTGGACACGAGGAGGGCGCCGCGCGGTCACTCGGTGGTTCAAACTCGAAATCACTTCGGCCAACGCCAGAGAGCAATGCCTACGTGCGCGTGCAGTATTGAATACAGATATTGAACAGAAACGTGAATAGACATAAAGGGTAAGTGAAGTGGACACGACTTTTAAATGTCGTGTCAGTCGGATGAGGGGATAAAGATAAAGTAATGTACTCTGAACATTTAAAAAAAGCCTCGAAGAAGCACATTTTGAAATGGCTGTCTTGGCAATGACGAAGCCAACTGATCCACCTCAATATTTAACGTGTTTACCGCTACTCTACACTGTTATCCCCGTCTCCTCCCCCGGTTGCATTGCAGCTTCCCTAGACACACGCATGCAAAACACTACTGTACCAAAAACGAAAAAAAAAGAAGGGTACCCCGGTCTGTTCCGTCCGCTGCGTCCGCGTGCGCTCCGTGCGGCCCGTGCGCGTGCCCGTGCGCGTGCCCGTGCTGGCCGTGCTGGCCGTGCTGGCCGTGAGGGTGCGGCTGGCCGGCGGACTGGCCGGCGGACTCACCGGCTGCCTGGTCGCACGTGCCGGCTATGGACTGCAGGCTCTGGGCCGAGGCCTGCGAGTGGCCCATGCTGGACAGCGCCATGCTCCAGCGCCGGTTGGCGTTGGACTGGCCCACGCCGGCCACGCCGCCCAGCCCGGTGTACACGCGCTCCCACGGCGGCGGCCGCTCGCCGCGCTGCGACGCCCTCGACGCCTTGGGCAGCGTCTGGAACGTCTCCCTCATGAAGGCCGTGATCTCCAGCAGCAGCATGCACGCCACCAGGCGCAGCGCCATGGGGCTCTCCAGCCCGTACAGGTTGACGCTCGCTGCGGAGAAGGCAGAGAAGGGCGTCGTCAAGTACCCGGCCAGTCGGTGACGCTTGCCAAGACTCGGCGCCCGCAGCCTTACCCTCGTCCAGGAAGTCCTCCTCCTCGTCCTGCATGAGGATCTCCTTGTGGCGGGACTCCTCCAGCACCATGCCCACCACGGCGGGGTAGTGCTTCTTGTCGTTCAGCATGAGCTCCTCCAGGCGTCCTCCCACGGCCTGCACAGAAGCATTCGTTGGGAACCCCTGCCTTGCGACCCAGTCCAGTCGTACTGCATGCAGTGCACTCACCTCCGCCCACTGGCTGAACATCTTGCCGGCGGCGCGCTGCAGCAGGTGCGTCCTCCGCAGCCCCGTGGGCAGCCCACCCGCCAGCCCGGGGCCGCCGCCCTTGCCGTCGCGCGGCAGCGGCCCGGACGGCCGGAACATGGACAGGTTGTGCTTCATCCAGGCGGGCCACTGGCCCTTGTTGCAGCAGTGCACGAAGTAGCAGCACTCCAGCAGCATGGAGGCGCGCGCCACGACGGGCGCGTGCGGCTGCGGCAAGGAGAGGAAGCGCTCAAGTAACAGCCACGACCGGGAGTGAAGTGCCGGCCGCTGGGGTTGGCGCTTACCAGGTCCAGGATGGCGGCCAGCAGGTGGCTGTCCGGCACCGAGCCCGGCTGGCACGTCTCCAGCATGAAGGACAGCCTGGCCATGCCCATGCGCACCGGCTCGATGGCCACCAGCCTGCGCTCCTTGAAGACGACGAACTCGGACTCCCGACTGTGGTCGCCGAGGTCCACGGAGCTGCGCCGACTCATGTCTGCAAGCAGCACGCACCGTCAGTTGGCATGCTTCCCGACGACCGCCGTCTACTAATGGAGGCCTACTCACAGGAGCCCTGCGTGTCCTCCAGGCTGCCGTCCTTCTTCTTGCCCTTGCCGAAGCCCAGCTTGGTGAACTGGTCCTCGACGCGCTTCCGCGCCTTGAGCAGCACGTTGGTGGCGCGGGGCGGCGGCGGCGCCGCGATGCCGCGACTCAGCGACCGGTGCAGCGACGCCTGCCTCGCCAGCGCACCGAGGCCCTCGCTCTCGCTGCCCGTCACCTCCACGCTCTCCATGGAGTCAGAGCGGCCGTACTCGCGCCGGAACCAGCTCACCAGCCCGCCGATCTTGAAGCGCTCCTTCTCCTGCTTCATGTCCCTGGCCAGCGTGCCGCCCGGCGCCATGCCGAAGCCGCCCATGGCGCACAGCCCCTCCGCGATGCCGCCGATGTTCCTCTCGCTGTGGCGCGGCGTCAGCGTGTGGGGCTTGCGCCGCAGCGGGCCCAGGGGGCTCTGGCTGGCCTTGGCGGGGCCCTCCTCGGACACGTCCGTCTCCAGCAGGCTCTGGCGGGGCAGAGACGGCGACGGTTCAATAAGCGTTTGCCGCATTCGCGCTTCGGCAGTGCTGCCACTGCGGCTGTACGGCTGTACTCACGGCGCAGGTGGACGACGTGCTCCTCTTCTTGAGCAGCATCTTCTTAGACCCCTCGATGACGTAGCACGACCCGGGGCCGAGGTCGGGCTGCTCCAGCTCGGACTGGTTGATGTGCCTGTGGCGAACAAGACCGTTAGCAAAGTACTCATGCCACGCGGCAGGCGGGAAGGCACACCGGAAGGGCGACTGACTTGATGACGCGGGTGGTCTGCGCGGCGGGCTCCCTACGGTTGGGCCGGCTGGCGCAGTCCAGGAGTCCGCTGAGCGCCACGCGTCGGAAGACACCGCCGTGGGCCTCCTTGACGTAGGCCATGAGTCGGCGCACGTCGCAGAACAGCGCCTGCAACAAGGACCACGTTGACGGCCAGGGTCGGCACGGCAGCGAAGGCCGGCAGCGCACGGCGGCGACCCCACTCACGATGTTCTCGGTGGACTTGAGCTCCTTGGCGGACTTGACGAGGCGGGTGACGAGCGCCTTGAACACGGCCGAGACGATGTGGCCCTCCACGCCGCGGCCGCCGCCGCTCAGCCCCGCGCCGAAGTTGGTGGCGTAGCCGCCCTGCGAGGACACGTCCGGGGACTTGCTGCAGCTGCGCTTTTGGTCGGCTGCACAAGAGAGAGCGATTAGCGCGGCACTCGGGCGAGGAGCAGGGCGGGGAGGACGATGGTGGTGCTCAGTGCGCAGAGGGTTCCAACTCGACGCCTGCGGTCTAACCCACCCCAGCAGCTTAGCAGCTAGCGAGTAGCAGTTAATTCAAAGCCTTAGCCAAAGTCAGCTCAACGTTAATTTCAAGAACGGCGATGAGCGGAAACGACTGGAAGCGTAACGTGAACGCGTGAACGCCCCTCGGTGCGTGCGGGGTGCGGGGTGGGGTGGGATGGGGCGCCGGGGCGGCTCTTGCCACGTACTGAGCGGGGACAGGAGCGTACTGGGGTCAACGCAGAATCCCACGTAGGCGTGGAACAGGTCCATCACGTCCTGCAGGGGCTGCAGGCGCACCATCTGCCTGAGGAAGGCGCCGAACTGCCTGGGCGAGGACCGCTGCAGCCGCGCCATGAGGCTCTGGCCCTGCGAGCGCAGGAAGTCGGCCGGCGGCCCGCGCTGGCCCTCTTCGCAGCCGTAGGGGCAGCCCAGGTGCCGCAGCACCCTGAGAAAAGAGTAAGGGTTGCGGTCAAAACGAAACAACGACTCTGGTCTCAACATGAAACTGGTTAGGTCCGCACCTCAGCACGGTGTTGAGCATGAGGCAGTGGGCCGAGTTGAAGCGCTCCGCGCCCCGCTTGTCGCTGCCCTTGCCCGCGGTATCCGGGTCGCTGTTCTGGCTGTCCTGGTCCGGGGCGGGCCCCGGGGCGGTGACCGTCGCCGCCCCGCTCGTCGAGGCCACCGGCGCGGCCGCAGTCCCACCCGGCGGCCCCGCGGACGGCCCCGCCGCCGTGGCAGGACCGTCCTTGGTGGGGGACGTCTCCGTCGGCGGGGGCGGCTTGAGCACGCCGAGGTCCACGAGCAGCTCCAGCAGGTTGAGGATGACCTCGCACACGCGCAGCGTGCAGCACGGCGCCTCCCGCATGGACGCGGCGTGCACGGCCTGCGCCACGAGGACAAGGGCGTCAGAGGGAGGTTCGCTGGGGTTCTCGTCATCCGTCCCGAAGCGGCGCACAGCCCATACCTTGAGCACCACCTGGTAGTCCATGTCGCCCTCCTTGGTGATGTAGCAGGTGGCCCCCTGGGCCTCCTGGTACTCCTCGCCCTGGTACGTGATGTTGGAGTCGGTGAGGCTGCGCGCCAGGCTGGGCTTGCGCTCCGCGCCGTGGCCCTGGCCCTGCAGGCTCAGCAGGTCGCCCTGCGAGCCCACCGAGCCCTGCCAGGACTGCTTGCGCAGGAAGTCCGGCGAGGGCGTGGGCGTGTGCTCCGTCACGGTGATGATGGGGTTGGGGATGGAGTGGGAGTGCGCGCCCGACACCTTCTTCTTGCCGCGCTCCGCCTGCAGCTCGCCCATGTACCTGGGGCCGCCAACACACTCTTGTTCATGTCGCGTCGCGAGGGACTCGTCTAACTAGCCGCGCGTTTTGGCACAGAGGGCGATCGATGCGAGAAACAGTTTACGGTGTTTACTAAATGCTAATTTATTATTTTACAGGTAGAAAGAGTAATAGCCTTCAGGATACAGTACACTACGAGTAGCAATCTCACTTACCCTCCACCATTCATTTCATCAAGCAAACAGCTGTGGCGAAATAAGGAAGAAAGAGAAAGAAGAAAGAAGGATGAGAATCACAGAAAAAGAGGAGAGGGGGAAGAACCGCAAGAAATTTGTACACACAAAACCGTACAGAACAAAGTCACTGGAAAGCGCAATCGCCGAAACACCCCAATAAGAACATAAAAATTTTTACCTTTTACTAGTGGCTTTACCAATTGCAAGGAAGAAAAAGAATAACATAATAATTTGTTTCATATATTGATTTTTTTACGACATTTTGTGTGTTTATGTTGTTGGCAAAGCAAACGATTCCAATATAAGAGTGACAACTAGTACACAACAAGGCGTGCGTAACGTGGCTTGGTGTGATTAAATATCTTAAAATAATATGTACGTGAGTTTTGAACCTTGGTTCCACTTTTGAAGAGTAAAGAAACTGCATCTACGTGTGCAAGAGTGATGAAGCTGCTCTGGGCTATGTTAAATAGGTTCAATTTGATACGGGCCAGACATGGGCCACCTCGTTATTAACTAATTTATGTAGGTTTTCAAAGAATTAAAACGAAATAAATTTGGAGGACCGTTCCGTCTCGCTTACCTGAGACTCGGCATGCTCTTGCCCTTGACGAGGTTGCTGGGCGGTGTCTGCATGGGGCTGGCTTGCGCCGACCCGGGCCGAGAGTCTTCTTCGCCGGCGTCCAGGCTGCTGTGGGAGTCCTTCGGCGCCAAGGAATGCTGGAACAAAATCAGCCAGCGTAAGAAACAACAAAATGTTCTTAGAAAAAGCAAAGCACAACCGTGTTTTTGCGACCTACATGATGGTCGTCAAGAGACTTGGGCGGCTCGTCGCGACCAATCTTCTCCAGGGTCTTCTCTGACTTGGACAGGAGCTTGGTCTCCACGAAGGCGCGCAGATCCGCCATCTTCATCTTCTTCTTCACCTTCTCGCTGGCTCTCCGGAAGTGGAAGAGGCCCGACCCTTCCTCGCCGCCGCTCGACTTCCTCCGGAAAAAAGGGGATTCTGGACACGAAAAAACAACAACAAACTTGATAAGTATGCTGACTAGAAGCAAAAAAACTCCCGGAACCGGGCTTCGTTCCTGTGAAGCTCACCCGTGGTGGAGGACGACGACTCCCCCAGGTAGGCCTTCTCCTTCTCCTTCTCGTCCGGCATGTGGATCGTCTCCTTGGACTCCGAGTCGCCCACCGAGTCCGTGCCGCGCTTCTTCTGCTCGGGGCTCTGGTACAGCGACACCTCGATCTTGGGGATGGGCAGCGAGTTGGAGCGCCGCCGGGGCTGCTGCTCGTGCGCGCGCTCCTCGGCCACGTCGCGCAGGCTGCGGGCAGCGAGGGTCGCCGGGTGGCAGAGAGTTATGTACCGCCGCCCCCACGGCATCAAGGGGAGTGCTTGCAACGCAACGTACCGGTGGTAGAGGAACTGCAGCGCCCAGAAGACGCCCTCCTCCTGCCACTGGGGGATGAAGAGGCAGCGCAGCACGGCGACGTCCAGGAAGGTGGCGGCCGACAAGTCCATGCGCGGCGGGTCGCCCGCCGTGGACGCCGACTGCTGGCTCACGCCTTCGGGGAGGAGGAGCAGAGAACAATAAACGACTTGCGCGCTACAACCTAAATATGCGGTGGGGGGATATTGTGACGGCAACGTACTTGGCGCGGTGGTGAGCTTCGGGGCGCTAGGGACCGGCTTGGGCGGCTTGTGGGGCTCCTCCTTGGCGTCGGGCTTGTCGCGCTCCATGGACCTGAGAAAAGGCAATGCGTTACAGGGGCTGGCGGATTAAGGACACTCGACGCGTTCGGCGGGAAGCTCGAGTTACCCGACGCGCTGGGAGTGCTTGCCGCGGTGCGAGCGAGTCTCCTTGACGATGGTGATCTGGTCCAGGAGGGGAGCGGACGGCTTCGTCGAGGACCTCGACACCCTGAAGATGCTGGCATCCGCGGCCTGGAGCACCATGCACGTGTTATAGCAACTTTCAAAAAAAAATATTTTCTATCTGGAGCCCAAATAAAAATACCTGGAATACTGAAGCGTTTTCTCGGATGTTGTCAGACTCGGGTAGCGATGGCAGTCGGAAGATGACCTGCGTGACCAAAGCAACAAAAAAAAATCAGCCACGATTCGGACTCTGAGAACGAGACCCACTCGCGGCGAGACGCATACGTACCACGTGCTCCTCCTCGGTGCTGGAGCTTTCCTCCGGGATGGTCTCGGGGAACGAGGTCTCCTTCGGCGACGACACCCACTGCACCTGGGGCGAGAAAGGATGGCGTTTTACGGTGGCGTGGCGGAAGGATGGGCTGTTTAGTACGAGCAAGGTGTGTGCTTCAGAGGTTGGGGGGCCAACCTTGACCTCTGCGCCGCGGGGGCGTTCGCTGGGGGCGTGCTGTGAGGGCTTACCGCGCGGGGCGTGCCGCGGGGGCGTTCCGCGAGGGGCGTGCCGCCCCGCCCCGCCGGCCTCCCACGCCAATTAGCGCCCGGCAAAAAGCAACAGCCCACAACTCAACAGGACACGACACGCTCCGGAACTTACCGCCAGTTCGTCTTCCGGTTTGGAGGCCGAGGTCGTCGCCGCGGAGGGCGCCGTGGCGGGCGTGCCGGCGGGCGCAGTGGGTGCGGTGGGCGCGGAGGGCACTGGGGGCGCGGTGGGGGTGACCGCCGCCGAGGAGGGGAGCGGCGAGGTGGCGGCCGACGGGGCGCTGGGGATGGTGTCGAAGAAGCCGACCCCGGACGCCGGGTACGGCGGGCTGGGCTCGGAAGGCTGGCCGAAGATGTCCACATCGCAGGACGATTTACCTGGGAAATCAACATCGTGAGCAGCAAGTCTAGGCCCTCGTCGTCATGCCGAAGTGCGTGTCCGCCGGGGCTTTGGCTTGGGCTTTGGCGTGACGCCCAGTGCGCCGCGCGCTGCTCTCGCGTGCCGCCAACAGTGACATCTCAATGACGCGTTCAGCGGAGACTCATCGATTCGACCCCACCCCAAAGGGCCCAAAGCCTGCTCCCCAGTTTGTTGAACCCGCCCGGAAGGCCACTCTGTTCCCGAGCTGGAGAGCACCCCGCCGCCCCTAATGCACCCCGTACTCACTGCCGAGGAAGACGTTGCCGGCCTGCGCGGCGTCGTGCGCGCTGCTGTGCAGGGCCTGGTCCCACAGCGGCCGCGCCTTGGGCTTGACGAGGGCCTTGAACACGGGGCTGTCGGGGTGGCGGTACTCCCACAGGCCCTGCCACAGGCTGATGCCGCTCTCCAGGCGGCCCGCGTGCAGGTCGGGCTCCTTGATCAGGTGGCACAGCGGCGCGAACAGGTAGATGAACAGCTGCGGGCAGGAAGGGCCGTCAAACACTGCCGCCACAAGAACAACGACAACAACGACAACAACAACAGCCAGGCAGTAGCCTACCGTGACGGTCGGAATGGAGAAGAGGTAGTAGTAGGGGCTGGCGTGGTAGATGCGCTGTTCCTTGTCCGCGTCGGCGCACTCCTCGTTGGCGCTCAGGATGATCCAGTGCAGGATGTACAGCAGCTTGGTCTCCGTGGCCCCCAGGGTCTGGAGGTTCGTGTCCTTCCTACGGGGGACGAATCGTTCTGGTTAAGCGGCGGCCGTCGACTCTGTCCGAGGCGATCCAGTGCACCATGCAGTACGTACCTGTTGTGGAGCAGCGTGGCCGTGCAGTGCATGACGTGCGGGAAGGCGAACTGCACGAAGCGCCATCGCGGGATGGACTTGATGGCCTTGGACACGTCCGGGGTCAGTCCGTTAAGCAGCCCCTGCACCAGCACCCTCTCCAGCACCTTGCAGGCCTCTTTCACTTCATGGTGGCCTGGTGCGTTCTGGCAGAACTGCAAGGAAAGAGAGACGAAAATCATCAGCCTGGTCACCTGACTGACGTCAACGTCAGTGCTGTGTGGCTTCGTGTCTCCGAGCTGAACTCAGGTTCAAGTACAGCTATCGTTTTTCTTTTCATGACAAATGGTATTATTCCACCGAGCGCTAGTGTCTCATTTCCCTTTGCGTTGACTCACCATGCACGCAGCCTCGTGAGCCCTGCCAAGCTTGGGTCGAATGAAGGGGCTGTAAATTGAAATTGGCCACAATCATGAAACGGAAGGGATGTTTAACTTTTCACCTGGACACTCTAGTTGCGTGCCGTCTGCTTACCCGATCTGGGTCCACATAAACGTCTGGATCGGAATGGGCAGCGTCTGGTCGTTGTAGCTGTCCTCCAAGGCCGGCGGGATATCCATGTTTTTGGCTGTCAAAACGCAAAGCAGCCGGTGGAAAAAGGCACGTTGATCCAGTCACAGTCACATACCCCGCCCTCTGACTCAGTGGGTTCCTTCCCAGGAAGTACAATAATGAATCTGCCAGGCAGGACAGACTTCAAAACAGTACGCAAGTACAGTCATTCCAAAAAGACCAAACTTACCCGTGTATTGACACGATTCTCCGGCCGTTCCAAAGTCGGATCGATCCTGTCGAACAACATGCTGATCGTTACACAACGCACACAGTCTGCATCAGCCGAGTGCAAGAGAAGCCTGACAGCGGAACCGAACGCGACACGCTCGCTCGGCACGGGGCCAGCGGGCCGGAGGGGCCGGAGGGCTGGCCGAACAACGTGAGCGGGGCCAGCAGGGCCAGCAGGGCGCCACGTTCACCAGCCATCGAGCACAGCTTCGGCCGAGGTGGGGCGGGCGGCGGGTGGAGGGGTCGGGCGCGCACCACCCCCTGGACCATGGACCATGGGCGCCCCTAACCTCTCCGGCCAGCTTCCCAGCGCCTCACCCCGCCGCGCCCCGCCGCGCCCCGCCTCGCCACTCACCTGCTCGTTCTTGATGGAGATAGTGCATAGTCTCGGTGAACGCTGCCGCAGCACGGCCGACACGACATGGGCCGCGGGGCCGCGCTTCTGACCGTGCTTGGAGGGGCCGTGCCTCGGGCCGGGGGCCGTTCGCGAGTCTTGAGTCCAGGAAGCGGTCCCGGGGTCGGCGTTGTCGGCGTTGGCGGGGTCGGCGGGGTCGGCCCCGGAGGCAGGGGTTGCCGGCACACTGTGGCGTGCCAGGGCAGGGCCACGGGCCACAGGGCCAGGCCGCGGGGGCCCAGGGCGGGGAGGCACGGAGTCAGCCTCGCGCGGGCGCTGTGGCTAGCGCTGGCCGAGCCGAACCACCGCTCCACGAGACTTCGCCCATCCGCGGGCGGAGCGCTGCGGGGCTGGGCTGGGGGCCGACTGGCTGGGAGGGCGGCTGGCGGCTGGGCGGGCGGCGCCCCCTCCGCCTGGACTCCACCCCGAGCGGGCCTGTGTACGCATGCCTGGAGGCACCCCCACCCCGCCCCACCCCGCCCCACCCCGCCGCGCTCCGCCGCGCCGCCACTCTGCCGCTGAGTAGTAGTCTGGCTGATGAGCTGCATCCCTAACACGCTAGTGCCCCTCCGGACCCCTCCGCGCCCTCCCCTCCTGCAGCGGTCCACCTTGAACCGATTTGACTCGCAAATGGCCCCACGCGGCGACAGGCGCGGCGACCCGCACCGCGACATGCTAAGCCAACTTCTCCTCTGCTTTCGCTTATTTTCCATTCTAATGTCCCTTTAAAATTCAGATTCACCCCTCAAACTAATTGTCGATGGCGGCGAGGCACGAGAGCCGCTCTTGGATGCAGCAGGGCTGGGCCAGGCTGGGCCAGGCGTTCAAGGGCCGTGAGGGCTGCACTGGCGCGGCGGCGGGGGAGGGGGAAGGGGGAAGGGCCTCTCTCCGGCTACATTGATCCAGACTCGCGCTCCCGGTCCCACCCCGTCCCGGCCTTCCCGGCGCCCGCCGCGTTCCCGCTGTCCCGCCCCGCCCTGCCCCACCCTGCCCCGCCACCGACCGCTCGCGGGGACTTTACTCGAAAGTGCTCGTGTCCTCGGCGCGTACTATGTGCCCCGCCAGTGCGGCGCTCGACCGGGTGCCCTGCCCTGTCACCATTGACGAGGCCCCGGGGGCGACGGCCTCCTGTGACCACGCCCGCGATACGGAAAGGCCGTCGCGGACACGGTGGCAGGCGTTGAGAGCGCAGGTGACACTGACACGGTGTCCTTGACGTGACCTTGCCGAGCCCTTCGCCGTGCTGCCCTTTATGGCGTCACCCCCAGTCGCCCCGCCTCCCCTCCACGCCGTCCCCGGCGCCCTTGAGGCCCTCGACGCCCTTTCGGGGGTCGTGCATAGCGGGAAATGGGGTCAGGACCGCCAGGATGCACGCCACACATCCGGGTCACTGGATCATCCTTCCGACAGCGCGTCGAGGCGCAGCGCGGCACCCCGCGACGACTCCGACCGCCACGGCAGCGCCTCGCCGCCTCACCCAGAGGCAGGGCGGGCAGGGCGGGCAGGGCGCCCCACCGACCCCGCCCCTCTGAATGGCGGGCTGCCGTGCTGGACCAGCTGACTTGAGCCGAGCCGATCGAACACAATCGGAGAGTCCTTTGCGCGCGGGGTAGCGACGCGCAGCCGCCTCACGCGCTGCGGGAATACTCCGCGCGAGGGAAGAAGGGCGTCGGCTGCGGCTCTCCTGCGCGCCAGCCGCGCCAGCACTGGGGTGTCGCCGCCAGCATTCGAGAAACGGAGAAGACTATTTTCTGTTTTGACGAGCAGAGCCCAAGGGATGCGACTGCAACGATAGGCAGACCGTTGAAGCGCCCACGCCCGTGAACAATGCAGACATGGCCCCATTTGACCGGTGAAATTCCCGCCCAATTCTACTTGCAACGTTTGCCGCGGCGGGGCGCCCCTGTCTCGGACGTGCCTCGTCAACAGAGGGCGCTGCTCGCTAGGGGCAAAGACAGGCGACGACAGGCAGTGAACGGAGCGAACGGAACGGGCGGCTGTCCGCCTCGAGGGTAATCAGCCTGGAACGTGCAGCCAGCGGCCTGCGAAACGTGCAAAGCTGTGCAAAGCATTGCAAAGCGGGACGAAAAGGCGGGAAAATCAAAAAGAAGGAAGTGGGAAACGGATGACGTCATGCGTGGCGCTCGTTACAAAACACGGACTCGCCCAATCCAAAAATAGTGGGGCTCGCGATGGAGACGGCATGACTCTCGGGCCGGGGTGGTGGAGGGGGTCACCCCTTCCCTGCCGCCGGCCTAACAATGCAGGAGTTGAATTGCCTATTATAATTTCGGTGGGGAATGGTGGAAACTTCAATGAGGACGGGTGTTGCCGGTGAACGGTGCCAACAGAGAAAGTGTGGGTGGGGTGGGGGTGAGGGCGTCGAGAGGGAGGCTGGGTCCCTGCCGCCTCAACGCACCATCTTAAGTAAAGTTTAAGTTCAGCCGCGCCCAGGTGAGAGCAACTCGGAGCAACTGACCCAGTCAAATATGTTTCAAAATTGAAGAAAAGATTTTTTTAAAATGTGTCTCAAATGTTTTGGAGAGTTAACGAGTACTTGTGGTTGCGTGGTCAAAAGCAGTCGGCCGTTAATGTGAGGGGTCGGTGTTCAAACCCACGTGTTTCGTTTATTTTTCTTTTTTTCCAACAAGCATGTCGTTAATAGTTATTACTTCGAGTCCCATGAGCACTGCACACGAGCCCAAGGCCATCGTGGTCGTGAAAATACTGAGTCCCGTGGACGCCGACTTCGAGGGAACAAGTGAACTAATATCACTTGAATTATCTATTGTCGGTTGGTGGGCACCCCTGTGAGTCAGAGGCGGTCTGTGACGTGTGTATAGCCCTGTAGTACTTTTCTCCAGTGTGTTTTCTTTCCGTCTTGCCAGGCCGTACCTTCTGGGAATCATTAAGGAATCGCCTGACACAATTAAGCAAGCAGGCAGCCGGCCTCACGTTGCGTGCCGCATATGAATTGGGCTTGCTGGCTTGCTTATCGCAGCGAGGCCGCGAGACGTCGACTAGGGCTGGCCAGGGCTGGCCAGGGCCGGCGAGCACGGGGTGCTTTTACCTGTGGCATATAAATGATTATTTTGTCATCAAAGTTAGATGTGCCAGGGTCAGCCAACCAAAAGTAAACTTCGGAGCTCCCTATTTCAGCCGCGTAAAAGAAAGTCAGAGTCCAGAGCGGCATGTGGCTCGAAATATTGGCATGATTACTGATGGCTGCTAGAGTGAAGGCTAGTCCGGTCCTGGCTGGATGGGGTGAGTATGCAAAACCATGCTAAGCAGGCAGTGCGCACACTGTACACAGCACCCTGCCGCCAAGAAAGAGCCGGCGCTGATGAGAGGGTGTGCGCCCCTCACCCCCTCCACCCTCCACCCGGGCTGGCCGGCGGGACGTCCACGCCAGGCTGCGCCAGCTACTAGGCCAGCCTCGCCGTCGCACTGCTGCCCTGCTGGGCGTGACAGCCTTCCCGAGCAGCCTTCACAGTGCGGTGCGGCGACCAGGGACACGGCCGCCCCACCTCAACCCGCCTCACCCTGCCTCGCCCCGCCAGGCGGCCAGACAATCGGAAGGGGTGGGGGCCGTGTGAGGCACACTGTGAGGGGGCAGCGGGAGACCGTTTTCGGTGGCCACGCCGGTGTGATGCGGGGTATTTTTGCCGCCGACGCCGAGGCCTGCCTCAGGCTGCCTCAGGCTGTCTCGGCTGCCTCAGGCCCTCGGCATCCCGCCGTCGTGGCGAACCAGGCGGACGGACCTGGGCGGACCGGCCGGGCCGAGTCGGCGCCGCGGCTTGACTGGCGCTTGGCCGCCGTCGGGAGGGGGAAGGAAATCTGCGGGGGCGGCGGCGCAGGGTGGAGAGACCTCTGGGAGCTCTGGGCCACAGGGCCCGTCCTGGGCGGCCGATACAAAACATTTCCCTGGGGTTTCAGGGTTGTTAAGGTCACCTGGCACCTGGACACCTGGCACTCTCATTGCGCGTTGCCTTCATGGCACATTGGTCGCGGACGTGACTCCCCTCGCGCAAGAACCTCCTTTCACTTTTGATACCCTGCGAAACAAATAGCTTACACACTCTAGGACCAACGTATTCTTGACATAGAATTTTCTGATTTTGTGGGAGGATGGTACGACCATCAGAAGTTGGAAGTGAATTTCCGAAAGCCAAATGTTAAGGTTATTTCTACCAAAATCGAAAGTTTTCAATATTTCGGACACGTCACCAGATGTTTAATATTTTGGTTCAAGGAAAGGGCAGACACCCCTGGCAAAGATGCTCTACAGCGCAAAATCCCGAGCGTGTGTCAGTGTTGGGGTCCATCTTCCATCTCTCTCGCTGCGCACAGATCAGCAGGCACCTAGCGTCTCGTGTTTCGCTCGGACCGCGTAGCCGCGCGGTGCGGAGGGGCTACCCGGCCCAGCCCTCTCGCTTTAAATAGGTACCCCCACCCCTGCCCCGCCCCCTCCCCCAGCCCCCCAGCCCCCTCCGGTCAGCCTCAGGGCGTCGGTGTTCGCAGTCTCTTGAGCGGCGGGCATCTCAGTGGTTGCACATCCCCCGTGGACCTCTCACGCACATCAGCACAATGGTGAGTGCCAGTCTCAAGTCCTGCCCAGCTGGCCCCAGCCCCCGCCGAGTCCCGGGGGTTCGATTCCCGGCCGCGGCGAAAAGTCTTAAGCGAAAACGCGCCGGCTGCGATCGGGAAAAGTGAAAAGTGAAAGTGCTTCGAGTGTCAGTGCTGCCGTTGGGATTACTCTTCACCTGCAGTGCTGCCCGCTCCAACGAAAGCCACTCCGTCTTGAAGCCCGGCCGACGAGCACCGTGCCCGCACTATGCGCAGTGCGACGCCCATGGTGCGCCCCCCTCGTGGCGGCGTGGCGGCCCTCGCCAGGAACACGCTGAAGGGCACCTCCTGACGGAGACACCCAAGGTGCCGCACGCACGAACCCTGCCACACGCGGTGCAAACGTCCTGACGGTTTCCAGGAGAGCGCCCTCAAAAAGGCTCTAAGGGAGTTCCTTGCAAACCCAAGGGGCGCTTTGTCCCTGTACGGCGCCGATAGGCAACCCTTGGTGCTGCCGTGCGTCGCCGTGCGTCGCCGTGCGTCGCCGTGCGTGCGTTGCCGCGTTCTGGAGGGACTTGAACTTGCCGAGAGCGGGCGGGGCGAGGCGGGGTCACCGGGATGCTGCTTCCCTTCCCCAATTTGAAGGTCAAGGAGTCTAATCCCTTTTTTTCTCTCTGTGTTCACAGGCAGCTGACCTCTCAGGAAAGGACGTTGAACGTAAGTGTCCCCGCCACGTGGCGGCTCAAGTTTTGTTCTTATTGCCCGTCCACTGGAAACCGAGGTTTTCGTGAAGCGGGATCCACTGGTTGGGTTACTGGGCGGCGTGCCAGGGAAGGGCCGGCCGCTCCTCCCGCGCCTTTTACAGACTCGGGCTAAATTTATCCGCCACTCCGCTGTCACTAAACTTCCGTCTTGGCCTGGCCCAATGACATGGAGATGTGATACACCCTTCGCGGCTCCCGAACCTCCAGTTTAACACCAATTTGTCTTTAATTTATGTCCAATGTTTTTCAAACAAATAATGAATGAAATGAGGCGTGTGGTATGACCCGTGTAGGGTATTCTAAATTCGAATTTCCCGCAAAGTCTCTCGCCTGACCTTTCTTTTTCGGCGTGGCGTGGCGGCGTTACCCGCAACGAGCCCAGTGGCCCGGCCCGGCGCATCCGCTTATAAGGCGGCGGACCGCCCCGCCCGCCCCGCCGGCCCGCCCCGCTGCACCGGACAGGAATAGCCTCCCCCGCGGCGCGCCCGGCCGGCCCACTCCCCCGCGCCCCGCCCCCTCCCCCGCGACCTTATTACGCACGTTCAATCGCGGCGCGTGGAATTCGGCCCATGACACTGTTTTATCGACATTCCTCCCGAAATTCGCCGAAAACGCCCCTGCTCCCGGAGCGACCTTGGTCGCCGCGCTTTGCAGTGCACTCAAGGTCATGACCCTCCCCGCCCACAGGCGCCCAGTTCGTGTTCTCCATCTACGACACCGATGGCGCCGGCTCCGTCGACGCCTGCGACCTGGGTGGCGTCTTCCGCGCCCTCAACCTGAACCCCACCCTGGCCACCATCGAGAAGCTCGGTGGCACCAAGAAGAAGGGCGAGAAGAAGTTCACCCTGGACGAGTTCCTGCCCATCTTCAGCCAGTGCAAGAAGGACAAGGACCAGGGCGTCTACGAGGACTTCCTCGAGTGCCTGAAGCTGTACGACAAGGCTGAGAACGGCACCATGCTCGGCGCTGAGCTGTCCCACACCCTCCTCTCCCTTGGTGAGCAGCAGCGCTGCATTACAAGCAACCCCATTTTTGCGCCGAACCGCGGTTTCGTTAACTGGTGTGATCTTCGCACGCAGGTGAGCGTCTGGACGAGAAGGAGGTCGAAGAGGTCCTCAAGGACTGCCTGGACCCCGAGGACGAGGACGGCTTCATCCCTTACGTTCGTGAGTATCTCCTGCAGGATTGTTGTAGAGCAGTGTACCGTACAGTACTCCCCTTGCATTTTGGACCCACCCGTCGTAGCTCTGTAGCGCCCCACCAGTAGTTTGGTGCACCCGCCGTCGGGTTGCCGTAGTGCTCAAAGCCCTGGGACGTGATCTGACCAAAGCAAAAAGACGAAAAAAAAAAGACTTTTTGTTTGTTTATTTCACCCCAGTGCTTTTTTGTGACCTCTGATCCAGTATACAAAAGTAGTTTTCATCCGAACCCTGTACTGGTTGGATAGGTAGTCTTGTACTTTTGGACCATTTTGGTATGTTGCATCAGTAGCATGTCGATCCCCCGAACCAAAGTTGTTTGCGAATGATTTCCCTGGTAGCGAGTTGAAGGTAGATTCGCCGCAGTAGTTGGTTGCCCCCTTCCACCGTATGCACTTTGTTCCCTTCCTAATTGCCTGTGATTTGCAGCATTCCTCAAGAGGCTGATGGGCAAGGAATAGACCAACATTCTATCAAGCACAATCAGTAAGTATCCCCGCATGGCACCGTGAGAGCGAGCAGGGCTCCTCGATGTTGCAGGCCTCAGACGTTTGGTGTTGCTTTTCCGTCATTGCAGTAGTTCTTGAATTATATTATCTACCGCGTTAACTCCTTGACTGCGCGACAGCTGTGCAAATCCACAAAACTGTCCCCCATGCAGTCAACGAGTTAACGTTGGAAAGTGTCTGGTTGCAAACGCGTGCTAACGTGCCCCCGTCGTGTTGCAGCCTTCCTCCAGCGGATGTGCGGCAAGATCCCGCTCAAAGACGGCACCAGGGCCACTGGTGGCGACTAGGCCCCCCAAGGCTCCGCCACGCACCGCCACCCCGCTCAGGGCCTCGGCCGGCCGCACGCCGACAACAACGCAACTCAAGGACTGTTTTACCATCTGCATTATCGGGATCCACATTAAAAAAAAACAACGACTCTTTATATATCTGTTCCAACAAATTACTGTTATTTTTTATTTTAAAAGAAAAAGATCTTATTTCCATCTGCGAGCCCCCTCCTCGACGTGTTCTGGCTGCGCGGCTGCGTGGCTGCTAGACGGGCATTGTGTTTGACTTTTGTGGTACGACCACAAAGAGCTCGACGTTGTGATCGCCAGTTTAGCAGCCGGGGAGCCACGCAGTCAACTGAAACCAAAAGAATGTCAACTCGGGGCCACCAATAAAGTGTACAAAGCCATCCATTTCTGAAAAAAATAACCGTGTGTGTAATTCGATCTCCTTCATGTCTCCTCCAAATTTCGCCGCAACACATTCCTTAGAAACGAACAAGAAGTAAATACGGGACAGTAGTGTAGGCAATTTACCGTCGTTTCGACAGGCTTCGCATTGTTAAGCAAGGGCTCAGTAGTTTTGGGCTAATAAAGAACACTTGGAAATAAAATGGTTCCTCACAAAAATTTCTTATTTTTTCCACACAAACACATTTAAATATTTGTCGTACAAATCAACGAAACTCTTACAGGCAAAGAAACATTTTCTCAATTACAGATAGTGTCTTTCTAGAGTACGAGGTCGTTACACTCTACTTATCTACATCATCAGCAACATTCATTAATATAATATGTAGTATTATAAATATATCTAAAATAGAGATTTATATATAAATATTTGAATTCACTTGTTCCCTAACTCACAGTATTATCCTCCGCTCGGCGGAAGGTACTTGTTCTTTTTATCGCGTCACTAATTGCTACGAATTATCACATCACCAGTCGGCGAGCCACTCGCCCGCGCGTTGCCGGGCTGCGGGCTGCGCTCGAGGCAGCCTCTCCCGCGCCGCGTTGCTAGGCAACCGCGATCGGCACCCGGAAAGGAACCCGACCAAAATAACAGGTAGAATGTACAAGTAGTTATTCACTAGCCAGTCTTTGCAGAGGAATCGGACAAACGAAAGTAGTCCGTGGGGAAACACTTGGAATGTGCAGAACAACGACATCGCTCGCACACTAGGCGGCTCACCGGCCGCGTCGTCTCGTCACGCTGCTTCGATACTCCGCGTCGGCCGGGACGCCATGGGGCCGTCGGCACGGGGCCGGCGCTACCCCGCGCGTGGATCGCTGGGCCGTGGCACGGCAGCCTCGCAGCCTCGCAGCCTCACAGGCTGACGAGGGTGTTGTTGGAGTTGGGGAGCGCCACGGCCAGCATGTTGGGGTCCGCGGCGTTCGTCCCGGAGGGCGACGTGTCCGTTGGAGAATCTGTCAACGCAGAGAAAAAGGAATAGTGGACCACTATGGAAGGTCGTCTGCGCTACATGCACTACGTGCGACAGGAAGCACTCCATGCCGCATGGCTTGGCAGACTAAAAAGGCTAAAAAGCGGAAGGCAGCGCGGGGAAGTACGAACGTGCGGCGGCCATCGAGAATCTAGCTAGGCATGGATCCAACACTTTAATGTTACTTTTGCCTTTGCCGCCGTACTTCCCAGCGATGCGCGGCGCTGCGGTGCTCTTACCGTGCAGGGTTGCTAGGCTACGTGCTGTGCGTGCTGCACTACGACTAGGCCATGGTCCAGTCCTCACCGGGCAGCGCGGCGTGGTGGCGGTGGAAGGCGGCCAGGTCCTTGGCGGAGCACAGCGGCGTGTCCACGGCCGTGGTGCAGTGGAACAGGCTGTAGTCCACCTGGTAGCCGTGCCGCTCCCGGCAGTACGTCACCATGGGCGTGAACCTGTGGCCCCACAAGATCTCCACGGGCAGGTACGACGACCGCGCCTGCGTCGTCTGCGAGGTGGTCTCGATGGTGCCCTCCAGGATGACGACGATCTCGAACTTCTCGTGCATCATGTCCACGGCAGACATGTTCCACAGCGGGCTGGCGCTGCGTGGGCGGGAACAGCGGGTCCATCGGTCAACAGGAGTCGCTTTGGCGCTGTCCCTCTCGCACTCATGGGGCGCCCCGCACGGGTGCGAGAGAGACAGCGGCAGAACGACTCTGCGGCATCGCTCGGCTGGCCGCGCTGGCCGTTCATCAAGCTGACGGCCGGGTGCACTCACCTGTCGATCTTGTGCACCACGACGGTGGGCCAGATGAAGAACAGGTCGGAGCCGCAGTCGTCCGCCGAGAGGGTGAGCTCGTGCTGGAAGGGCGCCAGGGTCTCGCCCTCCTGCGTGGTCTTGGTGCGGATGAGCTGCGCGCGGATGCTGGCGCCCACAATGTGGGACTTGCGCATGTCGCCCACGCGGAACATGAGGCACAGCTCGCCGTCGCGCACGCAGATGACGGCCTGCCGCGAGAACAGCAGCGTCTGCGTGCGCTTCTTGGGCCGCGACAGCTTGGCGAACACGATGCCCGTCATGAAGGCCTGCAACGAGGATGGGCTGAGCAAAGGGCCGAAGGGTGCGGTGGTCCGGCAGGCCGGCCTCAGCGACTCACCTGGATCATGACGCCCACGATGCTCTGCAGGCACATGACGAAGATGGCCTCGGGGCACTCCTCCGTGGTGGCGCGGCCGCCGTATCCGATGGTGTGCTGCGTCTCCACCGAGAAGAGGAAGCACGACCCGAAGTCGTGGATGTTGGCGACGCAAGGGTGCCAGCCCTTCTCCTCCTGCATCTCGGGCAGGTGCTCCACCTCCAGGTCGCCGTGCGTGAAGGCGATGAGCCACCAGATCAGGGCGAACGTGAGCCAGGACAGGAAGAAGGACAGCGAGAACACGAGCAGCGTCCAGCGCCACTGCACGTCCACGAGCGTCGTGAAGATGTCCTGCAGGAAGCGGAGGTTCATGTTGGAGATCTTGCTCTGCAGCACGTTGCACTCGCCATTCTTGAGCACGGCGCGCCGCCGCAGTCTCCGTTGCGAACTAGGGTAGCGCCCGCTGCGGCTGCGAACACAAATGCAAACGTGCTTTCAAATCTTTTCCCGCCAAGCCTGGGTGCTTTTGGGCGTTTTGGCGGTGGAGCCGTCATCATTGTCACTGCGCTTTTGTCTGCTTTTGCCTTGCTCTCCGCGTGCCGACGATCAGCGGCGACGCGGAGCACGGCGCAATCCAGATCGGGGAGCGATGCGAGCCGGGCCACGCCCCCATCACGCCGCATCCGGCTGTAAACGAGTAGCAGTGGCTGTGTGTGTGTGGATGAAAACAAAGGTGTCCTTAATTGCGGCTGAGGACGGCAAATGGCGGAGCCGGAAAGAGGTATCCATGGGCAATGGGCCTGTCAGGCTTGTGCTGGCTGCCGGCCGGGTATTGCCGGGTATTGCTGTCGCAGTAAAGATTGGCGGTCCAGGCCGGCCAGCCTCGTCACGCCACGCCGGCAGTCCGGCCGGCCGCACGCGCGTGTCAACAGTGGCGTGCGTGCGCTGCACGCCCCTGCACGCCCCGCGGCCCGCCAGCCCGCCTGAGCCAGTCGGCGCGGCGAAGCAGCGAAGCGGGTGAAGCACTCTGACTTGGACTTCCGGGCTGGAAATAGACGAATAGACACGCAGATTCGGATTTGTCCGGCAGCCGCACCTGAGTGTGTGTTTGTGTGTGTCTGTGTTGGAGGACGGCCCTTCTGCCGGCCAGTGGGACTCACAGTGTGCTCGGCTTGCGCGTGCTGCGCGTGCGTGGCGTGCGTGGCGTGCGCGGTCGCGAACTACCGGCCCGCAGCTCGATGCCGCCGGCCTGGAAGCGCGCCTTCTTGGCCGCGGTGGGGCCCGCGGGGTCCGCGGCCTGGGCCTCCACGTCCACGTCCTGCGCCATCGCCATGCTCATCGCCATGCTCATCGCGGTGCCCGCGGGGACGGACTGCGCGGCCCGCGGCCTTGGGGGCCTTGTCGGGCTGCCCCTGGGAGGTCACCGCGATGCGACGGTTATCGCGGTACAGCGTTCGCGTTATCGAACTGACGGCGCACATCGCGTCACCGCCTTGCGAGTCGCCTCGCCCGCCGCTACTCGCGCAGGGCGCGGGCGTGGCGCAGGCGTGGCGCAGGCGTGAGCGCGCTGGCGAACCGGCGCTCCCCGTCCGATCCGCTTGGGAGGCTGCGACATCGGCTACGCCACTGGGCGGCAGAGCGACGGCACGGCACGGCCGAGCGACCCGCCTATTGGCCACCAATGTTGCTGTTGTCCAGGCCAATCTGGGCTTCGGCACAAAGGCTGCGCTCCCTCTGAAGCCCATGCCGCAGGCGGGAGTCCTCGGGCTTCGGGCGGGTTAGGTTTAGCAGTGTGCCAAACCCGCACGCCGCCATGGGACTTCCCTGCGCGGCGACTCGCAGTGGCGGCCATCGAGGGGCACGAGGAGCGCGGCGAGACACTCGTCGGGCGGCCGTCGCGTGGATTGAGTGCTTCCGACTAGAGTCCGGCCGGGCGTCACACGTGACTGGCGTGACACGGCGTGACTCGGCGTGACGCCACACGCGTGGCGTTCAAACAGCACGCGACAGTGGCGTGGCGCCGCGGGCCTACATGTGATGGGATGGACGTATCAAAATGATACCAGACGTCAGCTGCTTAGGGGGGCAACTTTAAGCCAGGATGCAGTGGCGCCTGTAAATAGGACCCGGGGATGGGAGGTAGGGATCCTACCTTAACGTGTGGGGATCGCAAAAGGTCAATGACTTGAGGATGGCTCTTAAACTTTCCCCAGAGTTACTTCGATTGTATTGTTGTTTGTTTGGCTCTGGAAATATATACGACTCATCCGACCTAATTGCACACTTGCAAAACACAGGACGCCGACAGGTGCGCGCACTGAGAACACAGTTTTTAAGAGTGCCTGTCATTTTCTCAAGATAGTGGCGTCCTTTGGTCTGCAGAGCTTGTTGCAGTCGCTGTCACAGCTCATGAAGTTAAATATGGACTCATCTCCTTCCCTCCTCACCCCTTCCCCCCTTGCTAGGCCCCTTGGCGGGAGGGAAGCTTGAATGGCCACCGTGATGAAGGTTTAAAGCTTCCGACTGCCTTGCCCTCCACACACGTGTGCCTTGCTATGCCCAGCCGGCCCGGCCTTCCCTCGAGTCGAGACGGCGCCCCGCGCGTGCCGTCCCGCGCTGCCCCCGAGACTCTGTCTCTCTCGCACCTATACGGAACGGCCCATGAGTGCGAGAGAGACAGAGCGACGAAAACGACTCCGTGGCGGCGCGTTGCGGCGCAGGAAACGCCCAATTCCGCAAACGAATGCCGAGGTACTCCCGGGGCACCGTGACGCCGCACTCTGGACTCGGCCACTCCGCGGCCTGGACGCCGCCAACGCCGCCAACGCCGCCAACACGGAGATAAGGACGGTGTGAGGGCCGGCCAAGGCGAGACGGTCCTCGGCACTTGTCCTCCGTCCTCGCCACTGCAGCCTTCGACGCGTGCGGCCGGCATGCGTGAAGCCGTGAGGCGGTTGCACGACGCGAACGATCAAAGACCCTCCGCGAGACGATTAGAAAGAAAACAGTTCGCTATCGCGATGCAGCCGGCCAGTCGGAGACAGTGCCCTGCGATCCGATATCTCGCCGGCCGGCCTTTGTCACATTCTATTTCGGCCTGGACATCCTCGTCCACTCGAAGGGTTTCAAGGGCTCGCCGGCGCCCTTGAGAGCACCGGCACTGCAAGGCACTGCACTGCGGCGAAGCGGCTCAAGCACTACGAGTACCTTTTGCTGGACGAGTACGACAGCTGGGACACGACGCTGGTGGGGGAGTTGGCATCGCCGACGCCCCAGGTCCCCGTCGACGGGTCCTGGACCAGGATGGGGCTGACGGCGGCGCCGTTCTTGAAGTTGGCGTGGATGAGGTGCATGGCCTCGTCGGGGCTGCCGCGCTCGGCTCCCGGAGGGCTGGCGCGGCGCAACGCCGACGCCCCGGACGCCGTGCCCGAGGCCATCATGGTGACCTGCACGACGGGGCCGGGGCCGCGCAGCGGCAGCAGTCGCCGTGAAGAGTCCGAGTCCATGGTGGTGGAGGCCTTCGCGGAGGATCAAGGCATATTGGGCGACGACGGCGACGACGCCCCGGCCTCGGACAGCCCCACGACGGCGTGGTCTTCGCGGCGGCGCTCCTCAGTGGCGGCGTGCGCGACGACGTCCTTGGTGTCCGGCCCGTGCGAGTCCCTCCCCATGTCCCGCGGGAGTGAGGTCCTGTCCGTCCTGCGCGGCCCTGCACTGCCCGCCTCACCCCGCCTCACCCCGCCCCGCCTCTCTCCGCCCCGCCCCACCCCGCCGCCGCTCCCCGCCGGTGCGCTAATAGGCTCACAATGATAGCAGATTAGCCAGCAAGCAGCCGGCCCGCCCGGTGCCACCAGGCTGCGTCCTGCGTCCTGGGTCCTGGGTCCCTGGCCGACCTAGCCGGTCCGGTCCGCGACCCAGGCTCTTCTTTCCGCCCGGCAACGCACCCGACACACGCGCCACACTCGCGTCACACACGCGTTACACACGCGTTACAAACGCGTCACACACGTGCCTCACCCGCGTCACACACACGTCACACACGTGTCACACACGCCTCACGCACGCGTCACACACACGTCACACACGCGTCAAACACGCCACACGCTGCCGCGCACTTGGTGGTGTGCCGTCGTCGACATGGTCGCGCTGACTGGCTGAGGGGCTTCGACGGCGACGGGCACACGGCACACCGCGACGCGCGCGGCTGCACTGCCGACGACACACCATGAGTTGCAGCGTTGTGATTATTTGGCGACAGCCTGGCTGGCCTAGCCCAGCCTTCCTCGTGGAGGTGAGTGTGGCCCAGTGTGGCCGGCCAGGCCACTCGGCGGCGAGGCGGCTTGGCGGCGGATGGCCAGCATGCCCAGTGTTGTGATGTCACTTGACAGCGGGCCGGGCGTGCCGCGTGCCGGGCCACTTGCTGCAGCCCGCAGGCCGCGGCCACGGTCTGCAGGACCACCAGTGCACCACCATTCTGCCTGGCGACCGCCATGGCGTGCGGCAGGGCCGGGCGACGCTCGCGGTCTGTGACTCATCTCGCAATGTCACTGTTAGTTCGCGCTCCCGGCGGTTCCGGAACCGGGCCGCGTTGCCGCCTTGCCCGGGGCCTGCACCGTGCACCACCACTGCTAATCGCCGAAAAGAAAAAGGCATTACTTTGGTGCGGACGGGGAAGGAAGACGAGACGCGGACAACGAGCGGCCGGTCGGATCGTCGGGCGGTGTGCAGTTTGCGCGGGGCGGGGCGGGGCGGGGCGTGGCCGGCGAAGTGGCACGTCGCAAAGCGAAACACTTGAGGCCGCCGCGGGGCCGCGGCCGGCGGGAGGGATTAGAGTTAGCGGGGCTTACGGGTGATCGCGTGTTGATAGCGAAACGGCCCATTTCGCGCTCCTTGCGGTGGCCGAGTGGGAGGGGGGGGGGGGGTGATTGCCCGCCGCCTCTTTGCGCGAGGAAACCGATGCCGGCCGAGTCAACGGCCCAACGCACTCGGCCTACAAGACGGCGGCGGGCGGGGGAGCGCCTTACCAGGGCTGGGTAGGCAACCCGGTGGACACGGGTGCGCCGTTGCGGGGCGATGGCCTACCCAGCCAGGCGCTCCAACCCTCCATGAACTTGAACTTCCTCCCCCTCCCCCTCCCCCTCTCCCAAACCACTAGTAGTGGCGGCGCCCCGGATACACTGCTCGGCACTGACCAGCGCACCGCGCCGCGCGCTGCCTCAGCAGTGCTGGTGTAGTGCGCACGCGGCAAGGCGGCATGGCGGCGACCTTGTGGGCCGGGGTCTGTTTTGCCGCGGTTCGCCGAAAAGAGGGACAGAAGCGAGACGTGACGCGGCCAGGTCGCGCCGCGTCGATGTAGAGCACGCCACTTTGTCGAACCGCTGACGACGACGCCTCGCGACGCCTTCTGCTCCGCTGCAGTGGCGGGGCGGGGCGCGGCGAGACGACCTTGCCGGCGGCGGCGGGAGCAGAGCAGCCACACCGGCCACGCGTCGCATTAGCGCGCCGGCACTTGCCGTGCATTCGCCGCGCTGTTCAGTGGCCGCGCTCAACGCCCTGGCACCCGGTGGCTCATCTAGTTAGGAAGTCGCTAACTGGGTAGCGTTTTGTACCGTCCACGCTGGCGGCCTGGGTTCGGTTCGACTCCCACTGCGGCCGACCGCTGCGTTTCTTTATTTCTTTTGCTTTTATTTACGCGTGTGAGTGTCAAGGGTGCGATCTTGTCTCAGGCAGGAGCCGGGTGCACTGGCGGCGGGGCGGAGCGTGGCGGAGCGTGGCGGAGCTAGTCCCGGGCACCGGGACGACGGGACGACGGGGGTCGTGGTGGCGAGTAGCACGCGGCCGACGAGTGTCCTGCGCCTGGCGCCTCGTTAGCGCCGCCACGCGATGCCGTGTGTTTGTGCGGGGATGGCGTGGATGTTTGGCTGTGCAAAAGAAGAAACCCCCAAAGGACCCGACTCGGCGCGTTGTCCTTGCGCGGCGCCCTCAGGGAGGGAATCGTCTTGACCAGACAATCATGGATATGTAAACTCAGACTGTATGCCTCACTCAGATAGGCCGGCCAGCCGGTAAACCAGCCGTAAATCAACGTCAAAAGTGACGCCGCATATTTCAGAGAAAACCGTCGTAATGGACTTCGTCATGAGGAATGGCCGAACGGAATGACGATTATGGACTGAGAAACCAAAGCAGACGGCCGGCGTAAATCTTTGCCGGGCGACACCGGGGGCAGGGGGCGAGGCGTCAACAGTGCCACGACAAACACGCGAAGAAGCACGGCGAAGCACGGCGAAGCACGGCGAAGCACGGCGAAGCACGGCGAAGCACGGCGAAGCACGGCGAAGCACGGCGAAGCACGCCACTCCGGAGCGGTTCGTCAACGACGTCCTCGAGGCGCCTTTCCTACCTGCCGTCGCTGCTGACGGGCTTGGCGTTGAGCACGCTGCTGTTGGTGGACACGCGGAACAGCTTGGTGGGCTCGGCGCCGGGCTGGGTCACCACCAGCGGCGAGTCGAGCAGCAGCGACGTGGCGGAGGCGGGGGCGGCGTGCAGGTACAGGCGCTGCAGGTGCGTCTGGGGCACCAGGCGGTGGCCGCGCTCCGGGTACGCCAGCAGCCCCGGCGGCGACAGCAGCGCCGAGTACTCGGGGGCCTTGCCGTCAGGCCCCGCGCCGAAGTGGATGCCCTCGTCCTCGTCCTCGTCGTCCTCCTCCAGCTCCACCTGGGGGCAGTGAGACAGTGTCGGTGCTCATCGTTTGTCCGACCTTCTGCAGGGCAATCCAAAGACATTTTAACACAAAATGTATTCAGAGTTACAGAAGTAAAATCAACACCTTAAAGAAAATTTCAGCGAAAGAGGGCACCCCGGCGAACCGGCCCTCTTCCCCGCTGGCTTGGTGGACCAGTGGTTCCCCCATCTCATCACAGGAGCAACCTCAGAGTTAAACCGCAGTGGCCCCGTCATTGGTCACGTCAACTGTGATGTGGAGGAGTCCTCTCATAGTAGGCCAGGCTGCCACCTTTCCCAGTAGTCGGGTTTCGTTCCCGGCCCCCTTCCCACTCAGGGGCCATGCTACTGGTACTCAGGAGTCTGCGTCACCCTGCCCAGCAGCGGAACCACTGGGCTATGAGAGGCACACTGAACGCCGGCCGATTTGGTTCACTTGAACCCCCTTCTTGCGATGCAAGCTTGGTCAAAATGTTCGACACCGTACTGGGTATCGAACCCCGGACCCCGCAATCGGGAACCGACGCCTCTACGCTCTCGGCCACCACGGCCCATGGAAGACGCTGTGCGAAGGGGAGCCTTTGAAGCTGCTGGTCCGAACCATATAGTAAGACAAAAAGAGCTGGAAGCTGGTATTCGATCGCTCGATCCGAGTATAGGATTCAGACATCTCTACACATTCGGCCACCGCAGCTCACCGGGTGAGCCGAGTGGCGCAACGGGTCCAAACCGCATCGGGAAAGCCGCTCCTAAAATGTAAAGAAATGCTGGGATTTGAACCCTAGACCCTGGAAGTGCGGGTCGACGACGCCTCTGCGCGCTCAGCTGCCGCTCATTATAGAGAATATGCCACAGGTCCCACTCCTGGCTCCACACTGTGGCATCCCGAGGAAATCATGATCACGCGCAGGGGCTAGGCGAGACAAAAATCCCACTCTAGTTTAAATCCGTACAAATAAGGCAGCGGCCCTGGTGGCGCTGCAGAGGCGTCCGTTGGGCTGCCTACTCGCGCGGCGCTCTGGGGTGCCGGCAGTTGGTTGTCCTCGCGTGCGGTCGGCTTGTCGTGCTCGCGTGCGCTCCGTGACCAACAAGTGGGCCAGCGTGGCCGACTGCCAACTGGCGTGCGGGCCGCGGCGCCGCCCCGTGGCGTGGAGCGGCGAGGAGCATGCCCGCGTTTCCATGCTGGCACACTCGGACAAGTGCCGCGCGGCGCACCGACTCATTGAAAGGCGGCCACGCCGTCGACGGGCTGGGCCGCGTGCCGCGTCGCGTACCTCGTCGTTGTCGTCGATGTAGCGGTCCGGGGCGTCGCTGAAGGCGTCTCCGTCGAGGTGCCTGTTCTCGCCGGCCAGCGCGTCGCCGTGGTGGTGGTGGCCGTGGTCCAGGGCCGCCAGCGGCTCGGCCTCGCAGCAGCTCGACGGCGCCGTGCTCGTCCTGGAGGGCCCCGACGGCTCTGGGGTGCCCAGGGTCAGCGAGATGGACGGCACGACGCGCGGGTCCGTCGGCGCTGGCTCGTCGGCCGGGGGCTGCGCCGCACTGCGCTGCGCCCCACTGGGCTGCATCTGGTGCATGTTGGCCTGCAGCGCGCGGCGTGGACTGTCAGCTGAAGGCGTCGTCGACTCGCGTTAGCATGGCGTCGTTCCTCGGCGAGTCAATGCAGCGGCGCTGCGTTCGCCCGGCGCATCTCGTCTGCAAAAAGAGGAAAAACCGTTTAACGCGAAGAATGGGTGACGACTCACGGGGCTGGCTGCGGCGCTGCCGCGGCGCCGCCGTGCCCCTCCGTGACCCCTGTCCGTCTGGCCTTCACGCGCGCCCCGGGGCCCAAGTCCCCCACCTTGCAGTCCTGGCCGGCCCCGCCTCGCCCTGCCGGTACCGGGCCAGGGCAGCGGCGCGGCAGCCCAGATGGGCCGGTGTCAAACCGAGAATTGGTGCCTTCCTGCCGTCGGGGTCCTGGGTCCTGCCGGTCCTGCCGCGCCGGCACGATGCCGTCGGGGCCCGGCCGCCCGGCCCCAGCACCAGGCCGCCAGTCAGCGGCCCAACCTGCGCCACGAGGCAATAACCTCAACGGGTGCAGCGCCAGGATGACAGCATCCAGAGGGCCTTCTTGACGTGGGCCGGGTTGTGTGCGTTGCGGCTGGAAAGGTAACCACGCGGGGAAACGAAGCTCCGAGACTTCGAGTTCCTGTCACCTAACGCGCGTGGCGCTCGAACTAGGTCTCGGCCCCTCGAGGATGGCCTCGACCGACGGCTGCAGTGGCCCTGCGAAGAGGCCGTCTCCTTGGCGGCCTCGACGTCGACGCCGTCCTCGGCCAGGATCACGCCGAGGTGCCAAGTGAATTGGTCCATCGTCACGTGAGCGGGGACGTGGCCGTGCAAATGCCGGGAAGAGAGACGTGACGCGCCGGCACGTCTGATAAGCAGCATCCCCGCTATCGCACCGAGGCGGGGCGGGGTGGGGCGGGGCGGGGCGGGGCGCGCCCGCAGGTACCGCGCTCACCTGCAGCACAGCCTGCTTGCCTTCGCACCGGCTCACCTTCCATTCGGGAATGAATTTGATGCAAACAAACGCACGGCCGCGGCACGCTGGCACGGTGGTGGCACGGTGCCATGCGGGGAAGTCCTTGCTCGGCGCGTGACCGCGCGCAGCCTGCAGCGTGCAGCACTACAGTGGCGTAGCAGGACCCGCCTCGAAGGACCATAGACCGTCCAGGGGGAGCGGAGGCTGAAGCTGTCCCGGCTGCCCCCTCCCCCTCCACTAGTATTTAAACCCGCGGTCCGCACGGCGGACGCTTCGTCCATCCAAGCCAAGTCAGCCCGGAAGGAGATCATGTTCCCCACAAATGAACGTCACTTGGTCCGCGCGGCTGTCCGTCGGCCCGTGGTCTACTCTGGCAGATAGCCTGCGTCCGTCGAAAGGCGTACCTTGGTGTCCCGGCGACCGCACCGCCATCCGCCGTCCTCCAGCGCTGCGAGGAAAGCGATGTGTTCGGAGACTTGGAATGGAGAACAACACCCGCACGCAAACTAACACACACACACTGACGCACACACACAGACGCGCACGTCACCGCCTTGTTGGTCACGGCTTCGCGGCTTCGCGGCGCCGGCACGATGTCGAATGGCGCGCTCGGTTCGAGAGCTTCGAGAGGGGCGTCGACGGCGGCGTTGGCGCGCGGCGGAGGTGGCGGCTGCGACTGAGGTCCTCCTGGGGGTCCGCGGCGCGGTGCGGTGCGGCGCGGGGGCAAGGGCCTCGTCCTGCTGCAGCGCGCGGCTGCGGCTCCTCCACTGGAGCCATGCGAAGCAATGCGAAGCCAGCGAGGCAAAGCAAGACGCCAAGGCGGTTCGAGGCTGGGCCGCCCGGGCCGCCCGGCCCCGCCGCAGGGCACCGCGGGCCTCGGTGTAGTCCTGCGCCTCGCCTGCGCCTTGCCTGCGCCTTGCCTGCGCCGCATCCACGACTCACGGCACGGGCAAGTTCCTCACGACGGCGAGGCACGGCGCGCCACGCACACTCTCCCGCCACGCCGCGGCAGCCGCGGCCACGCCCTGACCTGGGCGCTACGATGCAGAGCCAGCCGCGCCCCCCGCCCCTCCGCGGGGCCGGGGCCGCCGGGGCCGCCGGGGCCGTAGCGCACGCTCGGTGGAAATCCGGTCCGCCGTCTTCGTCGAAGTCGATGAGGAAACAGAGAGAGACGGAGACAGAGGAAGGCGGAAGAGGCCGGACTCGCCTGCAAAGCCTGCAGCACTCGCGCTGTGTTGGTGGAGGACTGGACTCACAGTGGTCGCGCAACGAGTGGAGTGGATACTGCCTTTCCCGCTTTTTTCCAGTCTCGCCCTCACCACTGCTGTCCTGCCGGCATGTTTGTGACCCTGTCGGCCGCCGGGCTGCTGGTCCTGCCGGGTCCTGCCCCTTCGCCTTCACCATCGCCGGGCCGGCGCCGTGTTATAATGCAAACGTCGTGAGGCAAACGTCACAGGCACGCGCCGCGCCGCCATGTCCGTCTCTGTCGCGCCGCCCGTCAGCGGCGTGCTGGCTCGCGCGTGCGAGAGAGACGGCTGCCCCGCCGCGCTCCGCGCCCCGCACGTGACCCCGCCGCCGTATTTGCCTGCGAGAGCACTGGTAGCTGTTTGGACAGACGATACGCTGTGACATTGCGGTGGAGGGGAGGACTGAGGACCTCATCACGAGGCGCGGCGCGAGCCTGTACTCGTACAATGTAATGTAGGCCGCGGGGGCACATTCGCCTGCAGCCTTCGTCGCCCTGTCTCTGTCGCACTCACGGGGCGTGCCAGGGGTGAGAGAGAGACAGATTCTTCGCCCGCAGGCTGCAGGTGTCTTTGTCAAGACTCCTGTTGTTGTCCGTGCGCGGGACTTGCAGTGGCCAGCCTGTCCGCTGCGACGCATGCTCGGCAAGACAAAAGCTCTATTCCGAGCGGCTTCTGCCCTGCCGGCTTTTGAATGGCTGAGGCCGAGGCGATATTGAATCTGACCGCCACCGCCGCGACCACGACGTCGACGACGACGGGGCTGCGGGCGCGACCGTGAATACGCTACCGTGCTTTCGGCTCCGTGGTGGAGCGACGCCACTCCGCGGCCCCACGACCGACAACAGGTCCCAGCAGTGCCGAGCCGTGCCGAGCACTGAGGAGGCAGCGGACAATGCTGCAACGAGAATACGACGTGACCTGGCTTCAAATGTATTACCGCTAATTGAGGGAGGACGGCGGGTATCGAACCTCGAACCCGCGAGTCCGGCGCGGCGCGGCAGCCCCCGTACTTCTCGCCCACTCTGCACGTGGTTGTCACGCAGGACACACTCCGCGCTCGGGTACTTTTGGGTCCGCCTGTAACTGGTTCCACCCGCAGCCACCCATGGAACACCACTCCCAGCTCGAGGTCCTTGGGCGGAATCTTCGTCGGACGTCCCAAGTCCCGATCGGGCGAGGCGTTGACTCACCGAATTCACCAGGAGCAGAGGAGCGGTCCGGGAATTCCGGGTACCCGACGAGGGGCCTCGCCGGAGCTGAGCCTCGCCGCCGCACTGGCCTGCAGCGTGCGACGTGCAACCCGAGTATACCGTGCGGCCCGTGCAGCCGGGCCGGGAGCTGGCTTCGCGCTCCTCGCTTCGCGCCGCAGGTATCCATATCATTTTCATCTGTCTCTGCATGGGCCATGGGCGGCCATGGGCCGTGTCGGGCCGCACTGCAGTGCACTGGGCCGCGCACCAGGCTGCATCGGACTGCACTGCTGCAGGTGGCAGGTCCCACCAGGAGGACCATCTCGAGGGTGGAGCATGGCAACGACGGCATCCACGGCCGTCAAATGGCGCACAACGTCGCTCTGTCTCTCTCGCACTAACACGAGACGCGCCACGAGGGCGTATGAGACAGGCCGGCGATGCTGAATCAGTCGGCAGGTCAGCGACTTACCTGTTGCTTCCCTCCGCCGCGGCTTCACTCTGACCCAACCCTCTCGGGCACTCCAGGACCGGGACGACGCCGAGGACGACGCCGAGGGCAGCGCGGTGGCGGCAGTCCCGCGTCGAACTCGATGGGGCCCTGCGCCACGCCACGCCAGCCTCATCCAGCGAGCCCCAACAGGGAACAGTGGCGGGGCAGACAAGTGGCAGAGCGGCCCAGCGGGCGGGGTGGGGCGGGGCGGGGTGGGGCGGGGGACGCCGAGGACCTCCTTGCCTGCAGCAGCCACTCCATGGGGTCCAGGCCGGTCCAGGCGCAGGAGGCGCGGGAGAGGACTTGAGGCTCAGGGCCTGCAGCAGTGCAGCACGCTGCAGCAGGTGGGCAGAGACAAGCGTCTCGCGGGTGGGCTGGGCGCGTGGTCGTCGCGGTGGCGATACCCCGCGCCCTACCGCTTTATCTTTCAATAAAACGGCGACACGGACCGCGCCGCCATGGAGTGGGCGTGCCGCGTGCCGGTGCCGATACCCCCCGCGCTAGTGGGAGAGAGAACCGGACGGGAGAGGGAACCATAACGGCACTCATATGACGGCCTAGCGTTTTCGTCCGCCTCGCTCTGTTCTCTCTATCCGCGTCAGCGCGGCGCTGCGCGGCGCCCGGCTGCGTCACGCTTTGAACCCGCAGTTGTGCTTCGCGTGAACACACTGTGTGTTTGCCGTTTGCTTTGGGGCAAACGTGACGGCGGGGATTTGAACCGGCCTGGCGCGGCCTGGCCGTGTTGACTAACCTGCCGAGGTGTACCAAGTGACGCGGCCGCCGGCTGGCCCAGGACTCCATCCTTATTGACTGCCCAGCCGGCTGCCGCTCCGCTGCAGTGTACAGGATACGGTCGCGCCGATCCAGGACGATTTAGGGCCGCCGTTCAAAAGGCTGCTGCTGCGTTCTGGGTTTAGCTCCCAAGCCCGTTCTCGGTGCACTTGGGAGAAGCACTTGGGGGAAGTGGACGGTGGATCTATTGGCGACGAGGCTGAGGCTGGTCGCGAGTTGTTTCTCGCCCCTCTCTCTGGTTGCTCCGATTCGATTCCCAACGGGATCTAATTTTTATGGTTTTTCTTAGCAGTGAACTGGTTGTGTTTATCTTTTTCTGCGAGTTACTGCTGATAGTCTCGTAAAAGTGATTGTTTGTTTAGCGGGGTTCAAAACTTTAGCTCATTTACATTCTTGAGCTAGAGGTCTATTGAGGCCTAACAGCGCTGATGATGATGGTGGTGACAAGGTTCATCCTCTTCAATAAACAAGCATACGTTTCAATGGAAAATACTCTTTCTGTTCTACAATATAGCCTTCACATCAAACAAGGTAGGACATATCACACAGAAAATTTGGCTCTACATCGAGATAAGTCTTTTTTCCTAGCTTGTCTTCACGGTCATCATTACACTATTTCCCATTTATCGTAGAAAAGGTTACATAGGAGGTGGTCCAAAAGAATAATTTGTTAGTTGTCTGTGCAGTTTGCAGAATACAGGTACTATAACAATACTTTTTCTCCAGCCATTCAGAAGAGCACAGAACAGTCACACGCAAATCAGACTAGTTTACATCACCGGGGAACAATATGAAAAGGAAGAGTTTGGCACTATCTTGAAGTCGGCACGCCGCTGCGCTGCGCTGCGCTGCCGACCCCCGGCCGACGATTCGGGTCTGTGGAACCATGGCGGAACCATGTGGAGCCGGACCAGCCGGAGAGGCAAAAAGTCACCGAGTTTACCTGCTTGCCCGGCAGCAGTGTCACAGACAGTCTCAGACGGTCGGCAAAGGTACTCTCGAGGCAGCATTTGACTTGACTCACTCTTGTCCGCCGTTGGAACTAGCACGCGCGAACACGCTATCACCAGTCAATCATATCACTGTTTCACGTAGAAAAGATCACAATCACTGTCACAGTTCGCTCGAGCGGTCACTAGGCGAAGCACCGCGAGGCAACGCCACTTTCCAGTTTTGGTGTTCACACTTGGGCAGTCACTGTTCTGCTCGAGACGCTGCAGGAAGACGGCCACGGGCGGGGACCGGCGGGGACGCCAGGGCGGCGGGGTGGCCCAGCGGTCCGGCGGCGGTCCGGGGCTCCGAGACTCCGGCGGCATCGTGGCCACGGCCGCCACGGCCGCCACGGCGCGGGCACACTGTGGAACACTCCGACTACGGCGACGAGTCTGCAAAAACAGAAACGCAGTTGTCGTCACTGCAAAAGCAGCAGGCTCGGCCATGCAGCGAGGCAAAGGTCAGCTCCACTCTGGGCATTAATCTTTGTCTGCACAGTCGCACGGTGCCACCAGGACTCGGCAGTGTCGGGTGTCCCCGCCTTGGTCCCCGCACTGCGCAGCGCGCGCGTGTCTGTCTCTCTCGCACTCGGGGGTCGTTCCGTAAGGGTGTGAGAGAGACAGGGTGACGAAAGCACTGGCCGGAATCCGCCCGTAGTGCAGCAGGAAGCCAAGGATTTGACGCACTGCGTCTCACTTTCGGCTGCAAAATCAGGTTGAGTCTGTGATTGTGAGTGCGGTGTCCGTCCGTCCGTGCGTCCGTGCGTCGTAACAGGGCAGAAGGACAAAGCACAACCGGGCACGACTCCCTCGGCACACGGCCGGGCGGCCGGGCGGCCACAGGAGCAGCCAGGCCGCCTGTTAACTAGACCAGGCAGGCAGATAGATGGATGGGACTCTATCGCATTAAGGCACAGCGGCTGGCCGTGGCGTGCCGTGGCGTGCCCCCGAGCGTGCAGCTTCCTCATTATAATGGCGTGGACCACTGCCGTTACTGGGCGCGGCTCTCTGAGTAGACTGCAGAGTACAGGGTGGCCCGAGAGTCCAGCTTGCACACTAACAGGGGCCTGGGTTCGAGTACTACCAGGGGGAGCGGTCTTTATTTGTCTGTGCGAAAGAGAATGGAAACAATACGCAGAAGGCCACGCCGTGGCAGTATTACAGCCATGGCACTTGCTTTGAGTCGTCTCTAGTCTCTGAGAGTCTGAGAGTGCGACACCTCGGCGGCCTTACCGGGGTGGACTAGAAGGGTTGCTGGTAGGGTGGGCCCCCCGCGGGGTGGGCCGCTCCCCCTCTGCTTCACCCCGGCGCGGGCCCCACCGGCGCGGGCCCCGCCACCGCCGCCGCCGCCAGCACCACCACCTCGCTGCACTCGTCGCCGCACTCGGGCGGCCCCGGGGGCCCCGGGCCGTGGTGGGGGCCCGCACTGCAGCTGCAGCCGCCACCGCTGCTCGTGTGCGTCGTCATCTCGAACTTGTCCGAGCCCGTGGCCGACCCCGCCGCCCGGGAGGCGTCCCGCCAGCCCCCTGTGGCAAGAGGGAGAGAGAACACGTTATCCAGAGCACGCCGCCGAGGCCGAGGCCGGGGACGGAGAGAGAAAGGACACAAGGACACGCACCGACGGTGAACATGGCGTCGAGGGCCTGCGACGAACACAGCGGCGTGTCCACCTCCCGCGTCTTGTTGAACAGCGAGTAGTCCACCTCGTACTCGCCCTGCTCCTTCTTGAAGGACACCATCGGCTCGAAGCGGTGCCCCCACAGGATCTCGTTGGGCAGGTAGGACGACCGCGCCTGCGTCGTCATTCCCGTGGACTCGATGACGCCTGCGCACCGCGAGGAGACTTTGTCAAGATGGTCAATAAACACTAGTGTCGGGGTTCATTTACTGTGGAATATATATGTCGCTGGGTTGCGCTGGGATCACAGGAGCGGGAAACTAGGGCCGCACTTACCGTCTGGGTGAGTCCAAGGAAAGCACACAGAAAAATCGAAAGTTTAAACGTTTAGCTCTTTGTGGCCCTTGTTCAGTTCTTTTTAGAACCACATGTTTCTCTTCAAAAAGTAATTATCGCGCATGCTGAGACGTACCCTCAAGAATGACGACGATCTCGAAGCGCTCCCGCAGCATGTCCGCCGCGGACATGGCGTACAGCGGCGACTCCGACGTGATCTTGTGCACGATGGTGGTGGGCCAGATGAAGAAGATCTTGTCCTCCTCGCCGTCGCCGCCGACCTGCAGCTCCTGCTGGTGGTACGGCAGCACCTCGCCCTCCCTCGTCGTCTGCAAGCGAGCAAGGAACATGGTCGTCTCACTCCGTCTCACTCGCACTCATGGGTGGCCCGTCTCACTCCGTCTCACTCGCACTCATGGGTGGCCCGTGGGGGAGAGAGATCGTTTGTCCTAGGACAAACGGGTGCCGGGGTGCCCTCTTTCGCTGAAATGTATTCAGAGTTACAGAAGTAAAATCAACAATCTGAATACATTTTGTGTTAAAATGTCTTTGGATCGTCCTGACGGCTACGCACGCTGCGCACGCTGCGCACGCTACGCACCTTCCTGCGGATGAGCTGCGCGCGCACGTGCGCCTCGATGATGTGGGACTTGCGCATGTCGCCCACGCGGAACATGAGGCACAGCTGGCCGTCACGCTGCGCCACCACGGCGTGCCGCGAGAACAGCAGCGTCTGCGTGCGCTTCTTGGGGCGCGACAGCTTGGCGAACACGATGCCCACCATGAAGGCCTGGATCATGACGCCGCAGATGCTCTGCAGGCACATGATGAAGATGGCCTCGGGGCACTCCTCCGTGGTGGAGCGGCCGCCGTAGCCGATGGTGTGCTGCGTCTCCACCGAGAAGAGGAAGCAGGAGGCGAAGCCGAAGATCCCCGTCACGCAGGGCGTCCACTGCGCGCCCTGGTTCTGCAAAGGCAAGTGCGGATTGGATTATAAGCAGAGCCGCGCGCCAGGAGGGTAGGCAGCCCAACGCTCTCGCGCGTCGGCCGGGCGGGGCCCCGCGCCTGCTCGCCAGCTCCAACTACCGCGCGCTGCATTCAGCGTGCTTGCAGTGCGGGGACATCATTGACTCCACTGCATCTCACAGTAGTGCGTGTGCCCAACATGATTCAACTTTCAAACTTTTTAAAACATGCCATGGGCCTTACGGGGAGGTTCTCGGGCCGCAGGTCGCCGTGGGTGAGCATGATGAGCCACCAGATGACGGCGAAGCCCAGCCACGACAGCAGGAAGTTGAGGGCGAACACGAGCAGCGTCCAGCGCCACTGCGCGTCCACCAGCGTGGTGAAGATGTCCTGCAGGTAGCGGCGCCGCCGCTTGGCCACGTTGCCCTGCACCACGTTCACGTCGCCGTGTTTGAAGATGACGCGCTTGCGGGCCTTGCGCGAGCTGCCTCGGGTGCTGTTATACCTGCAACAGGGTTGGCAGTCGTGAGGCGAGGGTTCGAACCGCGGCGACGGCCAAAACTACAAAACTAGCTTTATCTGGGGTGGGGGTGGCGTACGGCTCGACCAGGGGACGGTTAGAGTGATAACTTTCAAACAGTCTATCTACAAAGCGGAAGGTATCTGCGCGTACTCAATTAGTAGCATCCAACTTCTACAGTGGCAGACAGGCTATGTTGTTGATTCGAAACCAAGTGTGTAGGTTGTTCCAACCTTTCCCCCGCTAAAAAGATTTCTCTGTGACTGCAGTGTGGAGCAGGCACGCGAATGTGACAAGGGCGGGACGGGCCATCCCTCAAAGTGTTGGCTTATGACGCCCGCCGTGTTGCCAGCCCCGCCGTGCTGCCAGCCCCGCCTTGCCGCCAGCCCCGAGGCGGCACCAGGACCACCAGGACATGCCCCGAGGCGGCGGGCTAAATTAGAGGCGCCCACCGCGTCTCATGACCACCTCGGCGAGGGCGGCCACCAAGGGGGCGTGTTCGATCCGACCGCGGTACCGCGACGTCGCGCGCGCAAAAGTAATATCCCTTGCGGTGTGGTGGCGGCGGTGACCGCGCGGCGCGCGCACCTGCCGCCCAATCCACCATCACGCCAACTTCAAACCGCGCTAACTTCAAACCGCCCTTGTCGCTTTTTGGCAGAATCACGCCGTGCGTCTTTCCCAGTGGTTCCCTCCCTGTGGTTCCCCCAGTGGTTCCCTCCCAGTGGTTCCCTCCCTGTGGTTCCCCCAGTGGTTCCCTCCCAGTGGTTCCCCCAGTGGTTTCCTCCCAGTTTTCGCAAGGAGTGGAGGCGGCCGGCACTTTCACTCCATTCCACATGCACGCCAGAATGTCCTGCCTTCCGGTGGCGCTGCTTCACTCCACGCCACTCCGCACGCAGCGTGCAAAGGGCGGGGCTGGGCTCGGTGTCCGAGGTCCGCGTCGTCGCCCTGGGTGGCGGTGAGGGCGACCCGGCGGGGCTGGGGCGGGGGGCTGGGGCGGGGCTGGGGCGACTGGCCTGGACGGACGGGGCTTAGCTGGGGCTTAGCGGGGAGGCGAGTCCGAGCCGCGTGGCTCGACGCCACAAAGCGGGATCAGCAAAGTCTCGGGGGTTCGCGTATCTCGCAGACGACGAGAGCGACGTCGAGCCGAACGCGGTGCAGGCCGCTGCTTTCGGATTCATATCGCGGTTGCGTCTCGCTGCCACGCTTCGCCACGCTCGCGGTCCGCACCGTCCACGCCGTGTGCGAGATAGAGGACCCCCGGAAGCGGCAATGCCGGGCAATGGCAATGCAGGGCCGAGTACGGCACGGCGGCGCTACGGACCTGGTGAGCAGCAGGCTGGACAGTCTCTCCTGGCCGTGAGTGCCGTAGTACGTCTCGGCCAGCGGCCCCAGCCTGTCGACGAGCGGCGAGAAGAGCAGCAACGACGTCCTCGTCAGCAGCTGGTGGGTCGCTCCCCCTTGGCCGGCGCCCATGCCGGCGAGGCCCAGGCCGCCCAGGCCTTGCCCGCTGCTTCGCGCTGGCGGCGGTGCCGTGCCCGGCGTCGGGCCAGTCGGGGTCGGGGGTTCGATACCCACCTCCAGCTCGGCCTCGCGCAGCGCCTCCTCCGCCTTGCTGCGCCGCCGCTTGGCCTGCGCGCCGCACGCGCCGCACGCGCCCCAGAGGGGCCGAGCCGGCCGAGCCCCGTGGCTGGCGCTGCTAGGGCCAGACGGGGTGCATGAGCTGCTGTGGGAGCTGCGTGCGGAGGAAGAGGTTACGGCAGTGTGGAAGGAGTGGAAAAGTTCCGCGCCCGGAGGACAGAGGTTCCAAACAGGGCCGTGGCAGAGGCCGGCGGAGGCGGGTGTCCAGAGTTTTGCTCGTGTGCCCTGGCCGTGTGCAGTGAGCTGTTTTCGAGACTGTGTTTGGTTCGCTGACTGGCGGTGTGGTTCACCGGAGTGACCTCCTTGTCCTACTCGGCGGGGCGTGGCGGCGCGTGGCGAGCTAGACACTATGAGCGCGGCGCGAGACGCGGCTCCATTGATTTATTACAGTGGCGGCATCGCGTCCAGGACTCGATCAGTGGTCAATCAACGTGCTAATGCCGCCACGTCTCGAGACTCTCCCTCCAACTAACAATCAAAATTCAAATTCCTCCACTGGAAAACGATCATTACCTGGCGGCATAATGGCGGCGCCATCAGGCCAGCGGGCCGGCCGCTCGCGAAACGAGGAACAACCGCCGGCCGATCTGACGGCGAAAAATGGATTCGCCAGCCGCGCGGAAAACACTTTCGGTTTGAAAGAAAAACAAATCGCGGCCGGCGAGGGGCGAGGGCCGCGGTGACGGGCCGTGACGGCGCGCAGGTCGCGGTGAGGGTCCGCGCGGCGGGGCCACGGCGGGGCCACGGCGGCGCGACCTCGCGCGGGTCGTGTTCCCAGGTTGGCAGCCCTGCCGCATTTTAAATAAAGTGGCGCGGCTTGGCGACGTCTCCAAGCAAAACAGAAATCGACTCGGCGGAGCGGCGATAGGCGCGATCCCCGCAGCGGCCGGCCGCCGACAGACACTCTGTCGCGGCGCCGGGCAGGTCCAGCGTCCTCTCCACCGCGCGGTTCAAGTGCGCGCTCGCGCCCTGCGGTTGGTAGGCCCCTTGTGTTGGCTGCGCATTCGTTACCACGCGGCCGGACGACACGGCGTGACGCCGCGCGGGCACGGCGGGCACGGGCGTGCCAAGCTCGAGCACGACGCCAAGGCGGCCGGGCCGGCGTCACCAGGGCGTCGCCGCGACGCCGCGACGCCGGCCCGCGCAGGTGCTGATTGGAGGCGACGGCGACGCGCGCCGCGCGGCTTGCCCCCCAGTGCCTGCTGCTGCTCGACACTCTCATCACTGACGTCGGCGTCCCACGCCGAGATGCATCCAAAAAAGACAACCGCCGCGCGAAATCCAATGAAAAGGTGAACGCCCCAAAGGCGGACTCAACAGCCGGTCCTCCACTTCCCCTTGTTCATGTTCTCCTCCCGGCGCGACACAATGACCGACTGGCCGCGCACATGCTCGAAATACACCCGCGTCTTCGCATCGTCACGGTGCGCGCGTGTGTGCGTGCGTGTGTGCGTGGGGCGTGGCGGCGCGTCGTCTGGAAGCAGTGCCAGTCCCCGCCACGCCCCGCCACGCCCCGCCACGCCAAGCCACGCTCGTCGCGACGTCACGGGGATCGCTGCAACATATTATTCTTAGGAGCAGTGAAGGCCGGCGGCGACCCTCGGGCCTGCCTGCCTGCGCCTGCAGGCTGATTCCGAACAACTCTGCTTTCGTCGCTCTGTCTCTCTCGCCCTGGCGGGGGCGTGGCGAAGGGGTGCGAGAGTGACAGAGAACCACCCCCGCGGCCTGCCGGCCTGCCGGCCTGCCACAACACCGCAACGCCATCAGCCGGACGCCGCCCGTTCGCCTAAAGGATCGCTGGCCGAAGATTCAAAATGGACGCCGTAAATCCGCGCAAAATAATTGGCGTGGGTTCGGAACCGGCATTTTTGTTGGTTGTTTTTTCGGCCTGTATTTCTTAACCGCAGATAGTGACGTCCTCTGTGGCCGTGGCCGCGTTCGGTGCTCGGCCGGCGCGTCCTTGGCGGCCAGGGTCGTTAACGCGCGGGGCTATGAAACGCGAGAGCTGAGGGTGAGGGCTTTGTTCTCTTCGCCCGCCGTAAAAAAATAAAAAAAGATAAAAATTGATCCCTCCGAGTTGGCGAGCGCTGGTAATTAAAGAACACAGCGGGTTTCTAGGGGATTCAAAACCTCGGCGACGACAGTAAAGACAGGGTGGGCCCCGACAGCGGACCTCGCAGCGGACCAGGAAGTCGGAAAACAAAAAAACAACTGCTTGCCGGTCGGGGTGCCGCGTCCGCGCGCTCAGTTCCTCATACAAAAACACTCGTCGGCTTGGAGGACAGAAGTCACCACCAGCAGTGCTCGATTTTTCATACTGCCAGCAAATGAAAACATTCGAAGCTTGTAGGTCAACCCCTAGGGTGGCCAGAAACAACACTGCGATTGCCGCCTCCAACAAACACCACATGCAGTGGGTCACAGCTTCACATCGGCCGGCCAAAAAGGACAGATCGACACGGGCGTGTTTGGAACTCTCTCTCCCGGCCGCGCGCAGTGTCGCGGACGTCTCGGACGAACTCGCATTTCCACTCCACAACTCACACAGACAACGCCAGACCATAGGGGTGCCACCAACCTGTTCAGAAATCCCGGCATTTAGGCCGCGCGTCAACGACCGTCAACGACTACCCGCGATGCTTGGTCGCCATGCTGGCCGTGCTCCGGGCGCGGGGAGGGGAGGGGCGGGGCGCCACCATGGCGTCGTCCGCGCCGGGGCACCACCGCGCCTCCGCGGCGTCCCGCTCGCCCTGGTCCATGGTGGCGGCACACTGACCACGGCGTCGACTAGCGTCCCCGCTAGTGTCCCTGGCTCGGTCCCTGGTCGTCGCACCCCGTCGGCTCTCCGGGCGTGGCGGTGCGTGGCGCGGAGGGGTGGGGCGGCGCGGCAGTACCTCACCACTCGCTCGCGGCTAATGAATTGTGCGGTCGGGGCGGAGCGAGGTGCGGCCGGGCCGCGGAGGCCGGCGGCGTCACGGCGTCTCCCTGTCCGTCGCGACGACGCGGCCCGTCCACCATGCCGGCCAGCAGGCCGGGCACCACGCCGGCCACCACGCCGGCCACCAGGCCGCGCCGCGTGCTGTCTGGGTGCTATTTCAACCGTCGCCGCGGTGGACGGCCTGACGGCGTGACGGCGACCACGGCGACACAGGGGGATGCACACAGGACGCGCAGGACACAGACTGCCCGCTCCGTGCCCTGGTCCACGACGAGGGGGCCGAGGCGGCGCGCGGTCGGCCTTGGCGGCGGTTAGGCCCTCTCGATCGCGGCGACGCCACGCCTCCGTGTTTTCCGAGACCGTGTCAACGAGCTGAATGAAAAGTAGGCCTGCCTAGTTCCAGCCTTCTCGTCTTCTAGTCCCCCGTTTGGATGATAAGCTGGTCGCGAAGACGGCGGCGACCTCGCCGGGGCCCCACGGCCCCACGGCCTTACGGGTGCTGGAAGGGGAAGGCGAACCCGGTTGTCATGGTGTCGGCAGCACGCCTTTGCATCTCTCCATTTAGTGCCGACCCTCCCCCGCCTCGCCTCGCAAGGCTTACGGACGGCCCCTGCCAGACCCGGCAAGCCCTGCAGAAGGTGCTGGTACTATTGGCCCCTATCGACTGAGCATTTGGCACCCTCCGCGCCGCGAGAACCCATGCCAAGCTCCGAACGGCCCGCCCCACCCGCTCCTCCCGCCGCTCCCCCGGGACCTGTCTCGCCAGTGGTCTGCGCCGGTCGTAAGTACCAGCCCACATGCATTGTCACCAGCTCACTCATCTTGTTCGGGACATTATGCGAATGGGACAGGAACATTCTGCGGGCAGAGCGCTGTGCTTGAAGGGGAAGCGCACCGCCGGGCAGGACGCAGCGGGAGTCGCCTCGCCGGCCCGGCGGCGTCCTCGCGCTGCCTCGCCTCGCACCTCCGCGTTGACGAGAAACACCTCCGCGTCGACAGCCAGAGTCTCGTCACTCGCGCCCGCTGCCCTTCTGCTAAAAGTAGACCTCGCACAAAACGCACACCCAACTGCAATTTGAGCCGGCATTTTCCGCCACATCTTTCACCCCAATTCCATTCGTGGATCCCAAGTCCGTCACCGCCAGCCAGGCCGCGTCCCCTCACTTGGCCCCACCGGTCCCCACGCCCTGCCGCCACGAGGGGTATCGCCGCGTCCCTCGGCGTCTGCAGGCGCGGGGTAGCGACGCCGCACGCCGCCTTCAGCAGAGCGGGGCGTCGTAGCGTCGTGACGGGCCTCCCTTCTTACCGCAGTCACAACTTGCCGCTTTAATATGTTTCTGTTTGCATACATAAGTTTGCGAGGGTGTCCGACAGAAGGAGACACCCCGCACCGCGTGTGTGAGTACGATCGTGCGTGTGTCTGCGTGTGAGTATGTGTGTGTGCGCGTTAGTCCCCGGCCGCGCGTGCTTTATCCGTTCGTCAACAGCCATTCCATCTACTTTTCGCCCGCGGGGTGGCGGGAGGTAGTCCTTTGCTCCCCAGCGGCAATCGGTCCGCCAGATGCAAAGGGCGCTGCGAGTGTGTGCGTGTGTGTGACGGAGTGAGTGGATGTGTGTGTCAAGGCTCCGCCTTGCCGGCCCATGCCGCCGTTAAACCACAGAACGAGGGAAAAACAACCCGGCGGCGCCTTGCGCGTTGCGCCTTGGCGTTTACCGCCGGCGTATAAGTCATCGGGCGTAGTTACTTCATCAGCGCGCTGCCCCGACCCGCCCCGCCCTGCCCTGCCCTGCCCTTCCGCGGTCGAAGAAGGCCGTCGTTCTGCATAGTGCTCTTTGTTCGACCGGTCTGCGGCACTGCGGCGGCGCGGACAAGGACGCCGCGAGGCTCCTTTCCTTTCCCGCCGAGCTCTCCTCGATGATCTTGCCCTCCATCTCCGCGATGGCGCGCGCCTCGACGACGGGCCGGGGTACAGCGTGGAGGCAGCGCGCCTGCCGAGCTCCAGGTAGGCCAGCCCGCCGAACGGAGCCGCAGCCGGGTTGCCTACCTGGAGATCGCAGGCGCTCGGCTCCAAGACAACGGCATTGTTTGGGAGACAAGGGAATCGGGTGGGGCCTGTCATCGGCAACCCGGCGTGGGCCACACCGCACTCACTTGTGCAGCCAGGCGGAGAGGTACTCCTTGGCGGTGGGGCTGGAGGGCGGCGTGTTGGGCGCGCTGACGGGCGAGGCCGCGGCGGTGGTCGACGCCGAGGTGCTGCTCTCCGGGCTGATGGACTCGAGGAGGCTGAGGCTGAGGCCGCGCGGCCGAGGGCTGGGCCGCGGCCGTCCGGACAGCCATTCCGGTTCCATGCTCACCACCCTCCACAGCAGGTCACCCTCCCCCACCCCCTCCCCCTGCTTCCAGGCGCCGGGGCCGGCCCAAAGCTTGGCCGCCAGAACACCCATAGACAAGGAGGGGGGGACGAGGGAGTTCCGGGGCGTGCCGGGCCGCGGTCAGCAGCGGGAGGCGCATGGCATCACGCACAGGGAACGCCTTCCTCCAAGCACGCCGTCGTGGACGCCGTCGTGGACGCCGTCGTGCTCGTCACACTTTGCACTGTATCGCCGCGACGTGAGCCGCCTCCTCGTCGGGGAGGTCCGCGTCGCAGGGGGCGGTCCGCATTGCGAGGCGGCCCTGCTTCAGACTGGACGTCGCGCGGGCGCGCGGGGCGGGGCGCGGGGCGCGTCGAGAGGGGCGCGGCGGAGCGCGGATCGGCGGCCGCGGTGCGCGTCGCGCTGCGTGTCTCGCGTCGTCTGCCCACGCCGAGCAGGCCGAGCAGGCCGAGCAGGCCGAGTAGGCCCACGGGCCGAGGGCGGACCACGGGGTGGCACGGGGTGCGCGGGCCCGTCTGTACCCGCGGCAAGTGACAGGTACACCGAGAGAGACCCTCACGGCCCTCACGGCCAGCAGCGCCAGCGCCAGCAACGACAGCGCACCGCGCCCACCGCGCCGCAGCGCGACCAGAATAGCCCCGCAGCAGCCACGCGGCCGTCCGGACACGCGGTTCAACAGACACGCGGATGGCGCAGACACGACACGCCGGGGCCTCGCCCCCCGGGGCCTCGCCCCGCCGCGCACTGGAGACGCGCGCCGCGAGGACACGACCCTGCGACGTGCCTCGCAGTGCGTCCACCACGCCCCGCACAGCACTGGCAAAACAACGGCCGCGGGTTCAAGTACCCCGAAGCCCAAGTCACTGTTTAGCGCCCTCGAGAAACAAAGGATGATAAACTGAGGGTCTTCACCTGCTCCACAGTGCTTTCGCAGTGCTGCACCCCGCTCGCCGTTACCTGGTGCAGAGCGGCGGGGCGGCGGAGCGGAGCGGCACGCAACATTGGGCTCTTGAGGCGTCATAACCGGTCGTAACCGACCTAACGCCGCGTCGCGCCGCGCCCCGCCACGCCCCATCACAACGGCCTCACGCGGCGCGAAGACAGACGCGGGGCAAAGGGAGGGAGGCCGCGTCACGTGACGGATATTTTCCCACGCTCGGTGGCGGTGGGGGTGGGGCGGCGTCGCAGCCAACAAGTAGTAGCCGAGCGTGGCAGGCCGGCAGGGTGGCGCGGGCGCGCCGACCCGACCCGTGGACCCGTGGCTGCCGTGGCTAGGCGCGAGGCGCGAAGCGGCGACGGCGGTGGCGTCACACTGTAGGGGCCGCAGCCGGCCTCAGCCCTCACGCCACCGCGTACATAAATCCCGTAACGCGGCGCGCCACCCAGGACGTCAGGAGTCAGGACGTCAGCCTCATGAATGTGCGCCGTGTCCTGTTCCTGTTCGGCGACACAGCGCGGCCTTCTGCGTGCTGACGAGGCGGCCGCCGTGCCTGGCGAACCAGGGCCTTGAGGTTCTTATCAACGGAAGCGGCTCCCGATAGGCACCGTGTAGCACCGCGGCGTGGGCGTGCCCGCGTGCTACGCCCTGGCCGTCGCCGTCGGTGAGGCTGTGCGGCGGTGTACACAATGCTGCGGGCCATGCGACGCGACCCCAGAGGGGCTCGCCGGCCGCCCCCCGCCCCGCCGGCCTGCCTCAACGCGGTGGAGGCTGGGGCTGGGCACGGCCGGGCCGCCGCGGCGCCGGGCTGGTCCAGAGCGTCGACCACCAGACTGTCGCGGGGCGTCGCATCGGTCTGTCTCTCTCACACGGATACGGGCCTTTAGCTTGTCATCGCCATCCTGATGGGGATTTGAACGCACACTGCTGCACACCGCTGCCAGCAGGGCCACGTCCTCCGCGGCGGGGCGCCTCGTCCTACGCGTGTCCAACAAGTGCCTGCTGCGCGCAGCGTGCTGCACTGCGATTGGCGGCGTGGGCGGCGCGCGCCCGGAGAGGAGAAGCTCAAGTGACACATCCGCCGCGCCGCGCTCCGCATCCGCTCAGTGCAGTCCAGCGAGCAGGCCGTCGTGGTCGCCGCCGCCGGCCGCCGCGCCGCGTCCACCTGGCCGCCACGCGCCCGCTCTTGTTTACCTTCGCGGCGCAGAAAGTGCGACGCTCAGGCGAAAGAGAGGGAAACACGAAAAACGCTACGGCCGGTTTGCAAACGCCGAGGCTATTTATACGGTGTGTGTTACAAGGTTTTGGTGGTGCGCGGTGCGGTCTGCGGACTTACTTTCAGACACAATGCCAGTGTTTACCCCACGCCACGCGCCGCACGACCAGCCGCACGCCGCTGCGCTGCCAGCAGGGCGCTCTGTCTCTCTCGCGACCCCACGGGACTACGAGACGCCCCGTGGGTGCGAGGGAGACAGAGCGAACCCGCCTTGCTGCCGCCGTGCCATGCCGCAGGCCACAGCCCCGAAAACACACAATTACTCTTGACCCGTTTTCGGCCTTTCGGTTTGCGTTTCGCTGCGCCTCTTTCGCCGATTTCGCGCGTTTTCTACGCGCCGCGTCGCCTCTAGTCTTTTGGGCGCGGAAAGCCTACGCGGGACGGCGCGAGAGACCCTGCCCGCCAGACGCGTGGACCGTGTGGAGGGAGACACGTGCCAGAGGCGGTCGTCATGGAAATCTTTGTAATGAGAGCACGGCGCGCCGAGCGAGCGAGATTTCGCAGCTGATTTCGATTCGGGTTTTTGCTCTCCCCGCAGCCATGCCGCGGCAGTGAGCGGCGCTTATGGCTTCTGGCATCGGCTCTCGCCTCTGGCCGCTCGGCCCGTCGTCAAGGAGTCTCTCTCTTGTCGCGACCGGCGTCGCGGGACGCGGCGGGACGCGGGCGACGTCCCGTTCGGTCACGATTCCCCCTGAACTGGATCCGAAGACGACTTTTACAACCCCGTGTTCGTAAAAAACAGACCCGCTAAAAGGCCGTAAAGATGGCGAAGAAGTAGGCTCGACACGGGGGCGGCGACGGCAGGGGGCGGCAGGGGGCGGCAGGGGGCGGCAGGGGGCGGCAGGGGGCGTGCGGCAGGTCGGGGCAGTCCTCCGCGACGCCGCGCAGGGCCCGGTCGGCCCGCTGCACCGCCAGCGAGTACGACAGTCGCAGTGAAATGGCGGCCGCCACTGTACGTTCTGTACACTGTCATAATGTGCACCGAGCGGTCACGGCATGGCCGGCCAGCCAGCCGGCCAGGCCCAGGCAGAGACGTCCGTCTCGTCCTATTCTGGGTGTGATAGTGTCTATTCTGGTAGCAGACAAAGGAAAGGCTTCGGCCTCCCCCTCCCCCCTCCCCTCCCACCCCATCAATGCCCGGCCACATATCATTTATACCCCTCGCATTGACGGGGGGCTGGGGAGGGGGGCACAGACTGCGCCCCGGCCGCACCCAGGGTGTCAGAAAGAGTGTGAGGCCAAGGGGAGGGGGCGAAAGAGATTCAAGCACACGACCCTACCCGGTTTTAAATCAGTTTCGACGGTCCTGCTGACGGTCTACGATGATCGCTCGTGATTGCGCTTGGACGCATCCTGTTGCAACGCGACATAATGACAATCATCTCGAACCGCAGGCGGAATGGACAACGGGTCGCATCTTGTCCAGAGCCGCTGCCGGCGAGATAACACCCTCCTCGCCAGCAGCGAAGCAAAAACAAAAACAGAAAATTACCGCCGCAGACGTTTATCTAACCGCATACTAACAGGGGTGTTTTCGCGGCGTCTGCTCTCGAAGGAAAAGAGTTGGACAGCAGTGCGTGCTCGGCAGACACAGCGCACAGAAGGAACGTACCGCCGAGCGTACAGCGACCCGCCTCAATTTTACCCAATGCAAGTAGGTCAGTTTATGTTTACGGTCTGCACCGAGCAAACGGTAATCGGCTGGGAATGGACATTTGGCAAACGGCAGGTGGCGACGCACGGGCTATGCGTCGGGAAAGCTCGCGGAAAACGGCGGGAAAACGGCGGGAAAGGAGTCGTTACCGGGCCGACAGCGGCCTCCCGATCAAGTCAACATTTTGACAGAATGATGGGCTTGGCTGCCGCAACGCGCGCGCGTGCTTTGAGTCTGGTCGAGGTTTTCGCCTTCGGGGCGGGGCGGGGCGGGGCGGGGCGTGACTCAGACGGGACCTCGGTCAAGCCGAGAGTCAGCGAACCCACCACGCCAATTCCCTTCCCCGGGACATGAGATAATGGCCTAAGGTCACGAGAGGGTTTCTCGTCCCAGCGTGCCGTGAGCCGAGAGTGCACCGCCCCGTCCTCCACGTTCGAACCGCTGTTGCGGTGTCCGAGTGACTCACAGACTCACAGCCACACCGCCCTTCCAGGTAAAGCAGGTGTATCCCTGTACGATGTAAAACTCGGCGTAATTACGGAGGTTCGAGGTCGCCCGCCCCACCCCGCCCCGCCACGCCACGCCACGCCCGACCCCGTTCACAACATCACCCCATCCTTTGCGAAATGGACGAGCGCAGCCCCGTTTCGTTGCCGCCAGTGCTGCCCCCCCCCCCTTGGGGCCCCACACAACCTTTCTTGTTTATAATTACCGCCCGATCTGCGGCGGCCAAACTGCTTCCGGATCCGATTGGCGGGCGGGGCGGGCGGCAGGCGGTACGGCGCGCGGAACGTTAAACTCTCTCCACTGCCGCGCCACCGGCCGGTACCGAGAAGACTCGCAAGGCGCGCCGGCCGAAGAACGCGGCCCAAAACGACAAAAAACGGCCCAAAAATCCCTCCGCCACCGCCGCCGCGCCCACCAGCTGCAGACGCTCGGAGGAATGAAGCTTCTCGTCGGTTTCGTCACTTTCATAACTTTACGACGTGCGAGGCGTGGCAGGGCGTGGCGGGGCGTGGCGGGGCGTGGCGGGCGAAGCGAGTGACTGACACGTTATTAAGGTGGCGCACGAAATAGAGCGCGGAGGACCCGCGGCACAAATCACGCTTCGGCGGGCGGAGGACGAGGCTTGGCTTTTGGCTTCGCTAGTTCTGCGAGAAACGGGTGGCGCCCGGCGCAGCGCTTTGCCTTGCAGCCGCCATGCACGCCACTGCCAAGCACCGTCACTTCGCTTAGCGGGAACCTCGCGCGCGGCCGCGCTGAATCAGTTCGACGAGTGCGTCAAAGAGGCAGTGCTCGCTGTACGCGCAAAACGAAAATGTTTAGCTTTTCCGCTTTTCCTCTCTTGTGAGTCAGTCGGGGAGGCGCGCGCCAAACACGGCCCGCATCTGTGTGCAAACTGCCTGAACGCAA